CCCCCCCCCCCCCCAAAACAGATGCAACAGATATGCAAAACTTTATGTAGTAGATGAAACGGAAATAAATACAAAGAATTATTCTTACTCTGGTTAGACACTACAGACATGCAAAATTTGCAAATTTATATGAGACAAGTGAAATGAAAATAAATACAAATTACACAATCAAGGTAGTTTCTATCGAAAGTTTTTTTCTACTCCTTGGCAGCTTTCTTGGCACGCTTAGCTTCCTTTCTCGCCTTTTTCTCTTCTTTGGATTCCTTTTTAGGTGAATCGGCGTCGACATCTTCGTCGTCGTCTCTCGAGCGCTTCTTTGAAGGAGCAGCGGAATCCTCGCCTGCGTCACCAACTTCACTCTTACGAGCAGCCTTAGCAGCCTTCTTTTCAGCTTTTCTACGTTCTTTATCGGAGAGGCCGTCTGCACCTTGGGCACCATTAGATGGCTGAGCTGGTTGTGTAGGGAGGAGATTGTCAGTGTTAGAGTTGTAAGTAGCGGTACCGTTGCCGTTAGAAGCGTCATAATCGAATTTGTTTTGTTTCTTGCTACCAACATCACTTTCATTGCGTGTCCTCTGTATACCAATGCTACGCTCGAGAGCTCTGAGTCTACTCTCGAGGCTAGCGCGTTGTTCGATACCGATAGAAGCTGAGTCCATATCAGCTTTAGTTTCAGCATCGGCGAGTGCGTCTAAACGTGAAGAGAGGGAGGTCTTGGTAGCCACCATACGTGCCATCTTACCCTTGAGTTTCTGTGGTGCTGATCCTACCAAGGAGGCGTGGTAGATGAGACCGTATTTAGGAGTGTCGTGCTTCGTCTTGAGAGCGCGGAAGAGTGCTTTCTCGGCACCGAGGATTTGGACAGTTGAGGCGGGATACTTGGCGAGAGTGGTGAGAGAGCCTGCATGGCTGATGAGACGGGCACCGACAAGCTCACCAACGAGAGCTGTGAGGTTTGGTGCAATTGCGTTCATTCTGTTGCGCAGGTAGTCGTACAGTTCTTGGCGGTAGGCGGCGATGCTGATGACTTGCTCAGAAAGACTGAGTATGTGCTCAATGTCGGTGTCAGAGATCTCAGTACCCATACTAATGTTAGCAGCCACCTTGATGGCTTGCTCCAAATCCTCGGGGAGGAGGCTCGAGAGGTCAGTTGACGGAATATTCGTCCTGAAACCAGCCAACTTGATGATCTTGGCGTAGGCGATGTTGTCGCTGATAATCTTTGCCATCTCAGGGAAGTGCCACCCGTACCACTCCTTGACACGCATGGCGTAGATGTTGAGCTCCTTGTCGAGGTCGTCGAGGAGGGCAATCGCCTGGATGACCATGACATCGACCTTGTCGGGGCTGAAGCGGAGCTTGAAGCGGGAGAGGGAGTGGGAGAGACCGAGGGACATGGTGTCCATGTCGTGCTGCTCGATGCCGTTGAGGAGGTGCGGGAGCTGCTGGCGGACACCGCGGAAGAGATCGACCGTGGTCGAGTCCGAGACGACGTTGATGTTGAGCTTCTGCGCGATAGTGGAAGCCAGCTTCGGATCCATGACAGCGAGGTTCTGGGATTTCTTGTCGTCGGCGACGTTGTCCTGCAAGAATTTTTTCATCGACTTGGACAGTTTGCCGTCCTGGAGCTGGGTGATGTCCTCGAGGGCCTCGGTGGTGGAGTTGAACTTGTGAATGGCCTTGAGCTTGAGGCTGTGGGGTGTGAGCGGGGCTGGCTGCGTGGGCGTCTACTCACACCGACGAAGCAGAGTCGGGGGAGGCGAACTCCTTGTGGAGATCGGGATCCTCGAGCTTGCCATCCTTAATTTTAAACAGTGTCACGCCAAGTGAGGTTTCGAACAGAATCAGCATTTTCCTTGGTCGTTGGTGTTCGCTGTCCACTCCAACCAATGCACTCGGTTGAAAATTTATTAAAATTGGCAAGTGCACAAATTGTGGATGACGGCGTAAATGTACTCGACGCTGTCGATGCCTTCGTGAGGCAGCCAGATGCGCTGGACGGGCTGCACGACTTCTCCCTGCGTTCCCCCGACCCGACGCTCTCCCTCGCGGCGATCCTCCTCGTGAAGAACAACATCCTTCCCTACTGGCGCAACATCCGTGCTCCCCAGCTGTCCCCCGGGGCCAGGCACGCCATCCGCGCCCGCTGCCTCGACTTTTTCGACAGCCCCGACGCCAAGCTCACCGAGCTCAACGCGCTCATTCTCTCCAAATTGGCCCGCATCGACTACCCGCGCTTCTGGCCAGGCTTGGTCGACGACATCAAGGCGCGTCTGTCTCCGGAGCTGGCTGTGAGCGAGCCCGGCCACCTCCTCCGGCTCAGCCACGCCTTGTACGCTCTCCACCGAATCACCAAGGAAATCGCGTCTATCAGAATCGCCAACAGGGTCTTCCCCCTTCTCTACGCGTCCCTCTTCCCCTTTGCTTTGGCTGTCTACCAGCTGGCCTTCTCCCACCTAGCCTCCCACCCCCATTGGATATCCCTGGCGACGTACGCGTACAAGGTGCTCGCCTCGCTCTCCCTCCACAACTGGTCGCGGTGCTCGGGCGATGAGCGCTCCAACACGGTGCAATTCACCCAGCTCCAGCTCTCCCTCCTCCCCCGCCTACTCGACTGCACCCACTCATCGCGCTCCCCGCCCCTCCAGCTTCTCAACGCCCACACACGCTTCCTCCTCCGTCTCCAGCAGTCCAATCAAGGCCGTTTCCGCGGCATCCAAGGCATCGAGGCGCTTATACCGATCTTGTACTCGCAAATCGCCCACTGCACGCACCCATCCTCACCCGCCGCCCCTCCTAAATACCTCATCCACGCCCTCCTCATCCTCAAACTCTCCCTCGCCGACTGGGTCCCCCACGCGCCGCACAAGCTCAACCCACACGCCTCCCTCTCCGACGACTTTGCCGTCCAAGTCGTCGACCTTGTCGCCCGCCGCTTCCTCCCTCTCACTCCCGCCGACCTCGCCCGCTGGGAATCTGATCCTGAGACTTGGGTCTACGAGGACGACCTCGACCACTGGGAGGTGGATCTGCGCCCGTGTGCCCAGAACCTTGTTCTCGCTGTGCTAATCAAGCGACGTGGGGCCGTTGGCGCGCACCTCACATCCCTCCTCCACTCTGCCGCCGAGAGCAGCGACGTCATCTACAAAGAGGGCGTGTACCGCATAGTGGCCAAGTGTGCAGAATACCTCTATGACCACGTATCGTTTGAGCGCTGGCTCGACACTACGCTGATCCCCGAGGTGCAGGTGGACAGTGTAGGCCACGGCCGCATCCTGCGCCGTCGCATAGCTATCCTCGTTGGGCGGTTCGCTGGTGAGAATCTCACGCCAAGCGCACGCACGAAAGTGTACACAATCATACTGCATTGTCTGCGCGCGCAAGATGCCGAGAACGACGTCGCAGTGCAGATTTCAGCTGCGATTGCCCTCGCTGGGATAGTAGACACGTGGGACTTTGCTCCTGCCCTCTTCGAGCCCTACATGGGGGCGGTGGTGGCTGAGCTGATGCGCATTCTCGCTGCGTGCACACTGGGCGAAATCAAGACCAAGGTGCTCGCAAGCCTCACGTGTATCGTGGATCAAGTCGGGGATATGTCCATGCCCCACGCCCTTCCTCTCCTCGAAATGGTAGGCGGGCTGTGGGAGGCTGATGGCGATTCTAGCGCCGACGCCGATTGGCACCTTCGCGGCGGCATGCTGGCGTTGCTCGCTCGTCTCGTGTGCGTTATGCAGGAGGGCAGCCAACGTGCTCTCCCACTAGTCGTGCCGCTCATACGCACAGCGCTGGATCCAGCACAGGTGGGTTGATGCTCTGCGCTGCGCACATACCCACTCACGTACCCAGGGCAAACCATACATCGACATGGACGCGATAGAGTTGTGGCAGGTTACGCTCAAGCACGCAGCGGGACACACGGATTCCATCCACGGGCTATTCCCGCTGGCGGTGGAGCTATTCGCCAACGACGTCGACCTGAGCGAGCCAGCAGGCGCTCTCATCGAGTCGCACATGTATCTCAGTGGGATGGCGGTGGTGAGTGAGTCCGAGACAGCCCAGCTTCTGTTCCGAGCGTGCGCCGGTGTGGTGGAGTATGCGAGCGATGCTGTACGCGCACAAGCAATTCACCTCGTCCACCTCGCCGCCCTAATCGCCCCACCTGCCACCTGGTGGGGGGACATGCACACCTCTGGGCTCTTCCCTGCCATAGTTAGCAAGCTGCTTTCTGAGAGCGAGTCGGTGCTTCTCTCTGCGCAGCTCGTGGTTGTGTGCGCGCGCATCGCCCTCGTTGATACACCCCTCCTTCTACATCTTCTCGAATGCGCCGCGGAGGTGCTCGGTGTGTCTCCACAAACCACGCTCGTCGCTCTCCTCGACAGGTGGTGCGATAGGTGGGATAACATTTCCGACGAGTACAGTCGCGCTCTCGCAGCTGCTGGGCTAGCTAGACTCGTCGAGCACGGCATACCACTCGTTCTCACTCGCCTTGCTGAGCTCAGTAGCATATTTGTAGATATCCTCGCCCAGATTAGGGAGAATCACCTGGATGCTGTGGCTTATGGAGAGCAGCCCGACTCAACTACTCCCCACACTCACTCTCACACCCCTATCACACACCCCCTCCTCAACGCCGTCGGTGATGAAGGCACTTGCGAGAAGACGCGCAGACTCACCCTCTTCTCCACTGACCCCCTCGCCGCACTCCCCATTCCCCCTCTTATCTCTCATAGCTTCGCTCACGCCCAACAATCCTTTCCGGGCGGTCCTGACGCTTTTAATCAGTCTTTCCTCGCAAATGCCGATCACACTGTCGTTGCGCAGCTCGTCGCATTTATTAATGAGACCATGTCTTAATTTTGTATAATGAGTTGAATAGTAGAAACAAAGCAGTAAAAAAAAAAATTGAAAAAAAGTCTATGTGAATCTGAATGTCTATCAAAGACAGTGAGAGTGAAAGTGTGCAAGTTTGCAAAATTCCATAAACGCACCCGCTACTCCTTAAAGTGGGTCGTCGGCGGGCCATCAAACTTCTTCCTCCCGTAAGCAAGATAGTAAGCAGCGCTAATGGCGAGGAACCCAACAAAGACGACAGAGGCGTAGTTCATACTTTCCTTAGTCGGTGGAGCTGTGGTCGGGAAGCAGAAGAGGGGAATAGCGAAAGCGAACCAAGCGATACTGACGACGTTACACACTCCGCCTAACTTACCCGCGTTAAATTTTGCATCGCTGATAGCATGTCGACCTTCACAGAATGATATCGTGATTGGGACGAGATTGGAGCAACCCAGACAGATAACGCTGACCGAGGAAAACGCATTAAATGCGGCTGTCGAACCGAAATAAACACACCCAAGCACCATCTGCACGGCTGTAGACAGGAGGATAGCGTTAAAGGGGAGTTCGAGTGTTGGGTTGACCTGCTTAATCAGCCCGCTGAACGGTATAGCATTGTCGCGGGCGAATGCCCAAGTGAGGCGACTTGCCGCTGTAGTGCAACCTATACCTGAAAAGATACCCTGTAATGGAGTGTGTGTCAGTCAGACGCATACCAGCAAAAATCCCTCCCACAATCAAGAAGACGATAAAAAATAGCCCAAATGCCCCGCCCTCGTATCCCATCACATAGCGGAAGCATTCGACGACAGGCTGGCCGCTCGTGCCCTCGAGGACAGCATCCACAGCGGGCATCGTGAAGAGGAGCGGGAGGAGAAAGATAAGTCCGGTGCCAAAAGAGAGTGGGATATTGGCCATTATAGCGCGAGGGACAACCGTGTCTGCATCGAGGACCTCCTCGCACATAGAGCTAATCATGGCTGTTGAGCTGAGTGTATAGCTGCCCATAAGCAGTCCAATAAAGAAGGACCATCCACTAGGCCAGCCGCTTTCTGCATTATCGAAAGCGCCGAACACCCAGCGCGCACTCCTGCGCCCTGCGCCAGCTCTCACAGAGAGCCCGACGAGGATAGCGAGCAGCCCTGCGACTGTCCACACGAGACAGAAGTGGTCGAGATACTTGAGATACTTGCCAGGAACGCAGCTTATCACTGTCGTCACTATAGACAATGCCCAGAATGTCAGCACCGTCTGCCATTGGTTGGCTACAAAGTCAGGATAGAGCAGGTTGAGCCCGCCGAGGAAGAGCTGCGTGGTACCGAAGTTGACGGCGAGGGTGACCGTCCAGTTGCCGACTAGATACACCCATCCGCAGATGTACGAGTTGAGCTTCGCGTAGCGCGGCGGACTGAGCATGTACGACCAATAGTATGCCCCACCAGCCACTGGATAGCGAGAGCATATCTCAGCCAGACTGACAGCAACGCACTGCGTTATCACCGCCATCATCACCCAGCCCCAGATGACAGCACTCGAGCCGCCGTTTGTGAGTGGATAGAGGATTGTTGTCGAGAGACCATAAGGTATAGCAGCAATAGCCACCGCAAGAAACAAAATACTCGCTAGTGAGCGGTGCTTGGGCATTTCCTGGACATAGCCGAATTCGTTTGTCTGCGCGGTCAGAATTGCTTTGTTTTTCGCAGACTCGACATCAGAAGGGGATTTAGAGTGTGAACTTGAAAAGACGCTGTGCCTGTCTACTTGTAGAGCAGAATCTGGTGATTGAGGACGATCCATGTGCTTGTATCGTACTCGTTAATGGAACTGAAGTGGTTGCTTGTTTTGTACAGAATTTTGGAGTTTTTTGAGGTGAGTAGCGTGCTATCTACTTGATTTAAGTTTTTTCTGATGATTTGCAATCAACAGCGTATTCTCTTGTCAGTGGAGCGGCTAAAGGGGTTTTAGCGACGAAGATTTTAGCTGCAGGGGATTGATTATCGTGGGTGCGGTAGAATATTCGTGGGCTTATTATGCGCTAGCTACCTCCTATGACTAACTCCTATGGCTTCTGCTCCACCCACTCAGGTACAAGCTATCAAGTGCAGGCGGCATGAAACGCGGCAGTGACTGCGGTGTGGGTAAGGCTATTCATAGCACCATCAACACCGTGGAAGAAAACATGTGAATATTTTCCATTTTTTATTCCACCCACCCTATATAAACAACCGCGCGCCTTCTCCCGTACACCCACTATAAAAATAATTGTGAGTAGCGCACAAGACACCAGGCTGAAATGAGGAATATCAAAAATCCAAATCAATCTGTCAATCGTCTTAGTAGCTAGATAATCAAACTATACGTGCAGACACAGGAATCTCTTACTGATCAAATCTGCTCTGGTGTCTTGCACCCACACAACTCCCACTCACAACCCTTCTAGGTGTAAGTCTAGCCATAGCTACAGCCATCCACGCTTCTGCGTTGTACACGCTGTACACCCTGATGAGAAGTACTTTCTTACAGTTATCCCTGTCTTAATGCACAGCGCATGTCGACATCAGACTTTACCACATTCTGAAACGTGGAAGCGTGGCTGGCGTAGATAACCAAACCCATCTAACCTCGCCTTTCTATTAGATTGACCCACTTGTATAACACCTCATGAACGCACCAAATAGATCAGAATTGTTTATTGTTCCAGATGAAGAGCCTAAGTGGGTTGCCTGATACCTTCGCGGCCACGTCTAATACACACTAAGAGTCAGCGTCGTCGACGATTCGCGCATCCCTTCGACCAGCACTATCACCTTAAATAGGCAAGACCACACCATCGCTAATCTCATCTCCAATGAAATGACAAAGAACAAGGACGTGATATTTTCTGGTTATAGAGTGCCCCATCCACTCAATCCACGTTCAGAGGTTAGGGTACAGACCGTTGCTAATACCATTACCCCTAAAGATGCTCTTAAAAGTGCTGCGACGACTTTGTTGGCTGAGTGTGCCAATTTTCAGGATGAGATGAAGGCTGAGTTCCATAAGATATCTATTGAGGGTATTAACAACGGCGAGGATGACTTTGGTATGCAACCCGCGTCAGCTGATCAGCCTGACGAGTATTATGTTGATTATTAGTCGGTAGCTATTGTTAATTTATATTTATCGGGTTTGTTTTCACATTTAGTGACGCTAGCGTAGTCATACTCTACCAACCAATCGAGACCAATCTGGATGCTATCTTGTGAGAGAGTAGAGAGGTTCTCTTGGTAGTTTGTGACTTTATTGTGGATGATTTGAAGAGATGCTTGATGTTTGAGGTTAGACATGACATTGAATAACGCGTCTTTAAGTAGAGGTCCAGAAGGACATTTGTAGTGTTCGTATAAACCACTCAAGTCAGATTCTAGGGGGTCATCTTCATCTTGTGATGGTGGCTCAGTTAGTTCGATCGAGCTAGAATCAAATGAAATAGCATCATATACGATGAGTTCTCCTTTCTTCACTAAATTATTGAGTGATTGAGTGTATAACCTATCTATCTTGGCGTGTTTTGATTCCGAGGATGATGATGGATTAAGTCTTGTCTGATGTCTCAAATCGTAAAGCCTTCGAGCGAGTAGTCGTAGAGAGTTACTCAGTTTGAGTGATAAGATAGATATGTTATGCTGTGAATTGAGATTGATGAAATTCTTCATGTAAATCTCGAAAGTGTGCGGGGTAAGGTCATTGTGAGAGAGTTTCGAAGGATGAGAGAGTTTCGAAGTAAGCTTAGGTTTCTTTCTAGGGCGAGTTTGGGAGTCTACAGATTGTTTAATGAGATTTGTGGAGGAAGGGAGGATGAAAGAGTGAGAGTTGTGAACAGCCTGATCAACAAGCGCGATAGAATGAGTTTCCAAGTTTAAATTCGATTGCTTCGCAATGCTGTTGATGTAAATGATGCGTTTGTTGTTGTAAGTGTCTAATTTTCCCGTAATGGAAACAGCGTCTGCGATAGAGAATTGAGGTGAAGAATCAGTTTGAATAGGCAGAAAACAACGTATAACATCAGTACCATCTTCCAAATAAAAGATTAGTTTACCAAATTTAAGTTCAATCGTAAGTAAATATCCAAACAAGACTACGAATTTGAATGGCTGGTTGTTGAGCATATAATGATTACTGTATTGAGTTGCATAGGCTAGTGTTCTAATATCCAAATTTAGATAACTCTCCTCACTATTTATCCATTCAACTAATTTATTTTTCATTTCAATCTCCTCAAATATATCGTTTGACGTGGTTCAACCAGGTTGAGTATCACCAATGTCTACGAATCTACCTCCAAATTGGTTGGAATATACGTAAGCCTTGCGTTTCAAGAGTGATTTCTCTAAAATTGCTATTAGCGACCCTTCAACTGGTCAAGCTTACTATGTCAACACACTCACCAATCAATCTCAGTGGGAAGTTCCTTCTGTTGCAACCAATCAGAAAGCTAGAAGGCAACTAGCTAATCAACAAGCCCAGGCTTATTATGGTGCTCCACAGCAACCACAGCAAGCTCAACCACAGCAATTATTCACTCCAGGTGGTGGTGCTGGCGTTGGTGGTGGTGCTCCCACTGAATCCAACCAACCACTCAACAATCTCTCCAATCAATTCAGCCAATTTGATTTAAACTCAAAACCCCGCTCTACTGCCAACTCAATCAATCTCATCGGCTACCAACCAAATCCTAATGACATTTACGATAACCCACCGCCTCCGGTTCAACTCCCACCCAATGCATCAATCTCCAATTCCCCCACCGCCAACGCTCACCACTCGTTCAAGAGATCAACACTCAACGTTGTACCAACAACTCAATCTCTAATCAACAAACTTAAAATTCCCTTATCTATTATACTCACCCCTTACCGCTCCATCGACTCAGGTGAAGATGATATCCCTGTCATCACTGACACGGTTATATCCAGATGCAGAAGATGCAGAACTTACATAAACCCTTACGTTACCTTTTTAGAAGGTGGTACTCGTTGGAAGTGCTCCATTTGCAACCTCTCAAATGAAGTTCCTCAGATGTTCGATTGGGACCCAATCACTAATCAGCCTACTGATCGCTTTAATAGAGCTGAATTGAATCACTCTGTCGTTGAATTCGTTGCTCCTTCAGAGTACATGGTTCGACCTCCTCAGCCTCCCGTTTACGCTTTCTTGATCGACGTTTCTTACTCTTCCATCCAATCCGGTATGGTTGCAACCGTCGCGAGAACTATTTTAGAGACTTTAGATCGTATTCCCAACGAAGACGGAAGAACAAAAGTTTGTTTAATCGCTGTTAATCACGCTCTCCACTTTTTCAATCTTCCTCCTAACAGCTCTGATCCAAATATGTTAGTAGTTGGTGACCTTGACGATCCCTTCCTACCTACACCTAACGACCTCCTCGTTAATCTTTCAGAGTGCAGAGCTGCTATTGAAAATCTTCTCTCTAACCTGTCTGACATGTTCATCTCCTCTTCTGGTCCTGAATCTGCTATGGGTACTGCTCTCAAAGCCGCTGTCCAGCTTATTGGTCCTTTTGGTGGTAAAATCATGGTAATGACTGCCCAACTCCCCAATGTTGGTCAAGGTGCACTCAAGAATCGCGAAGACATCAAGATCCTCGGAACCACTAAAGAGTCCTCCCTACTCCAACCACAAGGCGGTGGCTTCTACAAAAATCTCGCTATCGACTGCTCCAGATCGCAAATCTCCGTGGACATGTTCCTCTTTGGTTCGCCATACCAGGATGTCGCAACGCTGCAATGCCTCCCCAAGTACACGTCTGGCGGTACCTATTTCTACCCCGGCTTTAATGCATCACGGATTGAGGATGCGCTTAAATTGGCCCACGAGCTATCTATCGTCCTTAGCTCGCCTATCGCCCTTGAGGCCGTAATGCGCGTGCGCGCCACACGTGGAGTGCGTATGTCAGAGTACCACGGTAATTTCTTCGTGCGCTCCACCGATCTCCTCGCGATGCCTACTGTCCCTATCGACCAGTCCTATTGTGCGGAGGTGACACTAGAGGAGAACTTGAATGTACCATTTGTCGTGTTCCAAACTGCGGTGCTGCACACGACGTGTTACGGTGAGCGTCGCATTCGCGTAGTTACCCTCGCTCTGCCTACATCGTCGAATCCGGCGGAGATATACGCTTCGGCTGACGAAAATGCCATTGCCACCCTCCTTGCTAACAAGGCCGTCGAGCGCTCGCAGTCGAGTAAGCTGGAGGATGCTCGAGATGCAGTGCTCAACAAGCTTGTCGATATTTTTGGTCAATACAAATCTACCATGACAGCAGGAGGTGGCGCATCAGCGCAGTTGATGGTCAGCGAAAACATGCGCCATCTTCCCCTTCTCCTTCTCGGTCTACTCAAGAATATTGGTTTAAGACAGAGTAGTCATATTCCATCAGATCTGCGCGCTTATGCCCAGACTCTCCTCACTACCCTCCCCACACAGGCGCTTATACCATATCTCTACCCTACGCTCTACTCGCTGCACAACATGCCTGCCGAGGTGAGTAGAAAGTGTTTGTTTAGGGTGTCAACACTAACACTAACCCTCACAGGCTGGGATGTTGAGCGAAGGTGGACTCGTCCTCCCACCCAGATTGAATCTCACTATCGAGAAGTTCGAGCGTCATGGACTCTATCTAATTGAAGATGGTCAACAGATGTTCTTGTGGATCGGTCGCGATGCCGTGCCGCAACTCGTACTCGACGTCTTTAACTTGCCCACTCTGCAAGATCTCAGACCGGGCAAGATTACACTCCCACTGCTCGATAACGCCATGTCCGCACGCGTGAATGGCATCGTAAATAAGGTTAGAGAGTCGAGAAGAGGCCCTTACAAACCACACCTCTATCTCGTTAAGGAAGACGGCGATCCTAGTCTCCGCTCATGGGCTCTTTCACTTCTCGTTGAGGACCGCTTCGAGATGGGTCTGTCGTATTCGCAGTGGTTAGCTACTCTGCGTGACAAGATTAATTCTGGTTCGTATAACTAAAACGTGCGTTACCAATAAAATGGGTGTCTTTTCTTTCCAAAAGTATTATAACCAATCAATTCGATATATTTGTTTCATTTTTTAATTTATCTTTCTTATAACAAGAATAACACTCTCAATAAAATCATCTAATCAACATTCTTGTTCTCATCGCCATTCTCAAAGTTCTCGACCAAATCAGGCACGTCATCGTCATTGCCGTCCTCCTTAGCTTTGTTGACGGCCTGCTGCTGCTGTGCTTGGGTGAGTTGCTGGTATTGCTCCGCGAGTCTTCTGAGATTGGCGAGCGAGTCGGCACCAAGTTGTGGAAGGATACCTGGTACGAGTTCAGTCAACTCCTTGTTCTGAGCTCTACCGTAAACAGCCGTAGTGTTGGCGCTTTCTGCGCTGTGAACAATTGGCTTAGCGAAGTGGATTACATTGCCGTCTTCTTTGAACATGTTGACCTCGTCAATACCTGGAACATGCTGCACATTAATCTTCTTCAAAGCTGCTTGAATCTTTTGGTCATCAGCCTCGGTGTGTGGCTTGCGGACTTGTTTACGACGTGGTGCGTTCTTACCGCCTTGTTGTCTGTTAGAGATTGCATGTGTGCTGCTGTACACTCAACACACCTGTGCGTGATGCAGCTTGCATTTTCTGCAGTTTTTGTACGTCCATCTTGTTTATTTCTTGTGCAGGATAGGATGAAGAAGTCGCCTGTCATGATTTTCGTTTGTAAAATTTATAAAAATTTATTCACAGTGAATTATCTATTTACATTTATATTCTACTTTAAGACTGCTCACACTATGCTCATCCGCTTCCTTGTTCATTTGCACAGCTTACATCACACACCACACACTCTTTATTCAAAAAGAAGGTATACATTTACACCAACGGCTCCCTACTCTCACTCATCGGATTCCTTCCACTATACCGCACAGGCGACGTCGGCGGATACTCATTCATTTCCAATTCAGACACGCTCCCTGAAGCTATGTTGTATGGTGTCGTTCGTGAGCTCGTCACAGACCGCGACATCGGCTGCCACACAGCCAATGGCGGTAGCTGCAGTTGATTCTTCCCATTTTCCTCCTCCCTCACATAGCTGTCATCATCATCATCCACACTACGCCCCAGTCCGAAACTGGCTATTGAGGCGTGTCCATTCGTGACACCCATCTCTACATCTTCAGGTATAGCAACCAGCTTGTGTTGGCGCTCCTCTTGCTCGATTTCCCTTCTATGTTTCACCCCCAGTTCGTCTTTGAGATGACCGACAATCCACCGCTCGCGAATTATATCCTTGTCCATTGGCATATATGTGTTGTGGGCCAATTTGATAATAAAGCGCGGCGCGAGAGCAATCACTGGCGTGATTACAACTGTGAACCAAAATGTAGCTGAGGAGAAGACGTCAATGACCTCCCCGTGAAAATTTTGTCCGTCAAATGCAGAATACAGCGCTGTCCATATGAATACTAGTAAGGTAGTTACGATATTCACAGTCCACACCATCCATGTCCAGTACTTGGTGTTCAGACCGACGTAGCCATTTGCGCAGAGAACGCATGTACAGCATATCGTCACCCCGACTTCCCAAAGACTATTGGCATCCCGACCCGAGTAGCTCTGCGTCGTTCCACCAATATATGCTCCATACGCTACGAAGAAACATACACAAGCCTGATAACAGCCGTCTAACATGTACAGCCAGAACTTGGTGCGCGTATACTCTAGACCAGCTATGCCACGTTTGTAGAGTTGCGGAAAAGCGAGTGACGCGGTTGCGTTGACATCCTGTTCGAACGCCCCCATTATTATCACCGGTAGCGATGTAAAGAGGAGGTTGTAAAACATGATGTAAGTGTATTCGAATAGATACGTTGCGTCGAATGAGCAGTATATCAGGTAGAGAAACATGATCAGCGTAAATATTATGTTCTTGAAGAAGAAATTCGCGTGCATCTCTGCTATCCGAATGTAAGACCACCTGCCATGAACGAGGAGAAGGTGCGTGAGGTCTTTATAATCGCATTAGCATATAGTGCTACTGAAATACACTTTCACTCACATCTAAACTGTCCAATTGCATAGTCTGCTGACATGGACGCTTGAGCACCTTCTAAACCTGCTATCCCGATACCGATGTTCGCCTGCTGGATCATGGCAACATCATTTGCACCATCACCTATCGAAAGCGTCATTGCCTTTTTGCCCTCCTTCACAAGACTCACAGTCTGAGCTTTCTGGGATGGTGACACTCGACAGCAGAGTACTGTCTCGCATTGTGTACCAAGATTCAAGAACTGGCTCTTATTCTCTTCATTGAGCGCATATTTCAACGTCTCCCCGTCCACCACAACAGCATACTTCTTATCTATGAATCTATCATTACTGTCCGTCGACTGTAGCTTATTCAGACTTGATTCGATCTGTAGAAGCGTGTCATGCGTGTTTTCAGCTGATAATATCATTATTTCCATTCCATTATCTAGCAAATTGCAACTAAAGCCTATTTCGATAGCTGTCTGAACTTTATCGCCTGTCAGAATCCACAACTTAATACCTGCTTTGTGCAGTGTCTGGATGGAGTCAGGTACACCCTCCTGCAGCTTGTCTTCCAGGGCTGTAGCGCCTACTATTACCAAATCACGTTCAATCAAATCGCAGCTTTTCTCGATCTCCTCTTCTCGATCTGTTATCGAAGCTGCTGCTTTATCATACACCGCCTCCCACTCATGATACTCCTTCTGCGACACTTCACGTTGTGCTACGAGCAGTGTACGCAGACCCGAGTTGGCAAATTCTTCAAGATCTCTCATCGTCTCATTGAACAAATACCTATCATGATCTACGCGCAATCTCTCACTAATAACCGAGTCTGCACCCTTACACAGGAGAAGGTTCCGTCCGTCAGTTGTTCTCACAACAACGCTCATCCGCTTCCTCGATGAATTGAATTCGAGTATTTTGAGTGGAGTGTACCGCTCGACATTCCCGCATACATTCAGTTCCAGCCATGTATTCGATCTATTAACAAACGCGAATCCCATATCGCGCGCTGTAGCTACCAACGCCGCTTCATCTGGTGACTGAGCTTTGTACTCGAGTTTGAATGGTTGGGAGTCATCTGGTACAGATGCAATGACATCGTGACAAATTGCTAATGCTCTGAAGAAATGATATATTGAATGCTTCCTATCAGACTCAATCAGATCACTGACTAGATTTGGTGAGATCAATGTTAAGTGCTCAGATTGAAAGTATTTGTTGGTAAATGCATTTCCCATTTTTTGCATCATTTCCTTTTTCATCTCTGCAATCTCAAAACCATGTTGCTCACTGTTAAAGTTAAGTTCACGTCCTTCGCGCTTGGCCGCACCAAGCATAGCCTCCGTTATTCCTTCTCCATATTCCTTGCCTGCGATAGAGCACTTTTTGAACTCCATCACGTTTTGTGTTAGCGTGCCTGTCTTGTCGGAGAAAATGTACTCTATTTGACCAAGATCGTCAGATATGTTCCAGCTTTTTGGGACACATGGATGATCTAGTTCTGGATAATACATATCCAAATCCTTTCAGATGAGTCAGTATTATCTTCAAATTGTACCATATACCTACCTGCCAGATAAAGAATGCTTGAATAGTCTTGACAATTTCGATAGATATATAAAGAGATATAGGGACCTTGAATGCTTATCAGAAAAATCACTTGTCCGCAAATATCGCTTACAATATTTTGGAATGCTATAAGACAAGCACAAAAGGTAATGAGAGAGTTGATCGATACTTTTGAATCCATCATAGCATCTTGTTCATATAGCCGTGAACTGGTGTCATCACTATTCCAATACATACCATTCGCAATGGCCGCAATGGCACACATCGCAATCAAGATGATAAAGTTCATAGCTACGTTGAAGTTGGTCTCCTTCTCAATTTTTGATCGTTTCGACGGAGTTTCTCCACCATTGAGCATTATCTTGGTATCGCCACCGGTAAAAACAACAAATCCGATAGCCCACCGTGTATTCCTGAGCGAACATCCTCTTAATAGTAGCTCCGATGCAGTCGCCGGCTCGACTGCCTCCTGTGTAACTGTGCTTTCGGGAGTTTTGCGAGGTTTGTAGCGCAGGACACCGTTGTATGAGTACAAATTAGCATTTGGAGGCTCACTGTCTATCAAAAATTGGGAGTGCTCAATGTCTTCTTCCGAGCAGAGGCCTGAAGTGGCTTTGAGACATTTCTTCGGCTTGAGGTTGGTTTCTCCGTCGAGATTCTTGGTCTCTACGAAAGCCATGCCATCAGGGTCCGAAGTTGACAACAGAACTACATCAGCAGGTATCTGATCATTCTCTCGAAGAAGAACAAAGTCGCCAACCTGTAGCTTTTTCCAAAACGTCCGTTCCCACCTAGATGTACCTGGTGTCTGGTTTGCGTAATCCACTACACCGATAGTATTGTTTGATGGTGTAAGGGAGGTCATTGTATCTGCCTTGTTTCCATGCATATACAGAACACTATCCGTCAAACCCGCCGCGTTGCTATCGTGCAACTTACGCTGACCTCTGCTCGTACCTTTGTCGATATTAAATGTCTTCTCGAAAAGCGATCTATCATCTTCGGGTATATTGACATTTTTAAAGTTGTTTAACTTTGTGGTAACTGAATGATTGACCTGACTATCTAAGACATTTCGTCGATAGTCCTCAATAGCGTCCTTTATGCCTGTTATTACCAAGATAGCGACAAGGGGAAGCATTGCAACCTGTGGAGTAGTTGCGCCAAAAATAGGGAATATCTGCAATATCACCAGAAGTAAGAAATATATGTTGGCAACTCTCCTAAATTGCTCCAATAGATTCTTTGGTATGAATGTAATTAACGTATATTTGGCGGTCCTGACTTTATTTCTGGGGTATTTTGCAATTGGATCGCCAGTCTTGCTTAGCTCGTAAGGTGGTAAGGGGATGTTGGCATATACGTTACGTCTGTTGCCGTCAACTGGTGACTTGTCAGGAACAGTGGCATTTTTGTCTTTTAGCTTGTTCGCAGCCTTCTTGACCTTCTCCCTTAATCGCTTACGCTTTGACTCTCTGCGCTTATCGTGACGATGTGCTTCACGAATAGAGCTAGAGGCTGAGCGCACAGTTCTCAATCTGAGATTTGGATCAACATTGAGCGGTGAGTTGATTGTGTCGTCGTCTGTGTCATCTTCAATCAAATGCTTTGCTGAACTTGCTATGGAATTTGGCATACCGCAGTAGTATCAGTAACCTTGAGTGTAAGAAGCTAGTGTAGATTGAGCTACTGTTTGTGTAGATCGCAGTGAGGCTTACTGGAAAAGGGTATCTCTCTTGCTTGGAGAGTGTGTTCGTGTTGGTGGTATGAGAGAAGACAGAGAGTGGTAAGCGAGGGATAATGTCACTCGCAGGTCATTTTGCACCGATTAAAATGGCGTAACACACACGCAATAATCCCTTAAAGTGCTGCTGACAGAACTCGTTTTACTTTCTGAAATGTCGCACAATGATACATACGTAATGCTGGCAATGATAAGGGCATGTTCGGCATGTTCGGCTCATTTGGAGAATAAAGTTCCAATTCTTAGCGCACACCTCATCCTCCTCGTTTGCATACCTTCACGGAAAAAACTTCATTAGTGTTTCGAAATTAGTATATATTGGTTGGTAGGATACAGTTAAGTGTACGTTAGTCATGATCATAAGAATAAAGAATGTGCCAGCGAGCTGATGGGACACTGTGCTCTTTCTATGTTTGGTATAGATATGTTGAAATAACTTTGCGAGATCGGAGCTAAAAGAGAAGAAATATCGCTAGGCGAAGATGCAAGTAAAGTTTTAGACTGCAAGAGCCTTCTTCTTGAGGTCTTCAAGACGTGAAGATCCTCCAGCATCGTAGTATGGGCGCTCTCCTATTCCTAGTACGCGGTTGCCAGCACGGGGACCGGTAGTATCTAACGTACAGCAGTGAGTAGTCGTTCGGTTATCCCACAAAGCGACATCGTTCGTACTCCACTGGTAGCGAACGTGAGCATCGTGGCTGTTTTGCAGATGGTAGAGGTAGTTGAGCAGTGCATCGCTCTCGTCCTTCTTCAACCCATCTATCTTCTTAGTGAAGCATTTGTTCACAAAAACACCGTGCCAGCCAGTGACTGGGTTTGTGCGAATGATTGGATGTTTCGCTGTGAGATGTGCTCCGCGATTCTCATCACTTCCTCTACCTACGTCATCTTCCTTTTCACCGCGGAAAGTGATGCCGTAGTTGCGTTTAGCGTCTTGAAAGGTAGGTGCGTGATGTGACGCTGTCAAGGTAGACAAGAAGGTGCGCATTGTAGGTGAAATCTTGTCGTAGACTGTGTATGCAGATGCCCAGAGAGTGTCACCGCCAATTGGGACAGTGTGCATCTTGAGAATCGCATAGTCACTAGGGACATTCTCGAAAGTGATATCGGTGTGCCAGTTTGCCGAGGCGTGTTCGCTCTTTTCGATTTCCTCATCGTATTTGTCCTGATTGAACTTGTCGTCGAGGCTAAAGACAGCCGGTGCTTGGCCGAATTCGCCAAAGTCTGGTGTAAGCGGGTGTATATGCAGCTTGCTGTTTTTAGGTTTCCCGGTGAGGTCGCCAAGCGCTTGACCTGCGGAAGCAATTAGAAAATACAGCAGAGGGAGCATAAGACCCACCCAAGCGAGCTTGTTGGTCTGGAGTTATGTCCTGGTCTTTGGCGATGACCACGCCTCTGCGACTGATCAGCACCGCCAGTTCATGCACGAGTTTGTCGTTTTCGAGGATTTCGCTGAGCTGTACGCCTTGCTTGAGCTGGGTGCCGACTGCAGGAGTGAGGTGTCTGTCGATGTGCTTGTCCCAATTGGCTGGGTACTCAAATGGACCGTTGAGCTCTGATTGGTTCAGCGTGAGAGCTTGTGTAGTGGCGGTAAGCGTCTCGCTCATTGTATCTGTGAAGTGGGTTGAAAGATGAATGAGAAGAAAAACGGAAGCGGTAACTGGTAACTATTAGCAATCTGAAAATTTCTTCGATCACACAATCGTCGGAGCGTTTCACGCAACAGATATCCAACTGGAGAGTGGAATGTTTAGATTTTTTGAATTACTAGCAGTCCCCTTGGAAACCGGAATTTTTCCAATGCATAAATGCCCTGCCACGTCGAAGTCTCTCACAGATAGTAACTGAGTTTCAATCAAATTTTATTTCATTGCAGATTACAATTATCTAGTATATGTATCCTCGTAATGGAGCGATTTGATCCTGGCCGTGTGGCTCAAAGACCGCTGAGTATAGAGGAAGTTTCTCTAGCCATCGAGAAAATTGAATGCCGCTACTAATGGGCGACACACAGAGTGTGATGGCAGTTATATCAGCCATAAAGTCCTGAAAGCAATGCTCAAGCATCGTTCTCAGTACTTCATCGCTGCGATGAAGAGGAGGGAGCGAGAAGACGCCAAATTTATAGCTTATGATTAGGGTTACACAGTGAAAATTAATTGTTATTCACAGCTACTGGCATGGGCTTGGCGACTGCGTTCAACCAACTCTCCTTCCTCTTTCGGCTGCTACTCCGCCTTTTTCCTTCGAACGATTTGGGCACATTTATCGAGTGTATATCGCTATGCAATCAAATAAATACAACAAATCCAAATTCCCCATCTAGTACAAAGGGAACTCTCCAAATTGCCCCTCGCCAAACTGTATCCACGAAGTTGTACCTGAGTCCACGATAGCAAATACAACGGCACGCTTTCCGTGCTTCAGAGCAGGGAACATCACAGCAGGACTCTTTTTCCTGTTAGACTCGTCGGCAGCCAGCTGCTTGCGATTCCACCACCTTGAAAACCAGCTTATCTCCGATACTGCAAGTTCTGGCTTCTTACCGTTCTTCTCTTCCTTCTCCTTAGCCAGCTTCTGCTTACGCGTGAGTGGTGGCTGTGAGTATGGCTGATGGCTGAATATATGAGCAAACTGCTCCAAGCTGGGCAGGGATGACTTGTGCGTGTCGACAACTACGATTCTGAAATCAGGTGGTGGTGGTGCGCTCTTCCTGAACTTGGAGCTTGGTCTCCATATATCCCATGTTACATCAAATTCGTGCTGCTGCTCTTCACTTAGTCTTGTGCTTACTTCTGGCGTGTCGTTGTATCCCCACGGAGTCAGCCTTAGTGCTTTGAATATCGAGTCTATTGGGCTGATTAGCTTATGAGACAGACTAAAAGCAACTCACCATAATTTTGATGTGGACGGAGGAAACTAGAGCGAGAGCCGAGCAACGTTGTGACTCTGAAGTTGAAAAGCCTGACAAAGCTTGCAATAGGGGAAAAAATGGTGTTGACAATGCCTTTTAGAGTGTTGTATATTCTGCCTAGCAATCCAGGCTGCTCTCCAGGTTTTATCTGCTGCTGTTGAGCTCTCTTAACAATGTATCCGAGTCTTTTGAGCTGTGCATAGACAGTGTACTTCTCCAAAGTCAGGCCATCTTTGCCAATGCAGCAATCAAAAGCGCGCTGAGCCGAAAAGGGAGCCAGCCCGGCAACGCGCTCATCAACAGCGCTATCATTCGTCGACAGCTTCAGCATCTTGTCGTTGTTGTCGCTCCATTCGTATTCGTAACACAACAGCGAGCCTCTCTCAACCATATAGAGCGCCTCCTCTGGGAGCAATTCCATTCTGGTCTCCGAAGCCACCTTCTCAACATTACCTTCCCTCTTAGACGGTGTATTTCTCACTGGATGACCTATAGAAGAGAAATGTGTGCCTCTCTGTATAATTATGCTAGCTCTGCTGTGTGCATTCGACCACAAACCAATGCTAATGTTCTTGTTTGACGACTGGCGTACGCCGTCTATAGCGTTGAACATGGCATCTCTAGATTCATCAAGAGCTTTCTGTTGTATTTTCAATCCAGATGGCTCGAACTCCTTTTCACCTCTGCGCGGAATGTACGTCTCTTTTGATTTGCGGTTCGTGAAGCTGGCCAGCTGGCGATAGTCCGGTACTTCATCCTCAGCGCTATCATTCTCATCGCTGTCATCTGAGTTGTTTTGCGCAATTTTAAACTCATCCTGATCCATTTCGGTTGATTGTTGAATAAGTGCGCTCACTAACGAAATGGCTGATCAATTAGTGAGTACTTAATTTTTATTTCAGTGAGCAGCTACCTGACACATTAATCTTCAGACTGAAGGTATGTCTCCTCACGCTATTGCGGCGCCCACAGCACTGACGTATCAACGCGATCAGAACAAATTTCCGGTGAGCATTTCTTCATGCTACTGTTGCTTTCTCTCACTCCTTACAGAATTCAAGGAAGCTTTCTCTCTATTTGACAAAGGTGCGATTCACCTCTTCTCTTTTACGCCATTCTTACGCTGGCTGTAGATGGCGATGGCACTATCACCACAAAAGAACTTGGTACAGTGATGAGATCCCTCGGCCAAAATCCTACAGAGGCTGAGTTGCAGGATATGATCAATGAAGTCGATGCAGACGGCAACGGCACCATCGATTTCCCAGAATTCCTCACCATGATGGCTAGAAAAATGAAAGACACTGATAGCGAAGAGGAGATCAAAGAGGCTTTCAAGGTTTTCGACAAAGACGGCAACGGCTTCATCAGTGCAGCTGAACTGAGACACGTTATGACCAACTTGGGCGAAAAGCTCAGCGAATCTGAAGTAGATGAAATGATCAGAGAAGCTGACGTTGACGGTGATGGTCAAATTAACTACACCGAATTCGTCAATATGATGATGGGCAAGTAATCTGAGTTCTATACCACCCCACTAATCCTTCTATCTTTTTTTGTATGTCGTTTTTATGGAAAGAATTTGCTATATCTTCTGAGAATTACAAGACTTCTTTGCTAATTTGTTGATCTTCCTGGAATGGTATGCTGAAATCTCACTGACTGTTGGCTTCGCTTATGAATTTGAGATTTCGTCTGTCTTTAAACGTCAACCCCTTTGCTGCTTTGGCGAGTCTAATCGCTGTTGCAAAGTCTGATTGAGAGGCCAGTGGCATTGTCTTGTGTCTGTTAGCTTCTGCTTTCTGCTGTTCGAGCTTGTTCGCTTCCGTGTACTCTGTTGCAACCTGCTCGGCCCGTACGACTACAGGCAGTGGCACACCGGCCAATTTGGCAACATGATGTCCATAGCTGTCCAGCGCTACCCCATTTACGAGCTTGTAAAGGAATCTAATTTCCCTCTTTTCACTATTCACCTCGGAAGCCATGTGGCATGATTTGATATTTGGGTGAGTCGATCCAAAGTCGCCAAGACTTGAGTAGTGGGTGGAGAAAAGACAGCATCCCAAGAATGAGGCGATGTGCTGTAGTACCGCACTAGCAATGGCAATACCTTGAGTCGTAGAAGTACCCCTCTATTGGGCGGCGTTAGTCGATAAAAATGTCTCACAGCGCGACCCACTCCCAGCTCATCTAAAATAAGCAAGCTCTTCGGCGTAGTCTCGTTGATTATCTTCGAGCTGTGCGCTGCGTCAGAACTTCTAAAATCATTTTCTCGTATACCCACGTTTCCGCCAATTCGACCATAAATGTCGACGAGTTACTAAACATGTTGTCATAGGCACCAAGTCTACTAGCAATTCTATCAACAGGGGCAATAGTGGCGCTTTCAGCAGGCACGTAACAGCCAATCTGCGCCATAATAACTGCAGCAGCAGTCATACGAAGAAGAGTGGATTTACCCGCCATGTTAGGACCAGTCAACAGCATAGTTCCCTCATCCTTACCACCCAATCTGACATCATTTGCCACGAAGTCCCTCCTCAATGCCATAGACGGATGGCGGAGCTGTTCAAATTCCAATACAGCTTCATTAGACTCAATGATATTCGGTCTGCATCTGGGCTCTTCCATGTTAATTGAAGATTTGGCTAGCGAGTTGATGCAATCAATCTCAGCACACGCCTTGACTGCTGCAATCCATGTCTTGTAATCAGCATCGAAAGCGACATAGAGCTTCTTAGCAAAGTCGTCCAGAGCAGTTGTGCGTGTTTCACGCGCTTCCTTTACTTTCTGTACGAGCTGACGAACTTCTGGTGACCAGTATCTGTCTACCTTCTGCGTCGAGGACATCTTCGTCCAATTGGCAGGCACCGATGTCTTTTTTGGCATCTCAATCGAGTATATCTCTTTCGTTCCCACATCTTTGTAGTTTATGCCCTTCGTCTTGTATTCACGTCTGTACTTGTTAAGTATCTCGTCGAGCTCTTCCTCTAGCTCTTCGTTTAGCTTCTTCGCCTCCTCGTAAGCTTCATCTGCACCATCGCATGGCATCAGCGTCTCACCCTCAGTCAAATCGAACTTGGATTCAATATTTGATATATAATCTCTCAAATCGGGTATGGATTTCAGCGTTGCTCGGAGAGATTGCGAATCGAATTCCTTTGCTTCATCTTCTAGCTTTTCGAAGACTTGTTGAATCTTGTTGAATGCACCTAGCACTTGTATAAACTGCTTAGGTCTCACTGACATAGCATGGATTCTGGACAGTAGTCTTTCGAGATCTGGTAATCCTTTGACGTTACTGTCAAATTCATATGTAAAACCTGGATTGGATATAATATCGTCAACGGCGTTTAAACGCTCGTTAATCGCCTTTGACGAGCGCAGAGGAGTACACAACCATATCCTGAAAAGACGTTTACCAAATGGAGTAACACATCTGTTGAGCAGCTTAAGTAGAGTGTCGTCCTCGTTACCTTCACTATTGACGAGAACTTCTATATGTGCCAGCGTTCTACCGTCTAAGATCATAGCTTGACCTTCACGTGTGGCATCATATATGTTGAAATTCCCAAGAGACAGCAAATCACGATCAAGGTTGAGTGATCGAAGATACCACATCAGGTTTCCTAACGATTCGATGGCTTCGGTATTCTCGACGATACTTTCCACTGCATCTGGCAGCTTGACTCTTTCAATATCCTCGACACCCTTTTTGAATAGCGTTTTAAGCTCTGTTATAGTTTCAATTGCATCCATTCCTTCTTTCCCTGTGTTGAGGGGTGTCCATAGGCATGAAATTGACGTAATGTTCCTCAGTACACGCAAAGTGAGCTGATCCAGATTACCTTTCTCATGAACAATTTCCTTGGGACGCAGCTGTCTAATCAGGGTCTCTAATTTTGATCTCGACTTGTCATCTTCGAAAGTAGCGAGGTTGAATTCACCAGTACTAGCGTCAAGAATGCATAGTCCAAAGGAAGGTACGTTACTTGCCAGACTGTTACTATTCTCTTTGATTGATACACAATGTGAAGCTGCTTCGTCTGCAAGCATTTTCGGATCCACAAGAGTACCATTTGTCAACACAGAGCGTAATTCACGACGCACAAGCTTATCATCAGATTTAGATCCCTTTGCTGCCGCTCCTGCTGGCTTTTTATCTGCCTTGTTGCGCATATCCATGCCAATTGCAGTCTCGCGTTGCTCTACCTTTCCAACTTTATAACCTAGTGCTAGGAACTTGGCCGCGAATAAATCAAACGACATCTCCGGTACACCGACCATGCACATTCTCACGCGTTCAGTCAGCTTGAGATCGAATTCGCGGTGTCCAATGATCGCATCGTTCTCGTAGAGCTCGTAGAACTTGCCTTTCTGGAAGAAGAGGATTGTGTCAAAGTGGTCAGACTTGATTTCCCAAAACTGCTTTTCAAATGGAGAAAACTCGCTCCAGAATTTTGGCGGGATGTAAAGAGTGTGAGGATCGTAGTCTGGATGGCCAATTGGGTTTTGGTATTTGTCGCGTGGAGGGTGTAAGAACATGAATGGAGAGTCTGAATCCTTCTTTGCAGCCTTAGTCTGTTGTGCTTGACGTTCAGCTTTCGTCAGGAGTGATTTGTTTTCACCAGAACTTTGACGTTTAGGTGTCTCTGTGACAGGCTTGGATGTAGTAGCTAGCGGTTTCTTTGCAGCTTGCTTTGCGGCTGGCTTTGCCTTCTCGAAAGCGTCTAAGTCCAGCTCCTCGATCAAGTCGTCAGAGTCTTCAACACCCAGGTTATTACGCGTGGTGTCGACATCCTCATCCATTTCGATAGGGCCATCATCAATGAAATCGTCGTCGTTGCTTTCCTTTCTCTTCTTGAGCCTTTGTTTGGGCTGTTCTGGCTCGTCTTCTTCAGATGAGATCACCATCGGCTTACGCTTCTTTATTGCACGCTTTGGCTGCTGGTTCTCCTCATCTTCATCACTATTTAAATGCGCGCTCTCGTTCAAAGGGGACATTGGAGCTGCTTTTGCTTTCTTGTGTTGAACGGCTGACTGAGGCGCAAGAGGGGAGGAGTTACCTGTGTCTTGTTGCGTCAGTGAGATCGCTGCACTACCACGAAAGACCCACTTGGTTTGATGGCATCTCTCTTTGTTGAGGACGGTGGATGCATTGGCGATGAAGATGGCGGCGCAGAGGAAGTGGGAGTCTTCTTAAAGAACCCAGCGGAGAACAGGCTGCCCTGCTTCATAGACTGCGAGCTCGATGGCGTTTTTGGTGGCATTATCTCTTATCTGCGTGTAGACGCGCTCAAAGTCAATGTCCAAGGAGGATAACGCGAATTATATCTTAAAATCCGTCTAAATTAATCTAAATTACTGTACAATTGAAGTGTGGTGTTCTTTTCGTGACGCCTCGCTCGCTGCCACTTTAGACATGAATTTTACTTGTTCGCCGACATTTCGAAGTACATCAAGCACCTGTCCATTGCCGGCAACAAATCCATACTCTGCGTACTCTAAATCATTTTCAGACGCAAACTTCGCTACCATATCGCGCGCTGCACGGAGGTTGTGGCGCGGTATGCGGGGGAAAAGATGGTGTGAGACTTGCATGTGTAGTCCTCCATGCAAAAAGTCCAGATACCAAGGACACGCAACGTCCATTGTAGTACGCAATTGTCTATGTGGGAACGATTCTGTCAATCCGAGGTCATCCGTCGATCTCGCGAAGTGTGACAACACAATCTGTAGCGAGTTTTAGCTGGATCGAGATTGAAAGTAGATACTCACCTGGACGTGTACCGGTGATGCAGCAATATTGCTCAATAACAAGAAGCCAATTTTTCCCCAATGTGAGGGTATGTGACTGATGAGACCTCCATACCAAGTCCAGAACACACTGACGCCAACGATCTCGAAATTTCTATACCAGTCGTTTCGAGACTTGGTTAGAAGGTAGGCGTACGACAAGGCAAAAAGATTGAAGCGTGCTACTGACATGACAATATAGTATAGGTTGTGTCTGAGCTGTTGTTAGAGGAGAATCAATAGGATATTGTAACCCACTGAATTGGTAAAACCAGCTTGGCGAATGCATCAAACTCCATCACTCGCCTGTAGTACGTGCTCCACATTGAGTTGAAAAACTTGGTTGAGATAGCAAAGAATGGTATGTGCTGAATATCAGGGTCGTGTTCGGGATGGTTCGTAACGACTGCGATTGTTTGTGAGCATGTCAGCCACCAATCCAACTCAACTCACTGTGATGAATGTCGTGATTCTGATTATCTAAGTTAATTAAATCCCGATAAGGTTCAAAATACTCACATCACACCACCAATTCGCGCTCAGTCCTCCAATATACGAAGCTATAAAGCACGCCAGAGTTTTGTCCGTTTTCTGTGATCCCCATATCTCGCAATGACCGGCATCATGGACAACAAACGTGATCTGGTGCCAGAAGACTCCTAAGGGTATCGCTGATAGGACCTTGCAGTCCATCTTGAAGTACAGCCATGCAAAGATCACCAAGAGAGAGGCATATCGTATGCACTCGTACAGATAAGCGTCGGGCTGTATTGTGTATAAGCCGCGACGTTTGACTTGATCGTGGAGCTTGTGGTAGCGCCGAGAGATCTCGTGCTGCCTCCGGGCATCCAGATTAGGGTCTGACGGTCTTGGTGGCTCCAGCTCTTGGACTGTGAGCGGAATAGAAGCAAACTTAGATTTTGGGAGGCTGGGCGTAACTGCGACGCGGTCGTTGTCCACTTCAGCATGCTTAAATTTATCGAAAGCCTGCGTGGTATCGCCTTCGACTTTATCGCATCTCCAGCCAAGCTGAACTGGCGGAGTGAGCGGGTAAAATGGCTCAGTATCCCTTTTATCCACTTCACCCACAATAAATCTCGGCAGAAGGGTATTTATCGTATTGTCATCATGATAAGCTGAGATTTCATCGGTAGCGTCCCTGCCGACAAAGTGGAGGATGGCGAGATCACCGCCGGGGTGTGTATCGAGCCAGCTGTTCAAACGCAGCACCTTGTTATCGAATATCACCAGAATTTGACCTTGTAAAATATGCTGTGCGATTGCTTTTCGAGTAAACGTTCTCATTGCGTCGATCAGAGAATGAAATACGTCGGGCTTATTTCAGGTGGTAAGGACTCAATTTTTAATCTCCTGCACTGTCAGCAGAACAGCCATCATCTCGTCGCAGTCGCAAACTTGAAGAATGGCGACGCGTATGAGGAGATGGACAGCTACATGTTCCAAACAGTTGGATTGTCTATTCTGCCGCTTATAGCGCAGTCTCTCGGCGTAGAGCTCTTTGAGGGTGTTATTAAGGGCACTCCGATCAACCAGTCCAGCAGCTACGAAGAGACTCTAAATGACGAAACTGAAGATCTCTACAAGCTCCTCAAATCAGTCAAGGAAAAGTACGCAGATTTGCAGGGTGTGAGCGTTGGCGCTATTCTGTCTAATTACCAGCGTGTGCGCGTCGAGCACGTCTGCAGTAGACTTGGTTTGACTGTCCTGGCTTATCTTTGGAGGAGACCGCAAGATAAGCTGCTGGATGAAATGGTAGCAGCTCAGCAGACCTCGATTATAATTAAGGTTGCCGGCGCTGGTCTCGATCCAGACCGTCATCTGGGTAAATCATTGGCACAGCTCAGACCAACACTCGACAAGCTGCATAATCTATACGGTGCCCATGTCTGCGGCGAGGGTGGCGAGTTTGAGACTGTCACGCTAGACAGCCCCTTGTACAAGCAGAGGATCGTCCTGTGAGTTTGCTTTTCCCGGCGACGATGGTAACTTGACATGGCAAAGAGACGAGACCGAGATTGTCTATCACGATCCTTCTCCTACGGCACCTGTAGCATATTTGCGTATCAAGAAAGCTCATCTTGAGCCAAAAGAAGGCAATGACCTTCAAATACTTGTCCAGCCTGAGTTGTATGATGATATATCACAAGAAATACAACTTAGCAATCTCAACGCTTCTACAAGCAGTCCTGTTGTAGATTCTCGGCGGCAAAGAGATCAAGAAGTCCAACCAAGGGCTACAATGAAGGAGACATCTAAGTGGTATAGCTTATCCAACCTCTATCCAACCAATAGCACAGCTGGAACTGCAGAGCAAACGAGAGATATCTTGCAACAAGCAAGCGTACATCTGCAATCTAAAAACCTACAACTTGATAAGCACGTCATCTTCATATCCGTTTACATAGCCGACATGAATGATTTTGAAAGTCTAAACAAAACCTACGCTGCATACTTTACACGTAGTGGACCACCAGCGCGAGCTTGTGTGGCTACCGCACTAGGCGATGGCTACAAAGTCAGCATGTCGATACTGGCTAGCACTGACCAGTCAAGAAGTGCACTCCATGTACGTGGGCTATCATACTGGGCACCTGCAAACATAGGACCATACAGCCAGTGCTTATCGATCAACAACCGACATTTCATTTCTGGTCAAATAGCACTCAAGCCGTCAACGTTGTCTTTGGTAGAGGGGGGCGTTGTCCAACAGGCAATACTTTCCTTGCAGCATGCAAGAAAAGTGGCAGAGGGACAAGCGCCATCTTATATACCTCATGGCGAACTGCTTATGCGTCCCGAGAGCGTCATCTGCTATGTCTCTTCAAAGGATTATATCAACATCTGCCGCCGCGTTTTACGCCAAGCTGTCGTTGCAACATCGGAGCGTTCAGAAGATTTTTTGAGTATAGAAACACACGAGCCTGCTCAAATTTATGTTGCGGTCTCTCAATTACCAAAAGATGCGGCTGTCGAATGGCAATTTGTGTACAATGATCGTCAACTGCAAACCGATTACGATAGCGATGATGAGAGTGCAAGAAAAGAGGAAACCTTAGATGTCTTTTACAAAGACGAGGGTATCGTTCGTAAGCACCTTGCACAATCCCACGATGGACTGCAATCGTTTGAGTTCTTTGATGAGGGGTACTCGAAAGGGACACTCGAAAGAGCTCTTGCTTGCACGTTATATTATTCATCAGCCATAACTTTCGACAAAGGTGAGTATGCGATTGCTTGGAGAAACTCGTTAACACCATGATAAAGTCCAAACAGCCGTTTCCACTAATGTGACATATGTACCGGTCGATGCGATAGTCGACAAAGATGGCCAAGAATCACAAATGGCCTTGAGTGTGTTCACACCATCGCAATTATTATAGACATAACCATGTATCAACAATTCATTTACAGATTACTTGAGAAAGTGCCACGCCGAATATTTAACACATCTATCTTGGTCTATTCAAGACGTCAACTTAGCTAAGAGCAAAAAGAACACCCACATTTGTACATTTGTTTTGTGCATAACTACCCGTATTGAGTACCTGGTATCAATCGTGGCGTTACGACTGATCGATGTTATCATCGTCTAATACACTTCTTCCGTCATCAGTAGAATGAACTCTTAAGCGATCTGCGAGAGTTTATTAACGCTGATACTACTGAAGAGAAACCACACTCACATAAACACGTATGATGCTTATTACCGTGATTATCATTAACTCTCAAAACAACAGCATCAGCGCGGAAGTCCATTTCTTTGACAATATTTCTAACTTCGAACGTTTGTATGTGATGTTTGTTGAGGTCGTACGTGTCGACAGCAAGCAAAGCTGAGTTTCCAGCTGGTGCAGCTTCATTAACAGAATACTCCCGACTGATTTCCTCGATAACCTCTTCGTTGATTTCCTTGATTTTCTCAATCTGATTCTGGTCATCGGATATTCCCCACAATTCGACTGTTTGTGGCGCCGACGAGCGATCTTGAACGAGCAAAGGAGACGCGTGGTCAATTGTGTATCCAGAAATGGGTACAGCCGGTCTTGCCAGCTTGACACCTATCGCTCCAGCTGAGCCATGGAACGACCAGCACATTCCAACATTGGTGTCTGGATGAAGAGCAGTGACAGGTGGACGACCATACGCTCTGGTACCACTGCCGAGCATCTTACCCAACACTTTCCTCACAAAGCTCACAGGCGTAATTGAGTACGTTGGTGATGTTTGAGACGGTATCACTCTGGCACCAGCTGTAAAGAGTGCATAATCAGTTTTACCAATGGTATCTGCACTGTAGCGCCGCAAGGAGGATTCGACAATATCGCTGACCGTGTTTTGCAGCTCTTCGGAAGATGGCATCGATCCTCCACCCCTGAACCATGAATTCAAACCGCTCTTCTTGGATGACGCGTTGCTAACAAAAGATCTGACACGTTCATCCACTAAATTCATAAACTCTAATTTATTCACTACCTGCTCATCCACGCCACCTTCGCTATATAACCATTGTTTGAGCTTATCGGAGTTTTCACGGATGAACTCATCCCAGTTCGGATTCGAGATGGTGTTTTGGGTTTCAAACACGCTCCTTAGAGCCTTCCAAAATGCATCGTCGATTATTGCTTCCCCTGTTGGTGACTTTCTCACAAGCAATCTGTGAGGCAGGAGCTTCTCAACGATCCTGCTGACTTGCAACTCAGTTAATTGGGTATTGGTGATGTCGTCAAGTTTGTTTTGTATCGATTGCATCTGCACATGGGCATCCTCGCCATATTTGACGCGCGTCTTCACCTGCTGCATATCTTTGTTCAAGGTCTCAATCATATGCTGCAGGTTCTGGGTACCTCTCGACAGCTTCTGGAAGTCTTTGACTGAGACGTCGATTGGTTCCGAAGAGCCGCCTAGATTGACACTGGGTATGTAGTTGGATATAGAAGCATCGCTAGATCTAGACACCACAATCAATGCAGCTGCTAGGAGCAGTACACCGACCGATTTCTTGTGGTTGGTTATGTTTTTGGCGAATATTTTAGCAGCTACTACAGGGACGTAAGCTGTAAGCGCGAGAATTTGTAGCAGTGATTTCTTCGGTGTATGTGGTGGTATATTAGATTTTGGAGGTGAGGCTAGTCTGCGAGTAGGCTGCTTCTTTGGTGAAGCAGCTTTTGGTAGTGGAGGAGGCGGCATCGCAGGGGCACGAAGAGGTTCAGTCGCTTTTAAAGATTTCGGAAGCTGAGTTGGTTTTGGCGCTGGCGGAGGAGGAGGAGGAGGGGCGCTAAAATTGTCGTCTGGTGGGAGAATATCTACACTGTAATCATCCTGCACAGAAACAGATTGATCGTCTAGCGATTCGGAAGGTTTATGGTCATTCGAAGCGCTCGATTCTCTATAGTCTAGAGATATTTCGCTCGCGACATCTGAAGCATTTGAGCCTCTAGACTTCCTCGACTTTTTTCTTTTGTTTGATTTGCCATCGACGACGGTTTTAAATTGCAGACGAGACTTGGGCCATTTCTTGGATCTGTCTTTGCCTTCGTCTGAGAGAATGTGATCGTCGCCGCTGTCTTCTTCACGAGGTTGGTAGAAGTCTTCTTCCTCGTCGTCTTGGTCTTGATCATTATCCAAATGGCGCGAACGCCTTCTAACCCTCTTACCCAAAACACTATCTGGCCCCTGAAACGACTTTGATTGGGAGTTGTTCGAGCCTAAAGGGGTCTGAGCGTTTTCCTTATTCGAGCTCGGGGTGATTGAATTATCAGAGGGCGAGTATTGGGGAAGTTTATCAGCCAACCACTGACCTTTCTTCTTGCGCTGCTGATCGCGCTGCTCGAGATCTCTGACGATCTGGTCTTCGGGCTGATAGTCGTAGCTGTCGCTGAGATCGGATTCGGAGGGCTGCCTGTTCTGGGTAGACAGAATTAAATGGCTCTCTTTGACGGATGGCTGCGAGTCCTCGGAAATGACAGACTTAGAACGCGATCTCGTGTGTCTTCTGTACTGGTTCTGATTCTGCTGCTGTCTTTGCTCCATAGCCAAATTGAACGCTGATGCTATTGTCACTGATGTGCTGTTGTTCAGCGTGCTCATTCAGTGATGAAAGTCAAGAGCCAGAAACCAGGCGCGCGCGTATCTCTCAAGTCTTCAATGACTGACGAAGACAGCCAACTTAGAAGAATTCATAGATTGCTTAGGAATTTAAAATCAAAGCTAAAATTATTAGAGGATTTAGTCAGTAAGCGCAACAACGGCGCCGAGGAGCCACGTAGAGATGGCAGCAGATTCAGCTACTCTTCCAAGCAGCGCGACAACAATTGGAAAAGTCTCAAAATTCTGCCTAACATCGCTGCCACTGACAAACTCTTCAATGCTAGAAGCGGCTCTCTCGACGGTATCAATCTCCGCCGTGAGTCGTGATCGGGACAAACACACGCGTTTTTCTGATAAATCAATTCGCAGAGCTCATGGATCACATCCAGGCGCTCAGAATGGCTTTTGTGAACATTCTCGAGCTCAATAAGCCAACTAATGCTTTCCCTTCACTCACCCAACTCTCCGCCAAAGTAGTCGGCTATTCGATAATCAATTATGATCTTAGCTACGTTGAGTATGGTGACCAAAGTAATCTTGGCAAGATCGAATTAGAAGCACGCAAAATGGAGGTAGTTGACTATGTTTACAGCTGCGTACCTGCCCATCTGAGAACGTGAGTGTTGTTATCGCGCGTGAAATTAAGATAACATATTCAAGTCTGCTAGTGCCTTCTCATGCTCTGTCTTTGCTATTCTTGAGTGATATTCTCTCCAATCATCACGCAACTGTGTCGTCATTGCTGCCCACAACTCGCGCACACAGTCTTGAATTTCAAGACATAGTCCATCAGTCTCTTTTATCCGCTTTCTCAAGTCCCACGCTACCACCTCCTGACTACATCAGCAACATGTGTGATAAATTCAACGGCGGTGCCCAAGTTAATCGCTCGCTTATCAAACTAATTCCCGCATACGAGCCAGCACTGGCAACTTGCCGGGCAGTCGAAAGCATACGTAGCTTCAAGAGCCATACTTCAGAAATCCAGGACACATCTCCTCTGATACAGTCCATCTTCGAATCATGCTATCAGTCACCCATACCACCTTTAAAACTGCGAAAGTGGCTCGACATTGAAATACCAAAATCTCTCTTTGAAATTGCTTTGAACAATTCAATGCCAAGTGCACAGAGCGTGTTACTATCACTAGCTGTCGAGACAGCCGATCTTATTATCAAAGAGCCGTCATATCGCGAGTGGTTTTACATAGGCTTGAATCTATGCTCGGCAGCTCTTACAATATTCCATAGCAACCATTTCCTATCTGAGATTCTCGTTACGTACATCAATCAGATTTCGCGTATTCCCTTCCTGAATCGTTCTTTATCTGAAGCGCTTGACATGTTCAACCTTGACCTATTACTCGGAAAGTCTTACTCTAGTGCCCGTATCCTGATTGACGTACTTGGAGAAAATAACTTACTCCCAGTCCAGCTCTGTATTTTGCGCAAAGCGGTGGATAATTTCATATCAGTGGATGGGTATGATTATGCGACATTAAGAGACAAGAAGCACATTGCTGAGACAAAATTTGAGGAATTGAAGGTGAACTTCGTGCAGACTACGACATACAAAACGCCAAAGAAGATTAATTCGACGGTGATTGACTTTACACCTTATCCTGATGAAAGACTGCAATCGCATCGCAAATTAATGTCAACAAATCGCTTCAACCAAATACAGACTCCACAAACAAATCAACAAAAGGCAAAGATTGCACTCGGTCCGAACCAACCGATTGGTTCCACTTTCCGATTTCAGGCGCAAAACAAACTCTTTGGATTTGGCTCTCCATTCGTCGTCAAGCGCGACTGGAGGCAAAGGAGAGAGGGTGATGATGAGGGTGATATGGGTGTTAGTAGTAGTCAAGAAGAAGAAACACTGATCAGTGGTACTGAAACTAAAGATTTAGAAGTTAAAGAGTCGCTTCCAGCTCCTCAGGAAGACTCCAGTGAGTACTATCACCAGTCACCCGAATCTTCGGAAGGGAGCGAGCGGGTGACTACAAGCAGGGTCAGAAAGGGCAATGAGAGTAACAGCGAGAGTGACGCCGTTATGACGAACCTAAGTGATGATCTCGTTGCTTTAATCAAACACAAGCCCAAATCTGTCAAACCGGCCAGTCAACATTTACAAAAAAAGAAGCGCACGAAATTAGTGCCTATGTCCAGTCCTAGTCAAAGTGAGAACGATCACTCGGAGCACGAAGCACAGCTGAAACACGTCGAGCAACTAAATCAGGCAGATACGAAGTTTTTCTCCCGTGAAAGTAGTGATTTCGACTCATTGAATCATCCAAAGCGACAAGAAAAACTTGGATATGAGAGAAAGCCAACACAAGACCTTGTCTCATCGGCGCCACCGGAAAATCTGCAGGAACAGCGCAAGCCTTTATCTTCTTTCTCGAATATTCGTGATAAAAATCCACCTCTGCGTAGTCCCAAAACAAGGCGCTCTTTACCAAGACAATTATCAACGTCGCAGCCACAGCCTACATCTAAAGCACTCGAAAAATTATCTAATAGATCAACACTGTCGAAGCGCAAGAGTACGTTGATGGAAGCTACTCCTTTGAATCAGTTAAGCATGCCACGTAAAAGTCAACGTAGATTATCGCATGTGATTGATTTCGATGAAACGTCGGAAGACGATGAAAGTAATATAGCTAAAACTTCCGCGGCTAGGCAACAATCACCACCTCTCAGCAACAACGCCCTCATTCACAAATCGAGTGAAGTGACTAACGAATCAGCAGCACCAAAGCCTTCTAAATCTATACCCCAAATACAACTACTCAAAGAACAGGAAGAAAGCTCTCAAAACCCGCTCTCGAAATCTGCTCCTCAACCTTTATCGTCTAAAAGTAATTTACAACCCAAACAAGCCCACCCTAATGCTGGTATTACACGTCGCAAAAGCACATTGAGCGATTTGACGGGACACGGCGCTCGGGCTGACCCTATCTTAAAGGTTGCACAATGGATGGAAACAAGTACGTACACCAAGGCAGATTCTTATGTAGCTCGTGTAGAGCGTAAAGATAAAAAAAATGGTGAAAAGAATAGTAAAATACGCGAAAAGGGGAAACAGAGATATATTGCGCTACCCAGTGATAATAAGACAGATAAGACGCAAGAGCATACAAATTTAAGGAGGATGGAAAAAGAGGTTGAAGAAAGGAAAAAGAAAGGAGAAATGGAGCAAAAACAGGGGATGTTGAAAAAAGGAGAGAATTTTCGAAAGACTGTAAAGTCAAATGGGCAAGATCACAGTCGCAAACCCAATATCAATCCCTCGAGCAGTAATGGACGAAGCTTTCACTCTCAAAATCGCCATATCAGCGGACCAATTGACCTATCATCTGACAGCGTGCAGACTAAATCTTCCACCTCATCATCCTCAACATCTTCTTTCGCGTCTGAGTCCTCATCCTCGGAAGAGGCATCACCAGCTCAAGACAGACTCGAGATGCTACGACAGAAAGTGATGGCCAAGTACAAGAACAAGTCGTCGATGCTAGATGCGACACTGAAGCGTATGCACAGCCGAACTAGCGGAAGCAAGACACGTGAATGAATAATAATCCATAACACAACTGTATTTGTAGCAAAGCAATGTATAACACATTCAAGGTTATCAGGTTGATAGTCCAGGAATAAAGCGACTAAAAGTGCGGCGAGAACGCCAATAACGAGCCTGTAAATACAAGGAAAATGGATGTTTACGCCTGTGAAATGATGTAGCTTGATATCTCTTACTATGCTGGGGGGGGGGGGAAAAGAGGGGAGCATGCAATAAGGCTTAATGACATACCACTCTGGTAAGCGGCAAGGTTGTAGTCCTCTTATGCCCACTCAAGGTAGTCGCTGAAATGTTGTCCTCAAGCGATCGAAAGTGAAGTAGCAGGAAGAGCTCAGACATAGGCCTGCCACCTGGGCCGTACACTTAAGTCATATAGTTGTGCATCCCATTTTTCATCTCAATTTGTATTGCGCTGTGCATCACATCGTGCATCCCAATGTTCATTCCATATACATACATGGACATATATTAGTGATCAATTGGATTGGTGTTTATCAGGTTGTTCATGCCATCATAAGACGGGAAGCCCGAGTAGGTTGTGAAAGCGGCTTCGGGGAATTTAGTGAAGAATACGACGGTATACCGCTAAGACTTGCCTATCTGCGTCCGTCAAAGTTGTTTTTTGAGCTGTGAATGGATTAAAACTGTTCGAAGTGCGCTAGAATTCAGTGCGGTTCTTCTGTCTAGGCACTGCCCATCTATTGCCGTAATTTTTCAATTGCGAGATTTCCCAAGATGTCTTAACACCATCGGTGATGGTCTCTATGAATTTAAGCGATTGGCATCGTATTCCTAACCTCTCTAACAATTTGTTTTGATATTTTTGCCAGCTAGGTACATACATCCGCAACCTCACAGTTAAGCTCAAGATGTTTCAGATCCTTCACGCCACTGAAAAGTGCGACGATATCGTCGACTTTGGCGTATACTTTAGCAGTGACTTAATTAGTGTTTATGCTAAGTGTGTATAGGTCGCGTGGCTCTGAGCTACGCTCGAGGAGCGCTGTATTCATATTTTCGAAGGAGATGCTAAGCCAGTTGATATCGAGCTTTTTCAGGGCGAAAATGGCTCTGTGTGTCTCGTTGGTGCTGTCAATGTATTTGGCGCTGCCGAGGAAGTCTGAAGGGTAGCAGAACTTACCGAGGGCTGTCTTGGTAGACGATTTAGCGTCGACTTCAACGCCCAGGCTAACAATGATTCTTGGAGGTGTTGATTCTGTGTATAGAATTGGATATTAGATAAGAGTCGAAAATTTAAAGCACATCGTGCAGCTCGTGCCCAAAAATCGCAATTTCGTTGCCGTGAATCAATGCCAATGTGTTGGGAATTGGTCGATGAAAAAACAAAAGGCGCGGAGGAGAAGAGAGATGTGATTGAAGGTGAGAGTGGTGCTTAGGTTGACTAATTGAGTTTTAATATCTTTTTCTCTTGATCCCACACTTGCTTCATCTCACTTATCTCTAACCGCGAGCAAGATGATCAGGAGATATTTCGCAACGAGCGTGCGTGAATCTTCTAGCGTCTTATAATAGCCACTTAAATAGACTTTCAGGCATCTGTCAACGCTCTGAATCTCAGCTACACACTCTCGCTGGGCCACCCACTTAGCAACGTGAACCACAAAGACGCTATCGAGAAGTACAAGCAAGGTGATTTAAAGGATTATGTCAGTGACAAATTCAACCAGTCTATTCGAAGAACAGGCGCTGTAGTCGGCGAGAAACAGTTGCGCACGGAGATGAACTACTGGCAGAAAACGATACAGCTCTATGTCCAGGACACTCTACTCACCGAATACGCCAGGAGCAACAACATCAAGTTCTCTCCAAATCCTTTTGTCAAGCGTGAGCAGCGTAGCAATATACTCGATGAACTGGCACGCTGGAGAGTCAAACAAAAGACTCCTGAACAGCAAGCAAGAATTGACGACGACAAGCGCAATATGGAAATTATAGAGAACACAAAAGGATTCACCTATGTCGTTTCAAACACTGTCATGAAACAGCAGATACACAGAATACTCTTGCAAGCTTTACATCAAGCTCAAGTTCGAAGTGAGCATGTCAGTAGGGGATGGAGTCTCCGCACTGCTCACAAACGATTCCCAAAAGACCTCCTCCTTAACCCATACACTTATTTCAAATCACTCGGATACACACTTCACAACTACCCGGAGTGGTCGGTGAACATCAATGTCGACAAGGTTGCAAACTTCAGTGAGCGTGCCATGCGCAAGATGTTAGCCGAGCTCATCATGCACCCTCCAAAACTTGATTGGGACAAACACTGGAAATACGACAAAAAGTCAACGCATCTCCCAGAGATGGAGGAAGTACTGCACGATAAACCTCACAAGATTGCATGGAGACTCAGGACACCTTACACTGATCCACTGCGACAGGCTCTTGCGCGACGCGCAAAGGTACATGGCTTCCATTTCGGTGATCCCGAGCTGCATAAGCGCAAGCCGGACCCTGTTCTACAACAGTACAAGCAGAAGCAGTATTCTGGACTTTAATATTTACTCATACTTGCACTTTATTTATTTACTTGTCTTGCCTTACAAATGCATCAGTTATCATTTTGAATATTTCTAAATCACACCTGGCGTCGTCAGCTGTAGTCTTGTACTGCTTACCATTTCGAACAGCATCGTAGAATGCCTTGTACTCGATAGTATATGCGTCTTCGTACGTGGGTCTGACAACGCGCTCAATGTATCTTCCGTCCTTATCGCTCTCGCCCACGACCAGCTTTACAGGCAATCCCTTGACATATGGGGTGTCAAATTCTACCTTTACTCTCTTTCCATCTCCATACACTTCTATGTGCGCGTCGAACAAGCCCACCTGGTCAACGCCTGTCTCGTACATTGCGACGAACCCGCCATAATCAAACATGGCCGTAAAGAAGCCACCGGCATTAGACGGAGTGGTGTTTGAAACACCACAAACGCCCTTGGGAATGCCTAATAATTCTCTCATAGCCGAGAGGTCGTGTGAGCCGAGCGATCCTAGCAGTCTGTACAGATTGTACGCCTGACTATCGGTCTCAGCACTCCCGAGTGCCTGTTCCGCTATCTCGCTCGAGCGCCTCTTCATATCCGCTGATGAGGTTTCAGGGAAATCTGTATACTTGCGTGGGAACGTCCCTGACTGTCCAACAAAGATGCTGTTGGGCCCGATTATATCTCTTACCCTGCAGTAGGAGATCGATGACATTCCCCTCACTATTTGGACAGCCTCCTCGAATGCTGGAGAGTATCTGCGCTGATATCCGACAAAAACGACGCCGTTGTTCTCATCGCGTGCTTTAATGATCAAAGCAGCGGCTTGCTGCGATAATGCCATCGGCTTCTCAACGAAGACTGCCTTCTTGTGTTGCAGAGCCTCGACTGCGATTGGAGCATGGTATTCGTCAGCTGTTAACACCATTACCGCCTCAATATCACCCTCTTCAATCATCTGAGTGTAGTCGGTGTATGTTTGTTTGATGTTGAACTTGGTGGAGACGTGCTCGAGTGTCTGCTGGGAGATATCGCATAGTGCATTCACCTCGTAGAGATCGGACAATAGCCTGAGATTGGGAAGAACAATCGTCTGTGTTACTTCTCCAGCGCCTACTAATCCGATTTTAATTGGCATTGTCGACGATATGGGATAAAAAGATCAAAAAGTGATGTCATCAGATGAGTGTTGGAAAATAAAATATACCCAAAGCTGCTTAATATTGGCATCGTGATCACAGTGGTGAAGTTTTCTTTGATGGTGCCATCTCAAATAATGCTAGAAAGTCTTACAGTCTATTAGAAAATGTTCTTCTTCAAACTTCAAATGTGAGCTCTTTTTTATCATGATGATACCATTTTTCCTTCTGCGATTCCAATGAGACCTCTACCACATCTTTAACTGCATTAAGTGGGTTTTCGAAATGCACCTGGTGAAGCCAAACAGTCGTTTCAGAGTTTGGCTGACCCCCACTTTCTTTGTATGATTAATTATTTGTAGGTTCATCATGAAATTAAAGTTGTCTTACTTCTTTCCAGAAGCCAACGATAAGAGTTGTGAACGCCACGCATCGGAAAAAATACCACACCTTTATAGCGCCGAATACATGAGCCATTGAAGTATTTACAGTTTCAATATGCTCAATAAAAAGGCTCCTTGAATAATCCCGTAAAACGTCTTCAATCTGCTCTGCCTCGTGCCCCAGAGCGATGCCGGATCTAAACGGCCGAATGGCTTGCAAGTCGAGATAGCAACCCAAGGCCGTCATTTGAACATGAAGTTCTATATCGCGATCAGGGCTACTCATCAAGCTTTTCTTATTTGGAGATCATGAAAAGTCGTAAATCAGCCAGTTGCTGAAATGTGTGTCAGAACGAAAGTGCAACTCTGTTGATATTGGATGCATAGCTGATTTGGGTATTGCTTTGGAGCCCTTTTACCTGTGAAAACAATACTCAGGCCATATAGTGTATATTACAGTGCAAACCACACCTCAATCTCATGAACTCATCATGGGCTCATCAATGATGTAATGCAGTCTTACTTTTAGTGATGGCGAGTGAGCACAAAGTCTATGAGGAATTAAGGATATATATCATTACATTAGTGAGACATTAAAAAAGCAAGTCTAAAGTTCCATGTCATGAGATCCCGAAAAGCAAAATTAAATTGAATAGACACTGACCACTTTAAGGTTTTCTGGTATCCTCTTTCTCCATTCTTCCACCTCTGCCAACAGCGTTGTCTGCTTCTTCAGTCTTGTCCCAGCTCCAGAAGGTGGCATAGAATGCTATACCAGCAACAAACGCAGCACAAGCGAATCCTGTGTAAAGCCAAACAAGGTGTGGATCCTCAGTTACTGGCAGTACTGCAAGATTAATAGCATTTCCGAACGCAGTTTGAAGTAAGAATATGGCCATAATCAAGGATTTCAAATTAGCGGGAGCTTTTTGAAACGCGTATTCTAGACCGGTGATGGATGCGAAGCACTCTGAAAGTCCTATCAGAGCGTATGCTGGTGCTACCATCCATACATTCATGTCAGCTGGCTCGCCACATTGAGTTGCGTATTCACCACACGGTGACAGCTTCGAATAAATAAAGTGTTGGAACACAGCGCAATACACCATGGCAAGGGAAGCTGTAATGAATCCCAGAGCAATACGAGCAACCGGTCTTACACTGATTCCCATCTTTCTGAGCGCCGGATACACTCCGAGATCCAATAAGGGAATGAAAATAATAAGGGAGATCGGATTAATGTTTTGAATAAGGTCATTAGGAGTACCGTCACTTCTCAGGCTACCAGCCATTGAAACCAAATTGTTAGTGTTATTGTTATAGCAAACCCAGTAAACCGGATAGAAGATAAAGATTCGGCTAGCTCTGAGGCCTCTTTGAACTTCATCAACGAAAGCGCCATCCCATGTTGGTTTTGAACCGTATTGCTGTTCATAGGCGTCAGGTTTAGCTGCAGACCAACTCCTCTTGCTCCAAGCTGCTTTACAGACTTTGACAGTTTCAATAAGAACACTGCCTCTGGGTGGAAGATGCTTCAATCTAGTATACATAAATGTGAGCAGCACTGGTATGAAGCAAAAAACTATCGTTGGCAAGGTGTATGCCAGCCAAAAACCAACCTTGCGCTCTGATGACGTGGTTGCGAGGGATGCTAGAGATCCACAATTGATAGTGAAGTAAAACCACGAGAATATGCGTTGAACTGTGATATTTGGATCTACTATTTCCTTCTCGCCTTTCTTGTTGGTGTGTACATACATTGTGTCAGTCTTGATTTGCTCAGCGAGCCAGATCGAAATATTGCTCTTGATACCACCAGTTCCCAGACCAATGATAATCATTGCAGTGATAAGTCCACCCAATCCGGCATCCCTATCGCCAGATAGTGCCGGTGGAATGTTCGTGCAAGTTAGGATAATCAGACCAACCAAGTAAATAGACGAAAAAACCACGATAGTCCAATATTTTCCTAGCTTTGTGTCGGCGATTATGCCACCTAAAAGGCGTTAAATAGAAAAGTGAGGGTACTATGATTCATTACCAATTATAGGCGTGAGGTAGCTGATTGTGGGTCAAGCAGGCATTTATTTGAATATTTCACTTACCACCAGAAGGAGAAGAAATTTGTTAAGCCTGTAGATGCTTGCTGGCCCATATCGAGCGCCCCAGGTGTCTCACTCATGTCAGAAACTAGATTACCGGCAGTACTTCCAGTTGGCATTGGATTCTGGATCTCATTGGCGAAGACACCAGTAATTCCGTAGTATGCAAATCTTTCAGCAATCTATTTAGCGCATGTTTGTCTACTTTGAGTTGACGAACCTCTCTGCAAATTCTACCAAGACAATGAGAAAGACATACCAAGACACCTAATATTCATGTCAGATGGAGAGGAAACTAATCAAGCCGACGCACACTTTCAGAAGTTCTTGGTAAAACCGCTTGTTCTTCTTCAGTGGGGAAGGTACCTTCTACATCGACGTCTTGAATGTTGTAATTTTCCGGATCGATAATCATGCCTTTTTCATCTAATTTATCCATCTTCTCGTCTCCATAAGGCGCGATGGTGGGTATACCAGCTTGATGTGGCGGTGCCAAATGGCCCCCGCTAGCAGCAGTGTCGCGATGATCGTTGGCCAGAGCGGCTCCGCTCGCTACTACTTCGGCTTCAATGCTATTCATACTAAGTTTGTTACTTTGCTGATGTTTAATTACTTGGTGAAGGTTATGTGATTTCAAAATTTCTTGATGATCCACTGCTTGAAAAGAAGAGTGCTATATCTTCTCAAATAGTATAGCTTATCAGCGTTACAATCTAGTACTAACTCTATCAGCGTTCAATTAAGAGGACATGAATTAGTAAACCAAGGCACCGGAAATTATTTCCCCCGGTTATCAGCGGATCCGCGGTGAGACACCCTCAAAATTTGACTCACGGGTTTTCTCCGATGCGAACTTAAAAGAAGCATCGTGAGTGTAGTAATTGACAACCTTTTTTTACGTTATGAGCATTAAAGAAGCCTATATGACCAAAATAGCCGATTATTCCGCATATCAATTCCCTGAGCTATTTTTTATATCACGCGAGATAGCGCTTAATTAAACGGATTCGATCCGTGCACCACGCTCCGAATGCCATCAGTGACTATATGAATGTGATCGAAAAAGATGAAAAATGAAAGATTTATTATTTATACAATAACTTAAGCCAAGCTGTTTTCGACATCCGCGTCCGCGTTATTGCTCAGTTCTGAGAAATTAGCAAACTGGAGCGGACGGTGAACGTCAGCCCAGAACGAGGTAGGTCTAGCTAGCGAGATTTGGTAGGGCATCGCCGGTGTCCATTGCTGGGAGAGCGAAAGAGAATAATTCCAAATGCCGCCCTCTGTAAGAAAGTGAGTGAGTGAGTGAGTGCGCGGTGCTAAAGAAGGTTAAACCCACCAGGTACAAGCGTCATACCAAGAATGCGGTCAGAAAGGAGCAGCTGTGTGCGCTCTGAGAAGTTAGGACTGAAGCCAGCCGGCTGTCCACCTAAGTCCTGGTTCTTGCGACCCCATTCGAAGCCATTCACAGTGAGCGTGTATGCAGACAAGCTAACACTGCCTGGTGTGAACGAGCAGACCAAACAAATAGAGCTTGGACCCCAAGCGGGGTTGTTTGCCATGACTCGTGCCTGCGTTGTGACATCTTGCGGACTGAGGTGGTTGAGCTCAAGAGATTGTGTCTTAATCCAACCAAGAGGCTCGAGATCATTGAGGAGGTACTCGTGCTCAGGAAGGCTGCTAGGCAGTTCAACGTTGTTGAATGAACCGCGCTGTGGCACCCATGCTATCGCTTTGATTTCTTTGATCTGTGGATTGTCGGGTGGCGAGACACCGTACAAGAAACCAGCCACCTGCGTGCGAAGATCACCGCTGATAATAAATTGCCTGAGAATATTCTTTGGAATGACATAAGTGTACGCCTGGCTATCGTCCTTGACGTCATCGTTCGAGACGAAAACGTGCTGCACTCTTAATGGCAAGTTGGTTGAAGAAATAGCCCTAGCTCTCCAATCAGACTTGCTGGCAAACTGTTGATTCTCGTAGTTCGTAGTTGTGACAACATTAATCTCATCACCATGAACGTTAGTAGTCTTGGTTTGCAGTGCTGTGATTTGATTTGCGTCAGCAGCCGAGTTTTCGACTTCGGCCATCTGTTGACGTTGGATAGAAGGTGCGCTGATCTCCATACCAAGAATGATATCACGGATTTCAGACTGAGTGAGAGACGCAGTATTGACAGAGTTACGTTTACCAAAGTCGTTGACGATAAGATCTCTGAGCTGTGACTCCACCTTGATCCAGTCTTCCGCTGAAAGCGATGGCCAGATGTGGTGAGGCTCGGTGATTGTGTTCTTGTCTGGACGCAGGATAATCTTTGCCTTTTCATTGTTGACGTGCAATCCACGCAGGATCAAAATGAGACGGGAGAAAGCCGTGTATGACGAGATCTCCTTCAGCCAGTCGTCGTAGAGTGAGAACAGCACCATCTGGGGCTGAGTAGCGCGCAAGATAAGGTCTCCAAACTTCTCCAGCTTCAGGCAGGCTTGGAATGGTAGCTGCAGTTCAGAGCCCTTAATCACAATGTTACTGGAGAAGAGTGTTAGAAGTGCCATAGCGAAAAGTGAATCACTCACGGGAAATCGAGAAGGTGAACCTCCAATGGATCAAGCATACCCTTTCTAGTAACAATAATCTGCTTAGGTTGCTCTTCAACAGGAAGTGAGCGAATAAGAGCAGCAACTTCTTCGGCCGTCTTCCACTTGGCAAGCTGACCGAGACGCTTCTGACCAGCCCAGACAGATGTGTGAATGATTTTCAGGAACAGTTGACCAGTTCTTGGGTTGAAGATAAAGATAGCACCGTTAATTGGCTTAGTGGTGAGGTTACCTTCGAATGTCTTGTGTATAGTGACACGGTAGACATTAGTATCATCGACGAACCAGATAGTTTGGTTGGAGAACAGCTCCGAGTAGTTCTGTGAGTTGAGGTATGGCTCGGTTGGCTCCGAGGAGTAGAGCTGGAGCGACTTTCTAATACGCTCTCTCAAGACGTACAGAGCTGGGTTAGCCTTCATGATCTTGGCCATAGCTTGCTGCATAAGTGGCTTAAGACCAGGGAACCAATTACCGTACGAGGTGTACAGGTTATAGGCCAAGTCAATACCAACCATGCAACCAGTTGGAGATGGGTACATGGAAGATGGGTCGCTGGTGTAATCCAAGAACTTGGCTCTGGTGTATCTCTCAATATCGTGAGAGTCAAAGTCACCAAATCTGAGCTGAACATCAACCCAGAACTTGTTCGACGTAGTACCATCCAAAACATCCTTGCTGTCATTCAGCAGCGAAGGTCTGGCAATATTCCACTTGTAAGCCGAGAAGAGAAGGATGTCAGCACATGAAGAGTTCATCTTGTAAGATTTACGTGGATGGATTGTCTCTTTTTGGACAGTCTCGATCTGAAGTGCTTCCAACTCCTGGTCAAAGACCTGACACAAATCCATGACGACAGACTCGTGAATCTTCTGCCACAAGTGCGCACGGAAGATTTGAATAAGTGAGATCTTGAGTGTTGGGATTTTACCGTGCATGAAAATACCAGTGAGATCAAGCTGGACTTGGAAACCAACGTAGACATTCGCGCGATTAATCGTAGGTGACCACCACAGAGTGAATCTTCTGTTTGGAATTTGGTTCAAACCGGATCTTTGAGCATTTGTGAGCTTTTTGTATTTCATCGATTCTTCGAATCCACTAGCTTTCTCCCAGAAGAGACCTTCCCAGGTTGGGAAGTAAGTTCCCTTGAACAATGTGTGCTCGAGAATAGATTCAACACCACCAAGAGCAGCAATAACGTCCACACGGTAGTTGTTCAGCTGCCATAATTTACCATCGTGGCGCTGCGACGTCCACCAGAATGGATTGTGCTTGAGTAGCTGGTACTGCTTCCAATCTGTACGCACTCTCCATCCCTTATCGTACGCAAGGGTATGTCTATCCTTTTGGAATAGAGTGTTGATCCGCGGTATACCTCTATCCCAGCTATCTTCGAGATCTTCAAGTGTCAATCTCCTATTCTGACTGACTGCCTCTTTACGCTTCATAGCATACTCCGACCAGACCCTAGCAGAATCGACGAACTCAGCTTCCCATGGCTGGATATATCTGTAAAGATTTGGAATGAGCTGGTCATCTTCATGCGTCATACCAGATCTGAAGTGTGTAATACCCGTATCAGTTTGCTTCGACCACCTAAGGTCAGACTGAGGAATGAGGACGTGACCCATCGAAAGCATACCTAAACCGCCAAGCTCCTTTGGCGAGTAGAACACTACAGGTGGAAAACGTGAAGGCATCTTTGAATTGAGACCAATTTTGACTCTGGTCTGTACCTTGTTCTCAGCCTTGACGAGCGAGTCGAGAAGTTCATTCGTATGCAGAACAGCCTCACGGTAGTATGTCATCAAACCGATGATGGTCGTGTTCCATTTGTTGATGATCTTGGAGAAGGTAGTCGATCCTGAACTCATAAGCACTTGACGTATACGATTGTTAAATGCATTGATGCCGTCGTCAGATACCCTCAAATAAGCCTGTGCTGTACGCTCCTTCGTAGCTTCGTTGGTAAGATTCCATACACCATCATTGAGTCTGTATTGCTCGCTATTCATCGCTCTGATCTTGGGCAGGATACGCAGCTCGAAGCCATGCATAGAGAAGAGGAGCTGTGGATTGTCCTTCGAGTACACACTCGCAAACGTATCCTCCCACTCAATAGTAGTTAAAGACCTTGGGAGGGAGTTCTTCACATTCCAGAACACCGCTCTTCCAAGGTTCACGTCGTGTTTAATCAGACGCATACGACAGTCTCTTGGCCAGCACTTCTTGTTGTTGTAGCCGATAATGTTCGAGTTAGTTGGATCTGGATTGGCAGACAGGTACCTCTGGATGAGATCTCTAGATTGCTCTGCGTCAAACTTGAAGAGAATGTGGATCTTGTCGACGTATCGAGAGTAGAGTCTGACAGGGTGCGCAACCTCAGTGGCTGTGTCCTTGTATTGAAGGAAGCTGTTGGGCGACTGTGGAGGTCCAGCCATCTCGGAAGCTCTATTTAATCCAAGGATGAGTAGATCAAGCACTAAGCCATAGAATTGGAAGACGAATGCGGAGAACTGAAGACCTCTAATCAGACCATAAGAGTTAACGTGGGACATATCTTTGTAAGTAAGTGGAGTGTTGTTTTTTGCAGTAATGTAGTCAGCCAAGTTGTGGTCCATGATTAGTCTAAGAAGTCTGTTGAGGAGAGTCAAGTCGACTTTCTCGTAGACCCTGCTCAACTGCGTCTCCATCATAACCACGCATTCACCTTCACTGGTCTCCCAGACGTCAGAAAGATTATTGATACCTATCGCATATTTTAGCCGGTATAAAATCACTCGAAAACAACTCACCTTGAGCCCACTTGTAGGTGAGTAATGGAGGTGGCTCAGTATCAGCTGGTTTCACCCATGAAGGGAAAAGACCCCTCTTGTCAGCCTCGAAGAAGAGGAATTGATCGAGGTAAGCATCAGTGATCTTTTCGACAGGTTCAATATCATAACAAGGAACGAGCTTGTCATAAGTATCGAAGAACTCAATACCGGCTTCCTTAAATGCACGCTGAGTCAGCAGCAATCTCTTAATTCTAGACAGACACTCGTGTGGGTTGTCGTAGGCTTGTTCGATCAGTGCCAATTCCTCTCTTTGTGATTGATTGAGACGACCTTGTACAGAGTATGCTTCCTTAAGTCTTTCCAAAGCGAGAACGAGAATCTTGGTGTCGTGCTTGTACGACAATGGAGGGAATGGAATTGGAGAAAATTTCCTGCTTTCGAGCCAGTGGACAGTCGAGGTGTACAGCGCAACGGCTTCTTCAGATGAGATGTATGGACCATCTTTGAGGTAACCGTGCTGTCTCTCTTGCTCTTGCTTTAGGTAGAGTCTAGTAAGACGACCGAGATTCTTCTTAACGACGGCTTTGTCAACTGTAGCACCGCGACGAATACGCTCGCGGTTATAGTGAGCTACGGATGTCCACCAATCAGCCTTATTCTTAACGTAACGGAGGATAATGTTCTCAATCGCGGTAGGCATACCAGGTACTTTCCAAGGAATATTAGCCTTCCAGCCTAAGCAGGTGTTAGCAAAAGAGTCCCTGATCAATTTAAACTCTATACTCACATCTCCAAGCTTCAGAAAGATGCTGAAGGATGGTCTTTGCCTTGTTCTGTTTGAGAGATTCAGGCATCATATCAAGGATATCGTGCATAACAGCAGCACGCAATTCAAGATCATAATGCGACTCGACACGCTGCTTGGTGACATTCTTCGCTACACCCCTGCTATTACGACCCTCGAACTGTCTAGCAAGCAAGTTGCCGAGCCACCTCTCGAGAAGTGGAACAATACCTCTCAAGAAAAACAACCACACACGCCAACCTGGTGCCCAGAAACCTACACCAGGTCCTTTTCCTACTGGGCCAGTGTTGAAGCGGTAGTAAATTAGATGTTTGAGATCCTTGCACATTCTGATCTGTCTCATAATCTTGTACTTGTATCTATACATACCGGTGAGTTGACCGACGTGTGCGAAAGAATATTGGAGACCATCGGCCAGCTGGAACGCATCACATAATCCTAACCTAAATTGAACGTGCACATCGACGATCAACTTTGTTAAGCGAAGAATTTCACGCAAAAGGTGGAAAGCGTTACCAAATCTACTCTTCTTACGCTCCTTAGTTGTGAGCGTTTTAACAGGCTTCAAGTTCATGTTGTAATCCAAGTGGAGGTAGTTAAGGTTTTTGCGGTGAATAAGCAAATTGAGCATGTTATAACCTTGGCGAACGACCTGGAGACCAGCTTCAACCCAATCAATAGTTGTCTGCTGAAAGAATTTTGTACTTTTGAGACTTTGAACTAACCGTTTCTTAATTTGGGGCTTTGGTGGACGTTGATGGAGTTTGTTGAGGACGTAAACTTTCAAGAGTTTTTGGTAGGAAACTCTCACCTTGACTGGCATACCAGGTGGGCAGTGTTCCATGTACCAGTCTTTGATGAGCGGTATATCCTGAGCTCTGCGCATTGTACCTGAGCGAGTATTATATGGAGCAGGCGCCCACCAAAGGCTGATTGCGTCAGATGTACGTTCAGTATGTACTGGTTTATCTTCCAAAAATGCACCCATATCTTGAGGTAATTCAAATTCATCTTCCTCATCCTCGCCAAATATCTCATCCTCATGGCTGATTTGTGGTGTGTTGGCTGCACCAGCTACAGCTCTTGATGAGATGGGATTTATGGAAGGATCAAAATAGAAAGCAGGCATATCAGGGTCATCTGTGCGGATGTATTGAGATTGAGGGGAGTGGTATGGACCAATTTGAACAGCTCTTGGACGAGAGTTGTATAGGTGTGGGAAAGCGATTTTGTATTCAGTGCGAATTGGCTGACGGATGATAACCTTGTTAATATCATTAAACTCATTCCAATCCTCGTCATCATCCAAATCATCCTTGAACAAAGGCTCGAATTTTGGACCACCTGGGATGGCCATGTTGAGAGCTTTTGAGGTGAAGAAAGCCTTATCTTCGAACAAGTGACTGGCATTTTTACGGTCATGCGTTTCAGAGAGTATAGATTTACCAATTCTGTGAAGGTTAGCCATTTGTGGCAAATCGAGGGACCATTGTTTGTAGGAAGGACCGTTAACATGCACCGTGTCTTCGAGTGGTTTTGGATCGTAGAACCAATCAATAATAGGAGCATCCTCCTCTTCGTCTAGAGGAAGTTGAATGGCTTCAAGAGGCTCAACGTCGAGAATGTTGTCGCTGTAATCGAGTGGAGGTTCTTCATCATCGAAGGGAGGAAATCTCATACGCTTAAAGTGTCTTCTGTCACGCTTTTCTCTACGCATAGCGAGCCACATGGAAGCCCATTGAGCGTGGTAGACAGGCTATTGGGTGGATTAAGTTAGATTTGCTAATGGAGTAGAGCGAGACGACGCACCTCAATAACACGTGGAATTTGATTAACAAAAGTGATAGCGCCTGTAATGTGATAGAGTACAGGCACTTCACGTACTTGCTCCCAAGGCATTGGGATATTTTCAAGAAGTTTGAGTACAGCGTGAGGAACGTACTTGAGGGCACCCAAGTGAATACGCTTCTCGTTTCTATAACGCATATGTGACATATCACCGTGATCTTTAATAATTTTACGCAAGTGCTCTGGAGGCAATTCAACTTTCTCACTGCCAGAAGTACCTGCGCCACCAGGTTTCTTAAGTCCCCAGCGACGCTTTGAGAATTGATGATGCTTCTTAATCTTAATAGATAGATCCTGATTGGATATGGCCGTAGTTTGCGGACCAAATCCTGGTGGTGGACCTGACATGGTGATGGTTCTGGTTCAAGATGCCATCTCTAATACATTCGATCATCATCAGATGCTGAGGACGCTGGCTAGAAATTTCGTAGGCAGTCGCAGTCGATTGGATAAGGTTAAAGGGGGGAATGCAGGTGGATTGGATAGTATGTTACAGCAAATGGAAGCGCATGGCCGTGGTGAGTGTGGTGTTGAGTAGACGCAGAAGACTAAGGCATAATTCCTAGTAATCCCACAGGATCCCTTGGAATATCTCCCAAGAGAAGCATTCAGAGCCCAACACGCTTATTATCCATCCAACTTTGCTCACACACCCGCACATTTCTTCAAAACAGCGCCAACACCAGAGTCCGTGAGGTTACCGGATCTCAACACACTCTCACTCTCACCAAATGCAATGTCTGTATTTTTAACTTCAATGGGTAAAATTCAATCAAGGAGGAAGACAGGATTGAGTTGGAAAGAGCAGCGTAAATTGGGTAAAGCAGTCAGACGTGCTAGGCAGAATGGTCTACTTAACACTTTCGCGGTAGATACGAAGATGTAGATGAAATTAATTTTATCATTCAAATGACTTTAGAATGGTATGTTTAAGTTGAATCTGGTTTGGATTCTTCTGGCTTGGAGTTTTCTGGCTTTTCTTCTACCTTCTCTTCTGGTTTATCTTCTGCCTTCTCTTCTGCCTTCTCTTCTGCCTTCTCTTCTGCCTTCTTTTCATCCTTCTCCTCAGCCTTCTCCTCCGCTTTCTCCTCCTTGTCATTATTCAACTCGCTATTCATCTTGACACCTTGCTCGAATTTTTCTTTGAAAGCGTTGGCGTTGTCAGCATTAGCGAATCTAATAGCCAGAGTTTCAGCGCAAGGTTCACCGTCAGAGATATCTGCAGCTACAGCCCACACCCAACTACGATCACTGCCAATATTTGGAGACAGCTTCATATCCTCAGTGAGAAAGTGGTTAGCGCACACCTTCAAAGTCTTGTCTCTACGCATAACCAAGCGAACTTTTTTAGATTCTTTGTGCTGGAGGATACGTACATCACCAGTACCCCTTTCCTTCCACTCAGAGGATTCCTTTGCGAATCTAAAGAGCTTAGCTCTGATCTTGAACAATACTTGCTCGTCTTCTTCATTGGTTTTAACTTGAACTGTCTCCGTGAGCTTGACGACTGGCTCAAATTGCGCGGTGGATTCTTCTTCCTGGGTGGCTGGTACTTCTGGTTGCTGATTGGTGGGTATTAGTGTGTGGTTGTTATATTCACAAAACACGCACCTTCTCTGCTTCTGACATTGCTCGACGTTCGTCGTTTTGTATAAAGCGTGGTTGGGCTCATCTCGCTAAACAAATGGTAAATTTCGGTAAAATTACTGCTGCTTAAAAGATGCCAGCATAGAGTTGTAAACTTCATTTGGTAAATGTATTTCTCAATTCTCATTTGTACAAAGTCGAAACGGTAATTTCATAGTTGTAAGCATGTGCTCATAAATGCAATTTGAATTGGCGTTTATTAGCCTCATAGTACTCTCTATTTTGTTATGGCCTGTGTAGTGGTGCAACTTAAATTGGATACGTCGAAAATTTTCTACTCGAGTTAAGCACAAAACTTAAGTAGTAGTCAAATAAAATAAAATTTTTATAACATGGCTCTGTCGCATCTTCTGCTGCTTCAGATGCCTTTAAGAAAGATGATCATCTTTCAATGAAACAACCTTATCGACCAATACCGTTTGAATTACGGTCTTTGTGAGAATGCGTGCAATTGCAAAATTTTAAATTTCTCATCTGGATTTTACTTTAAGAGTTGCGTTTCAAGTATTCTCAGCAGCTTCCTCCTTCCTAAACGTAAATCCTTTGTTCTAACATTGCTCGGCATCATTGGTTTAAAACTAAGTTGAATTCTTCGAAACCCTAACATGAGTTTGGGGCGGGTGAAAGCTAAAGTGCACCAAGGAGAGGAGGATTAACGGGCTCTTCTTTTATAAGTGGGAGGGAAAAGAAGCCTGAAAATTTTGCTAAAAAAGGAGATTAAGTATGAATCCAGATTGTAGATAATGCGCAAATTGACACTGGGTTACGCTCATATCGACACTTGGGAAGAAATGGGGCAACAGGGAGAAACGGGTTCGATAACGACCAGGCGCAACCACAAGTACTTAGTCAACAGAGGCCAATTAAGCGGGAGAGCTAATTTGTTGTATAACATGAGTTTAACATCTTGCAAATGGCTTCAAACGCTCGATTCGAAGATATACTCGCTATGATGAACAAGGAGCTTGAGAAGGAGAATAAGAAGCTGCTCTCAATCGAAAATATAAATGTGATTAACAAATTGACTAAAAATGCACTCAATTCGATAAGCTGAAGAGAACGACAGCTATCAAGGACGAATTTGGATTCCAACAACGATCGTATTGACAAAAAACTAGAAAATGTTGAATGTATTTTACATTTTACTGGTTATTATATACACAGCCAACGCATATATAATAAATATTCCACCACGCTCAAAGGATTGTTACTTTGAGGACTTGCATAAGAATGATGAGGTGGATATATACTGGCAGTTACCAAGGGAAATTCCCACTCACACTCACGCAGATGACTGTAACTTATCAAGTATCCAGCGGTGGCAACCTCGATATCGATTTCGCACTCTCAGATCCAAATATACCCCTTTACACCAATCTGGGTAAAGATACAGGCACTTACTCATTCACAGCAGATAAGGATGGTAGATACTCTTACTGCTTTTCAAACTCAATGAGTTACAATACTGATAAAGTAATCTCATTCAACGTTCACGGTATTCTTTATGTCCCCGATGAAGGTCATACTTTGCCTATTGAACAGGAAATACGTATCCTCGCAGATAACGTTAAGGCTGTCCAAGATGAGCATGAATATTTAAAAGCAAGGGAGAGGAGTCATAGGGATACCGCAGAATCAACTAATAGCAGAGTGAAATGGTGGTCTATTGCTCAATCTGGACTATTGATCGTGACTTGTGCGTGGCAAGTTTACTACCTTAAAGCCTTCTTTGAAGTGAAGCGCGTAATTTGAAATGATACATATGATGTTTAATATACAAACTAGCGTGTATCTCTGAGTGTTACTGAGTGTTTCTGAAAATTTCTGTGAATTCCTGTGCATTTCCGTATATTCCCGTAGATTGCCATAAGCCAATCAATAAAATTGTACATCCTCGTCAATACTCGACTGAATCCGATAAAATAAGTTGTCAATGTTTGTTATATCTTGTGTATTGGGTATGAAGTGATTGTTGTGGCTATTTGTGTGTATCTGATTGTTACTATGGCTATGAGTATGAGTATGAGTACCTTCAACAGAACTCCTCTCCTCCAAAAACTTCTTAACCACACCAAGTGCATCAAGTACCTTAAGCTCACTAACAAAACCTTTGTCATCATGCTCATCCTCCTCATAACTTATATAATTAGTAAAACTAAGTGAATCAAAGTGCTGATTAATTGTTTGTGAGTGTGATGATTCCAAAGACGATGAATAACTTGAATATGGACTGTAATGTGTTTGTGTTTGATATCCTGTACTGTAAATATCAAGTGGTATACTAATTTCACTCGTTTCTTTCATTTCATTTGAGCATGATCTACTGCGACTACCCGTTGAGTGTGAATAATTATCCTGCGTCAATTGCTCAACGGGCTCCTCCTGATTGCCAAATTCAGTATTATCACTCGCAAGTTTTCTCGCTTTCTTTGCATCCGTCAAAACCTTTGATATCGTCGATCTATCCACACCAAACTGCCTCGCAATCTCATCTTGCCTCATCTTTGGATTTGTTTTAGCGAGTTTAACGATATTATTCTTCTGCTCCGTTGTAAGTTTACGTTTGCGCAGAACTGTGTTCATGAGTATGAGGCGATGATGATGGTTGTTATAGTCCTTGTCGGAGTATTGTTGTACAAATCTATCCAAGAAATTTTAAAAGGGAGAGGGACATTGGAAACTCTTATCAACACAAACACTCTCTCACATAAGCATACAGTTGGCTAAAACACCCATACGCATAAATGAGATAAAGGAGTTATGTGGAGGTGGCAGCCAAAGAGTAGTCTGAATCGAGTTTTCCAATTGGACGGCTCGTAGTGCACTTAAGCACTGACAGTGTAACGAATACACCAATGTAGGTGTACGCGCTTTTCTCAAACCATAAGAGACTGACAGTGCGACTCCCACGACGTGTTCCCAGCTCCCAGCTGCAGCTATCGTCGCCTCTTGCCAACACGTACAACGCACGTATAGCCTTCTTCAGCTAAGCCACACAGGAGTGCTTTTCTGGTGCGCCGCTCAACGAATTATCGTTCAACCCGTCTCGAGTTGACTGACTGGGGGAGTTTGAACTCTCAGACCTTACCCGCTTCCGTTGTCTGGCAGCACTATCGACTGCCCGTCTGTGAAGAAGCATACGAGCCCTTTAAGCTGCCACCTCAACGTTTTCTCAAAGAAGACACGCGGTCTGATATAGTTTGTGAAAAATAAAAATCAATTTTATATTTTTATCTTTTTTCTCTCCTATTTGGTGTGTTTGATTTCCTAGCCATCTACTCCCTTACCCCCTTCACCTCCCTCACAAACCACAATGTTACGTAAAATTTTCATCGATTATCAAATATGCATAAATAACCACGCGATACTCTAATCTACTCTTCTATATTCATCTCTTCGAGATCTTCCATTAGCTCATCCATCTTTGGCAAATTCTCGTCAACTTCCACTTCTCCTACGTCACTCTCATCCATATCCTCCTCAGCCTTGTCCTTCTGCTCCTGTGATCTATACATATTAACGCCTGCTCTCATTTCTGGGTCTTCCTCCAAGTCATTCAAAAATTCTTCATACTGCTTTTCAACCTTGTCTGTATCCACACCACCACGTCTTCCAAGTGCACCTCTACCGAACGCACCCTCCACATTCGAGTCTTCTGCGTCTTTGGCAATCGACTTGAGCTTGAAGTTACGTGGACGGTTCTTCTTGCGTCTGTTAGGGTAAGCCTTCTTCACAACGACCACATCAGGAAGTCTATCCGGATTCAGACTCTCGAATGTGTCACTGTTAAAGTTACTTTCTCTAATATTGTATCCTAAGCATGTATCACCTGCTTGGAGGATATGTCCGAGGTGTGTACGAGTGTGCACTATCTCATCGTCAGAAGCTCCACCTGATGCCTTCATTACTTGTAAATCCGCCAGGACAAGTTTGCCTCGGGTTGGACCGACTGGCTCAGCGTCGAGAACTATGTACTCTGTCAACTCTCCCACCGTTGCCAGTGTATCGAACGGTGCTCTCCAATATGTAGGAGCTGTGACATCTGTAGTGTGCAGTGTGAATGGATCGAGGAGATGGACCGAGTTACCTATCCTTGCACATAACACCAATGGGGATATGTTGGAGAATTGCCTGGCGAGCTTTATAGGCAAGCAAACCAAATCATCCTTACACACTGGAACTATCTCGACTGAGTAGGTGAACTTATACTTGGATGAACCCGTGTGCACATCGGTTGTAAGCAATTCTTCACTAGACTTGTAACGGATTGGGACAACGTTCTGAAGGAATTCTAGCATCCTGAGAGCTGCCTGTCTTTGGAGATAGTAGAAATCGAGACCATCCTTTCGTTCCAAGATGTTGACACAATCTTTGTGAGCACCGTGCTTCAAAATGAGCTGTTCGAGGTAGAAGAAAGTACGCTTGTGAGGGACCTTCTGCCTGACTTGGATGGAAGTCTGCCAAGTATTCTTGGCAGCCATTCTAGTACAATCAGGACATTGGGCACCGAGGATAGTGTACGTCACTTCAAACACCTGCTGGAGGATAGTGTTTGCGAGAACCTCCTTCTGAACGGTGAGCTTAACCTTGATACGCTTGCTGTGAGGCTCAGTCCAGATGAAGCCGGCGTCGATCAGCCTAATCTTGGACAGACCCTTGAGCTTCTTAAGACAAATAGCGAGAAGTTCCCTGCTCTCCCAATCAGCGAGCATCCAGCCATTGGGAGGGTTAGCGTATCGCTCGCAACCCCTGCAGAAGGTGACGGAAGAAGATTTTGGAATCTCGGCCGTGATGTCCACGCTGCGGGGTGGGTAAGAAACAAGGAGACGATTGACCAATGAGAACGCACGTATTACGCAGACACCCAACACAGAGATTGGCGGAGTTTGGTTCGATGGGGACACCTGCGGAAGGTGAGGGACGCAGCGGCGCATGCCACCGTACTCACCACAATCAGCGCAGAGAACAACGTGCACCGGTGCGGATGGCTTGAATGATACAGCTTCGCCTTCCATTTGTGATGGATCTTGGTTGTCTCCGTTCAAGATAAGATTTGGTCAAAAATGTCAGTTGAGGATGTATCTGAATGGGAATTTATCGGGAATAAATACTACGCGAGGTCCACAATCTACCAGTATGGCTGGGACTTGTCTACGCTCAAGCCTTACCGCCTGAGTGGATCACCGCTCTCGTCCGCCCTGGCGATCTGGAGAGATACCCGGAATCCTGTCAGCTACACCCACACGCGTCTCCCAGAGAACTCCCCCAGCCAGCCTTTCTTGCACATATTCTCTGCCGACGCCGAGCACTTGGCTACGATCACCAGCCCTTCGGCACCAGTTTCTGTCGGCTTCAGCAGCGCAGACGAGCTCGTCGTCGTCCTCGGCGATCTCCAGTACAGAGTGTACAACTACTCGGGCAAGATACCCATATCCACCACCCACACAATACCACTCGAGACACCCACCACCATTCTCGACGCACGCATCGCAGGCGATTCACTCGTTATCCTCACTGCCGAGCTCCTCTTCTACCACCTCCACCTCGGCTGCCTCTCTCGTCCGACAAGGGTTGCCAGTATGGATCTCAGCGACGCGCCTGCAGACTGGGCTGTTGTTTCCGCCGCCCAATCGCATACCGGGCTAGCGACAGTCATAGCAGCCACAGACAATGTCGTACACGCAGCAGACTCGCTGAGCTGCAGCACGCATCCACTCAACACCCCCCACACCGCCATCACTCTCTCCCCCAATGGGCGATTCATCGCGCTGCTCGCCCCTTCGCTCATCCTCAGCATCATGACGAGCGACCTGAGCAGACTGCTGACGAGATTCGACGCGTCGTCTATCGACTCGTACACTCCCGACCAGCTCGTGTGGTGCGGGTCCAACGCTATCGGTCTCGTCTATAACGAGCCTGACCCTCGTCTCTGGCTAGTCGGTCCTGGTGGCGAGCACGTCCTCTATCCCTACCACGATTGCTCTTCCCTCAAGGCTCTCAGCACTATGTCTTCTCTGCTCGTTGTCTCACCTGAAAACCTCCAGGTCGTTCAGAAGGTACCTGAGAGTGTACAGATGGTTTTCGGCGAGACCGATGCTGGCGCTCTGTCCGCACCTCCTTCGCGGATGCTGCTCCACGCTCACTCTCTCCTTGAAAACGGTAGCTCCAGGTCAGACGATGTTGTCCGCAGCATTGGCCAAGGCTTGCTAGAGGCCATCGACGGAATCATTGCGGCTGCAGGCGAGGTTTACGTTCCCTCCACCCAGCGCTCTCTTCTCAAAGCTGCTCAGTACGGTTGGCAATACCTCTCAGACTACAACTCGGATGATTTTATAAAGACTGCATCAACATTGCGAGTGTTGAATGCCTACAGAAGTGTAGGCATCCCTCTCTCGAAAGCCCAGTTCGATTCGAGTGACTCGAGTGCTCTTATTCAACTCCTTCTACCCAGACGGAGATGGGGGATGGCAATCGATATTGCAAGACACCTTCACTCTCCACCTGACGCTGTTCTCGTTCACTGGGCCAATGCAAAGATACATGCAAGTGATGCGAGTGTACCGGATGAGGAGCTTTCTCTTGCTATCGTTGACATGATCCTGTCTGTCACTAAAGCTTTCGTCGGCTGGTCTGACGTTGCAAGGGTAGCTCATGAAGTTGGGCGAGTATCTCTAGCGACCAAGGTGAGTTTGTATTGGCGTAATTGAGGTGCTTCATCTGACTCTTGTTCGCTCGACAGATGCTCGACAGAGAGCCACGTGCCAGCGAGGTAGTGCCGCAGCTGAAGCGGATGAAAGAAGACAGACTGGCGCTGCTCAAAGCGATAGAGTCCTCAGATCCCGATCTTATTATCGACGTTCTCCTCCACCTACGCTCCAGACTCACACTCGGCGAATTCTTCAAAGTGCTCGAGGACGGCGGTAGCATTTACCAGCCGGCTAAAGCGCTCTTGGTTGTTTATGCGAAAGAGTTGGATAGGGATATGCTTCGCGACTTCTACTTCCAGGACGACAGGAGAGTCGAGTCAGCCAAGTTAGATCTAGCAGAAGCTGAGCAGCTCGACGGAGATGCCAAGATTGGCAAAGTGAGATCGGCGATGCGCTTCTTCAGCGAAGAGAAGAAGAGCGCGTTTGAGAGTAGGGCATGCGATGAATATCAGCGGTTGCTTCACTTAACAAATGGAGCCACGAGCGTAAACGATGCCATCAGGGATTTGCTGGGCAGGGAAGATATCAAGGGCGCAGAAAAGATTAAGAGTGAGTTTAAAGTGTCAGAAAAGAGGTACGTCACTCGTTGTTCTGCTTGATGAGCCAACTGAAACACGATACAATAACAGATGGTGGTACCTTAGAATGCACTGCATTGTGGAAAAACGCAACTACACAGCGCTCGAGCAGCTCGCAAGTGGGAAAAAGAGTCCGATTGGGTTTGAACCATTCGTCAAGGCACTCAAGAAGGCTGGAAATAAGAAGCTGGCCGTGGAATACATTCGCAAGTGCGAACCTAAACGCCAGCAGGAGCTGCTAAATGGAATGTAAAAAGGAAGAATACATGATACCTTTATAAGTACACGTAGAAATACACAGAATTAAGGCTGGGAAACGCCTCTAATCACATTAGACCACTCGGTAAAGACAGCAATAATTTCTTTCTGCGACGAGTCGCTGCCGAATAAGTAATAAGCTAGTCTCGTCTTGAGGCGGAGGAGCTGCGCGGGGGCGTAAAAGAGTACGGAAAAGAGGATAATTGAAGAAACTGTTAATAGAAGAGATAGCACCATAGCCTTCTCCCATGGCTCTAGACTAGTTAGCGTAAGGAGACGAAGACAGAAGACAAGGCTCATCACTCACATTGCAAATCCCCACTCGCTCTCCATGACAGTTATAAATTTCCAGACGAGATAGCTAAAGCTGTTTGAATTTGGCGGGCGGATTCTGTTGCTCGGCATGGCGGTAACAAATCAACTTGATCAACTACGACGAGCACCACGATCACCGAGATGGAACGGATGACGACGACGCCGACGACAGCGCGGCCAAGCTCGCGCCTTGCTGGCTTATCGAACAAGCAATATAATAGGGTATGCAGTAGGCTTTTACAGAGTACAAAAACTAAGTCATTTCCAGATCAATACTAAACTTACAACTGTCGACGACGACGATGACGATGGCAATGATTATCAGGTTTTCCAGGATTATTCCTTCCAGCCTGAGCCAAGTTTCCTGCGCGCGCCGCTCAACTCACGCGTCCCGCAACTCTCCCCGCACAGCTACAACTCAATTAGGAAGTCGAGTGCTTTCAAAGATGTTGGTTTGGATATACAGCAGGCTGCGATTCTTGAAGATTTTCAGTATGTTCTGGTTGTAAGTTCCTTGTCTGTGATTTGAATTACCACCGACAGTTTACAGGGCATCCAAGGACAATACATTACATACCACCCAGATTACGCGTATGACGACATGAATGCTCGACTTAAGGGGAGTGAGTTCATCGTCGATCCCTCTATTGACCACGGTCTCGCTACTCTTATCCATCGCGTACTCCCACTCGCTTCGCTGTACACATCAATAACGGCGTTCGTTGAGCAGCGTTCTGCGATGGATTGGGGTCTCGTTAATCATGCGCTCTGTGCAGCTATCAGGGATATGCTCAAGGTGGCTATTGGCTTGGTTACTATGCCTCACTGACACACACAGGAATACCACTTGCTACTCGCTCAACTAGAAACCCTTTTCTATACTTCACCCTGCTACACTCTTCAGATGGCTTTCTACCACCTCCAACCAGCTTTGCACAAACTTACCCTTGTCCATCAACTCGCACTCGAACTTATTAAGACTGAAACTCCAGACATAACCGATGATCAGGTCGATCCGGAAGAGGATGATAGTGAGGATATGATGGGTGAGACAATGAAGAAAGCTATAGCACAGATCAACGCAGAAGCCAAAGAAACAGCTTTGGAGAGTGAAGGTATTGTTAAAGGTGGCGAGGTTATTAAAGTGGTGTGGGAGAAGTTGATGAAATCTTCAGGCGATCCTGTCGCCCATGAAGTGTTCACCAGATTACTTTTTCACGCATCACAACCTTATGCTGAAATGCTACTGAGTTGGACAACTTCCGGTGACCTCAATGACCCTTACGATGAGCTGCTTGTGCGCGAGGCTAAATCTATTAGCAAGAAGGGTCTTGATATGGACTATACAGATGAGTACTGGGAGAAAAGATATACGCTCCGCGATGGATCGAGCGTCGAAAAACCATTTAAACCAGATACAGCGTTCGATGATGAAGGTCGCCTTAAGCGTTTGGCTGGAGGTGCATGTATACCGCCATTCCTGGAAGCGTGGAAATTTAAGATACTTTTCGCTGGTAAATATCTCAACGTTATTAGAGAATGTGGTATAGAAGTGTCCAAACACCGCAATTACGGGGAGTTAGAGAGAACATCAATCAATTCACCACCATTCTACAAACAAGTCGAAGATGCCTACACACACGCTAACAGAGCGCTATTGAAACTGCTCTTGGAAGACGAGGGACTAGTTTCGCGGTTGAGGAGTCTGAAACACTACTTTTTTCTTGCAGACTCAGATTTCTTCGTGCATTTCCTTGACCAAAGCTACAATGAGCTGCGTAAGCCAGCCAAGAATGCGAATTTGGTCAAGTTACAATCGCTTCTAGATTTGACGCTCCGCAATCCCGCCTCACCCAGCTTCAACGACCCGTACAAAGAAGATATCAAGGTTACTATGAGCAGAGAGCCTCTTTACCAGTGGTTGCTCACTGTTGTAAATGTGAGTGGAGCGCTGGGCCAGGAGGACAACTTGAACCAGCGCAAAGGCGCAGAAGAGAAGCCAATACGAGCAATTGAAGGACTCTCGTTTGACTACACAGTTAGTTTTCCGCTGTCTTTGGTTATTTCCCGCAAGACTATCCTCAGATATCAGCTAATATTTAGATTTTTGCTTCATCTTAAGTACACAGAAAGCGCGCTGGTTGGGATGTGGGGTGAGCATACGCAGGACTGTTGGAGACGGAATCTACGCTACAAGCCTTTCGATATGTGGCGGACGCGGGTGTGTGTGCTTCGCGCGCGCATGCTGGAGTTGGTCAGGCAAGTGACTGGCTATGTGTGTGAGGAGGTGCTCCACATTAAGTCGCTCGAGTTGGAGGAGAAGATCGGCAAGGTGCAGACGGTCGATGCGTTGCTGAAGGATCATGTCGATTTCCTCGACGGCTGTCTGAAGGAATGTATGCTAACGAATGCGCGATTGATCGAACGTTTGCAGAATATCATGAAGACGATCGGTACTTTCACATTATACTCGGTACAATTGACCAAAACGGCTGTTGAGGCGGGTGAAGCAATCGCTGAAGCACGCAGGAGCGGGATAGAGCCGTCGGAGAGTATAGTTCCGTTGGGTAAGATATGGAGCGAGCTCAACAAATTCGAGCATGCGTTCAATAAACAGAGTAAGGTGAGTGTGGGAAGTATTGGTGCTGGTGTTTCATGGCTTACGAACTGCTTTCAGATTATGCGCGACTCGCTCGCGTTCTACGCATCGTCGGAAAACCCCTCCCTGCTAGCCTTGTTAGCAAGGCTGGTGGGCATGCCATGATCCAGTTTTCCAGGAAAACATTCTAGCATTGTTGTATAATTTTAAAATATGTGATAAAGATTAATTTATGTCATCATCGATGGACTGTTGATTAGATACCGTGATGGGGGACTCGAAAGTAGATTTAATATTGAATAACTTCTACAGCAAGACGTTGCATCTGCTACTGGAGAGTAGAGTGGCGCTACCGGAGACCAAGACGCGGGTGTCCAAGTGGGTGAGTAGCCCAGCCATCGTGATTGCCATTATTTAAAGATCTGTCGCAGTTCAATATACAAACGACAGATAGTGGAAGTAGCTTGTTCCACAATGAGCTGAGCACGTGGAAGAATCTCTCCAACACAACGCAAATCCCGCCAATGGTGGTTGAATTCATACTCGATTCCTCCGACATACCGCCGAATCAGGCGTGTCTATTTGTCGACAACCAGAATAAGCGCAACACGGTGCAGGAGAGCGTAGTGCTAGAGCGGTGGACGCTGCAACTCACTGGCAGTGGCAGCGCTAGTGGTACACAAGAGGAGCTACCTGTAGTGTACAAGCGGTCGATAGTGTTATTCCGTGCTCTATACACCCTCCTACGACTGCTACCGCTATATGGACTGATTCGCAGGCTTAGGCGGTGTCATTCGCGTGGATTAAATATCGGATGCAGGCTCAGCGCAGAGAAGGGCGCATCTGAGGGTGTGTTGCCCATCGATGCACAGTTATCGCAGGACACAGCGAGCAATGCTACAGACATTCACCGATTTAGCCCTATAAATACTCCCGTAGGGACATTCAACCTCAGTGTGGACTATCGCCGGTCTATCAACTTTATTGTTGACGATATAGAGTCCCTGCTGTCTTCGCACTTTGTAGATGAGGATTATTACACACCGACGCTGACTAAGCATCGTTCTACGTCTGGTGAGAAGGTGGACAAGGCGGAGAAGGGCGAAGAGGGCAACGTCGTGCGTGATTACGTGGCGCGTACGGGTGCAAGCAGAGTGCGCACTTCGAGCAACCTCTCTAACCTCTCGCCGCGCACTACGTCTTACTCGTCGTCTCCCTCAGTGCGCCCATTGAGTATGTACGGAGCATCGCCTTCACCGTCGTTTACAGGAGTCGGTGCACATTCATATCAGCGCATGAATACCGCCAACACCACTAATACCACAAACACGGCAATCAGTATACCCGAGAATCAGTCGAGCAGCTCTTCTACGACGAACCGACGATACTCATCAAGCTTCGGCTACAGACGTACATCTTCCATCGGTGGTTCGAGTGGGGAGAGTGTGATCAAACCACTAGCGTCACCCACGCAACCAACTCATCCATCACCACCGGTGGGGGTATCACGCAAAATATCGACAAAACTATCATCATCGCTGGCAGAGGAGGATATTGGTGTGGATATAGACGACGATAACGATATTGGGGAGTTTATAAAGATGATCGATGAGAAACCTCAATTGAAATCGAGAACTGCGCAGTCAGTCAATACGATAACGAAACAGGAACTCAATGAAAAGATAAAAATGATGAGTGTGTCCAGTCTTGCTAACAAAGAGGTTCAAGATGCAAAAGAGGAAGAAAGGCAGGATTTCGGTGAAGTCGTCGGACAGATGGATTTCGATGAGTTGGATGTACGCAGGAGTATGTCGGCTCCTATATCCACCACCTCGAGTAGAGCGCAGACTGGGGTAAATGCAGTGAATGCAGCTCTCACGGCTGCTACTTCGCCTGATGATAAAGCACCTCTTTTCTACGATGTTGGCGCGAGTAGAGGGAGAAGTAGTTCGAGGCAGAGGTAATACCAGTGAGACAATAAAGTGAGAGTAAAGGATAAATTACATATTATAATACCACAGACCAGCGTAGACTGAGAGGAGTGCGATACCAATGAGCAAATGAGAGTTGAACTCGCTGCTAGAACTGCCATTTGACTTTGCAGCAGGCTTACCACCTAAAGTCTGCCCTTTACCGGAGAAAGCAGAGCCTTTGGAGTGCTCTTTGGAGTACTTCTTGAGCGCTGCCTCAATCGCAGCAGCGTTTGCACCCTTTATCGTTTCTAGCACTTTATCGCCGATAAGAAAGATAAAAGTGGGCATTGCGCTAATTCTGTACTTTGCAGCCACGTCTTTCGCTGTGTCAGTATTGCATTTGAAGAAGTTGACTGAGGGAAATTGCTTAGAGAGAGCCTCGTAGCGTGGGGCTATGGTGACACAAGGACCACACCAATCAGCGTAGAAATCAATCACGCTCAGTTTGCCAGCTTGAAGTTGGTTTAAATCACCAAGTGAATGCAATTCGATCATTTGGAGTGTAAAGTGATGGAAGAGTGGGATTAAGGGTGAATTGTTGCTTGTTCTTATGGATAACCTGAAATAATACCTCAAATACCGTCTCTACCTCCACATATTCCGCACCTCCACACTCTTCGCTTTATACTCTCATCATGGGCGGCATATGCTGCAAGCCAAATGTAAGTTCAGGCGTTCTTCGCGCTGTAAATAACACTCACGCTCCTCTAGAAGATTGATTTCGATGGTATGTGTGCTCCTCACCGGCTACCCAGACTCACTAACACATGCACAGGCCCAGTCGATCTGTGGCATTTCAGCCTCCTTAGAGCTGTAGGAAAGGGCGCTTTCGGAAAGGTGGGTATGTCTCAAATATCCCCGCTTTCATCTCACTCCGGCTTCTTTAGGTCCGTGTCGTACAGCACAAGCACACTAAGAAACTCTACGCGCTCAAGTACATAAACAAAGAAAAATGCGTTAAAATGCGGGCTGCCGATAACATAATCCAAGAACGTCGCTTGCTTGAGGAAATTGACCATCCTTACGTCGTCAACTTGCGCTACGCCTTCCAAGATGACGAAAATCTCTTTATGGTCATCGATTTAGAACTTGGCGGTGACTTACGCTTCCACCTCGAGCGTAACGGCGCGTTTGATGAACGCTCTGTCAAAATCTACATCGCTGAGATCGCACTAGCCCTAGACTACTTGCATCAGAGACGCATCGTTCATCGCGATGTGAAGCCCGATAATATTCTCCTAGACGATGCTGGTCATGCCCACCTTACTGATTTTAACATCGCTTGCTTCCTTGGAAAACGCCCGCTTACCGGCGTCGCTGGAAGTATGGCGTATATGGCTCCAGAAGTGCTGGAAAAGAGAGGCTATTTCACTACTGTCGACTGGTGGTCACTCGGTATTGTCGCCTTCGAGCTCATTTTCAATAAGAGACCATTCAGAGCCAAGACAAACTCAAGTCTCACAAACGCTATCAAGACACAAGAGCTCATTTTCCCTGAAGATGCTAAGGAAAAGGTTTCACAGGAAGGATTGAGCGCTATCAATGGTCTCTTGGAACGCGATCCTGATCATAGACTGGGTTGCAGTCAAGATGGCGGCTTTGAAGCTCTCATGGCTCATCCCTGGTTCAAGACGCTTGATTGGGAGAAACTACAGACCAAGCAAGAAATGCCTAACTTTTTACCAGACGTGAGTTGTTCTTTTAGTCTCTCCCCCTCTAACAATCCAGCAGTCAAAGAAAGCAAATTTTGACGCTACACATGAATTGGAAGAGCTGTTGCTGGAGGATAACCCCCTCAAAGCCAAGAAACGTGACCCGAAGCGGGATGTTACACAACTAGAACCTGCGTGGGTGAAGATGGAGGAAAAATTTGGCGTGTACGATTACACGAAGATGCGGAGAAAAAGCTATTTCAGACCAAATGGTGACCCAACAGAGACAATAACAAAACCGGATCAACCACTAGTATCAATTGAAGAACAGCCGAACCAGTCTTCTACCCTTACAAATTTGAATGCTTAAAGATTGTGAAACCGGTTAGATGAAATGGCACATACCAAATGGATGAAAAGAATATATCATATCCTATCTGAATATCATATTTTAATTGTAAATTTCCTTTTCGTTGTTGATAAGTACGACCAACACTATGCCTAAAGACGCAACAAAGAAGTCAATCAATGAAGGCAGAAAGGGTAATGAGAACGTGAAGAAAGCTACGCAGCAGAATACACAGAAGAATGCTGGGAAGAAAGAGGATAAATTTGAAGATCAGGTTGGTGCATGTTAAGCGGATAATAAGAACCAACCAGCTAACTTATCTATAGGATGAGATCAATATCAACGAGTACAACAGCGATAGCAGTGATTCAGACGGCAGCTCTGACGAAGAAGCCATCTCAAAGGAGTCCAAACCTGTGCCAAAAGTGCCAACCAACTCCCAGGTTAAAGCGAAATTGGGTAAAGCAGCTTCCAAGAAGAACAAGAGGGGTGTAGTATTTGTTGGACATATCCCTCATGGTTTCTACGAGAATGAAATGAGAGCATATTTCTCTCAATTTGGTGATATAACGAGACTTAGACTATCACGTAACAAGAAGACAGGCAAGAGTAAGCATTATGCCTTTATAGAGTTTGAGAGTCTCGAAGTTGCGGAGATCGTAGCTGAGACTATGAACAACTACCTCATTGAGAATAGATTGCTGGTTGTGGAAGTGTTGGATGACAAGGATATAAACGAGCACCTCTTCAAAGGAGCCAATCGCAAGTTTAGACCAACGCCTACTGACAGAATAGAGAGATTGAATTTCAATAAGGAGAAGACCGAGGAGGAGAAACAGAAGGCTGTAAGCAAGTACCAGAAAGCACTTGAGAAGAAGCAGCAGAAGCTCGATAAGAAGGGCATCGATTATAAGATTCCAATGTAACTTTATTTATTGAAATTGTTAGAAAAATTTCACGCCTTCGCCTTGACTGGATTTTATAATCGCAGCCTTGGATTGTTTTGTGAGTATGTTTATGGCCATCTTAAGGATTTCTACAGGTAATTGGTGCAATTCACTCAGATGGCTGTACTCGCCTTGTGTGAGCTCATAATAAGTCAGAGGCGTGTTAAGCTGTGCTGTGTTTAAAACGTAGTCGTAAACAATTTCAGACCATTCAGCTAAGCTTCTCCAGTACACCCAGACGCTATCTTTACTCGCATCTGTAAACGCAGCTACACCGTCCTTAACGATTGATTCGAGGATAGCACCGATAAAATCCTTGGACGCAGCCCCTGTAGCTTATTCAGCTATAAACTCAACACTATCTCTTTACACACGCTTTATCTTGTCATTCGCCCATATGTCATCGCTATAACTCAATTTGAACTGCCGCCGCTGCTTGCATGTTGCGAGTATGTGCCTCTGCCACAGACTAAGTTGCTGGGATAGTGTAGTGCCATTCGGCTGCTGTGTGTAGAATGGTGGAAATTCACTGATCGTCGTCATCCAGATAGAGAGCTGATGGAAAGCAGATGAAAAAGGAATAGAGATGCGAGGATTTGGATTGGAGATTTGTATTCTTAGACTACGCTTTGTAGCATATCTCCAATCGCATCTTCATCTTCTCCGATACAGCTGTTAAACCCGAACGACACATCGAGCACTAACTTAATTACCCGCTAGAGCCTCTCACCCTTAAATCCGCTATCTCCACTGTGCAATTCCCCCGACGGCCAACTTGAGCGAAACTTTGTTCGCGTTCACCTCTTGCATTACTACAACCACAAGCATCTCACTGAAAATGCCAGAAATGAATGCCAACGATGCGCTTGCACACCTCAAATCCTACGAAGAAAGAGACGGTCTCTCTGTGCAATCACTGATGGACTCAAAGACCCGCGGTGGACTCACCTATCAAGATTTCCTCGTACTCCCAGGCCACATAAACTTTGACAGCGCCAGCGTCAGCCTCAAGACAAAGGTTTCTCGCAACATTGAGCTCTCAGCGCCATTCGTGTCTTCGCCAATGGACTCTGTCACCGAGACTGATATGGCTACGTACATAGCTCTCATGGGCGGTATTGGTATCATTCATCACAACAACACTCCAGAAGAACAAGCTAATATGGTGCGCCAGGTGAAAAAATTCGAGAACGGTTTTATCACGGATCCAATCTGTCTCAAACCAACGGCTAAAGTGAGCGACGTACTCGATATCAAGGATAAGCTCGGCTTTGGTGGTATTCCTATAACTGAGTCGGGTGCCTTACACTCTAAACTCCTCGGTATCGTTACAGCGAGAGACATTCAATTCCAGAACCTCAACGCGGAAGTGAAGGAAGTTATGACGACTGACTTGGTCACAGGCAACCACGGTATCAACTTGGAGGAGGCCAATAAGATTTTGCGCGTTTCTAAAAAGGGTAAATTGCCTATCGTCGATTCGAAGGGTAACCTCAGCGCACTGCTCGCTAGATCAGATTTACTTAAGAATCTCAACTTCCCATTAGCATCTAAACATCCAGAGACTAAGCAGTTGTACTGTGGTGCATCTGTCGGTACCAGAGACGCAGACAAGGAGCGTCTTCGCCTGCTTGTTGAGGCTGGTCTCGATGTTGTCATCCTCGACTCCTCACAAGGTAACTCGGTGTACCAGATTAACATGCTCAAATGGACCAAGGAAAACTTTAAGAAATTGGACGTGATTGCTGGAAATGTCGTCACTAGAGAGCAAGCAGCACAGCTGATCAGCGCTGGTGCTGATGGATTACGTATTGGTATGGGATCAGGTGGGTGTGGAAATTTCGACGCTGCTCCCTCTAACACATGTCACAAGGCTCCATTTGTATCACCCAGGAAGTCATGGCTGTGGGCAGACCACAAGGTACTGCCGTCTACGCTGTTGCAGAATTTGCCAACCAGTTTGGTGTCCCATGTATCGCCGACGGTGGTATTGGCAATGTCGGTCACATAGTCAAAGCGGTGTGCCTCGGTGCGTCGGCGTGCATGATGGGTGGTATGTTAGCAGGCACGACTGAATCACCTGGTGAATACTTCTACCATCAAGGCCAGCGCGTGAAGGCTTACCGTGGAATGGGTTCGATTGATGCCATGCAGCACAAGCTCAAGAAGAAGAGCGCAACAGCTGAGAGTGACACTAAGGACAATGCTGCTAGTGGTCGCTACTTCTCTGAGTCTGACTCAGTCAAGGTGGCACAAGGTGTCAGTGGTGATGTTGTTGATAAGGGCTCGATCACCAAATTTTTACCTTATCTCTACAATGGTCTCCAACACTCCCTCCAGGATATGGGTGAGAAGAGTATCACTGAGCTGCAAAAGTCAGTCAAAGATGGTAAGGTTAGGTTTGAGTTGCGCACTGCCTCAGCTCAGCTGGAAGGTGGTGTCCACGGTTTGAACAGCTACACTAAGCGTCTGTTTGCTTAGTGCGCAAGTACGTATAGAATGATTCACGTTTTCTCTTCTTTTTGGATTATATAAAATGAAAATATTTATGCATTAACAATGCACCCCGTTTAATCACTTTCAGACTCATCGCCCGACACTTCAGCATTCTCCTTCTCGACTCTCTCCATGAGGGCCTGGAGCTCGTTGTCTTCGGATTCAGACACGGCCTTTGGCTTCATCTTGATGTTAACCTCGCCGCCATACTTTTTCATCTCATCTTGAACGACCTGCACGGCTTTCTCGAGGAGAGAAAGGCCGCCTTGCTTGTCGGTGCTGGTAGTGCTGACGACGTAGAGAGGTGGAGCGACGAGTTTAATCTTAATAGGGATAGATTCAGTTTGGAGGGATTCGCAAGCTTTGAGCGCGCCCTTGATAGCGTCAATACCATCGTACCCGAAACAAGTAACCTCCAAATCAGATCTAATTTTGACAGGCTGGGGAGTGAGTCTTCTTGAGATGTTTGCCTTGAGTTCGCGCAGGATATCCTCGCTGACTTCTAATTGATTGAATATCATGTCTGGTTCAGAGATGGACAGTTTAAAAGCATCGTAAGAGTGGCCGTATTTTCTATGCAGAGGCCAAGCTACATCTGAGTAAATCTTTTCAGCGTCGATGCCCAATTTACCTGAAACGTGTGCCATTATCGACGACACTGCCTTGGATTTGTTGAAGCGTTCTTCGCACTTGAGTACGTCTTCCGGAGACACACGACGCTTGGAAAGATCAATGTAGCCTTTCTCCTTGTCTACACGCAACACAACGACTACTTCATTGCGACCGACCCTGATCAGCTTCTGGATTGACCTTATGCGACGACGTGAAAGCTCGGAGAGGAGTATCATTCCTTCGATACCGTCGTATTCGAGCTGGGTGAGGGTGTTTAATTGGGTTCATTCACTTATTCCATCCACACTCACCAGTTGCACATATGCACCCATTTCTGCTATTTGACGCACTTGCACCATCACCTGCTCTGCCTGTTAGTGTGTTCAACGCAGCCTTCCTCACTCACCAGCTCATCCACTTCCGGAAACTTCTGCTCGTAGAATCTCATTTTCGAAACGTTACTATAGTTTACTTGGGTGGTGTGAGTGAGTGAAGACGAAGACAGTGACAGTGATGATACTTCCTAAAATTTGTGTGCGGTGCTTGGGGATTGCTGGAGTGTATTGCGAGTGTTTTGTTGTGTAGCTGTGGTGCACCTCTTCTTCGCTGCTTGATTGGTGATGGAGGTGTGTTTTTCGATAAGGGTGGTATGGCTCGATGGGGTGGGGTGTTCAGAATATGGTGTTTGTGTGTGTAGCTGTCTGTAATTTTTTATTTCATTGTGCTGTTCGCTTGACTAAGTATCTCGAGTGTCTCAAGTTTCTCGATATCACTTGTACGCCCATTGAAAACTAACTTGCATGCAAAATGTACACTCCCTAGTAATTATATAGGCGAATATGTGCGTTAGATCTCTAATTTTCACTTTTTGCTATTTAGAGCGGTGTCACTGCGGTAGTAATGCCTTCGCAGCGAACATTGAGGTGATGGCTTGCTTTAAAGAGTGAAGAGGTGCAGTAAAACGAAAACTAGCCAGTGGTCACAAAAACAATTGGGGACTCTTTGAGTGTCAGGCAAATGTTACTCGGTATATATTTTTAAGGGTGAAAGCTGTATCAACAATCCTTGTTAGTATATCGGTTAGTACGCCCGCTTGTCACGCGGGAGAGCTGGGTTCAACTCCCAGACAGGGAGCATTTATTTTTGCTTTCGGTGATGCTGACTTTTCTTTTTCTTGATAATACTTTATTCGTTTATTTTCGAAGTGTGCTTTTTTGTGTGTTGGTGTAAGCTGAGAAGGTTTACAACTTGACGCACACAGAGGGAGTGAGAGTGGAGTATATTCTAAAAGCACATCTAAAACTAAGGCCAAACTAAAATTACAAATGCAAATCATCGCCCAAGTAGTGCAATCTAGCACTAACGCTATCTTTCGAACCGAGTGTGAGAGAAGCAGCATCCTGAGCGAGATGGATGGCTTTGGTGAGGGGCTGGTGATGAGCGAGAGCGGCGAGGAGAGCTCCAACGAAAGAATCGCCAGCGCCGGTAGTATTAACGAGACGATCGGGTGTGTGGGGAGGGAGGTGTTGGACGAGGACGTATTGAGCGTCAGCGTGAGTGTTGGAGTCAGCATTGCTAGTAGTATCCACGCGATGTACCACTCGAGCATCTTTCTTGGAGGTTGACAGGAGCGCACCGTCGATACCTACCTCGCCCAACTCATCTTCGCGCACATGCGACACAAGTAGCACACCCTTTGCGCCACATTTGACAACAACATGTTTGGTGAGGGGCAGGAGCATGACGGCCATCTGTGCGATACCATCTTGAGTAAAGGGGCGCGGGAGGCACCTCTCCAAAGCGTCTCGGAAAGGCTGGTAGAGGCGGAGAGCATTGAGAGCCTCCCAGTACGCACTACTCTCTCTAACACGCGCGAAAGAGGTGCTCTGCGTCATTGCGCGCAGTTCGTGAGTGTTGGGTGTGACATGTGTGAGGAGGGGTTGGGAGTGTGGTTGTGATTGTAATTGTGAGTCTGCTTCCTCCCACATCTCCCAAGCTTCCAACACACGCACACTTTTCGCTACACTAGTGGGCTCGTAGAGGGTGGGGATGGCGCGTGCACGTGCATAACTGAGCACATGGCGCACGACACCCGCGCTGACGTTTCCATCGAGTGCAATGATGTGTGGGGAGTGTTTTTCGAGTACTTTTTCGACCTGGTGGGAGTGTAAGTGTGAGTAAGCCTACAATCAAATCAAATCAAACACTCACTTCGCTAAAAGGCATCTGATCAAGAGCATCAAAAGAAGCCACACCCTCGCGCAACTCACCCTCATTGTCTAAGAGGAGGTTGACGACGGGAGTGAGGGTGTTGTGAGGTGGGTCGACGAAGCCATCGGTGCGCATATGGAGGGCGGCAGCGGATGAGCGGAGGGAGTTGGCGAGGAGGTCAGCAGTGCTGGTGTTGGTGTTGCTACCTCCCACCGGCGCAATGAGAATGGCTGACTTCCCACCAGCTGCCCCTCGCAGCACCCGTCCAGCCGCTTCGGCGATGTTACGCCCTACACCCCCAGCGCTCACTGTCACTCTCCCGGGCGATGTGCTGTGTGGCTCACTTTTACTATCGTATTGCGCTGTCACGTCTATAGCTGCAGCGCCGATGATCACTATGTCGGCAGGGGCGGAGGTGTGAGAGGGAGTGTGAGTGTGTGGTATATCTTTTTGTGCATTTGCGTTAACTTTGGCGCCCACTTTAACTCCCGATTTAGCTATCATTGCAGCTTCAGTTTCAGCTATAGCCCTTGCCCTTACATTTGCCTGTGTCTGAGGTGTTGATGGAGCATCACTCAAACCACTCAAAGCACCCAAACCACTAGAACCACCCACTGGATACATCTTCTCGCCCACTCTGTCGTCTTTCTCCTTGTCCTCCAACAATCTATGATAATGAACGGCAATTTGTGCTCCGATTCGAGCGTTGTTTTCGACGAGGGCGATATTGCTGTGTATGGAGTTGTTGTCAGTGAGTTGAGCGATGCGATTGAGGAGCCAGGGAGTGATATCCTTTCCGAGTATGTTGTTATTCGCATGCTGGCTTTCTTGTACGGCTCTCTCGACAGCAATCTGTATACGACTGCCCTGTTCAGCGTACTGCGGGGGTATGGGAGCGCAGAAGAGAGCACCGCTTTGCAAACCCTGCGACGCAATACCCACCTGCGCCGCCTGGAGGGGTGAAAGGGAGTACTGCACGTGATGACCACTGTTTGGGGAGTAGAAAGCGGGGAAGTTGTAGTTTGGTTGGGCGGCTTCACCTACACTGGCCACAGTGACGCCGTGAGTCTCGAGATATTCCAAAGTGAGGGGAGTGTCGAGGATAGATTTCGCACCGGCACATATAACGTGAGTGGGTGAGCGGCTGAGTTCGATGAGGTCGGCACTGACATCCCAAGTACTCTGGGCGTTGCGGTGAACACCACCGATACCGCCCGTAGCGAAATGCTTTATACCGGCATGAGCGGCGAGAGTGATAGTGCCAGCGACGGTGGTGCCGCCTGTTCTGTGGAGAGCGGCAGCGGGAGCAATGTCGCGCCGAGAAATCTTCAGAGGGTTGCCGGAGTGGAGGGAGAGATGGGACAGTTGGGAATCAGAGAGACCGACACGTGGACAACCATCAATAACAGCAATATGCGCAGGTACGGCGCCTTGTTCGCGGATGACGGCTTCTAGTCGGGTGGCCGTAGTGTAGTTGAGGGGAGTGGGCAAGCCATGAGTGAGGATAGTGGACTCGAGCGCAACGATGGGTTTGCGCGTGGCCAGGGCGTCGACGATTTCGGCCGAGTATTTGAGCCGGGAGATGGAGGACATGGAAGTAAAGAAGAAAGAGATGGATTAGAGATGGGCATTGTCTACAAGGCGGGGAGAGTCAGTGAGCTCAACATCCACACTGTCACCGGCGTTTAAAGAAATTTTAGATTGGAGAAGGTTGAGTGCGTCGATGTCGACGACGAGGTTCTTAGAACGGAGGATGTCGTAAACATGGACGTCTTCAGGGGAAAGGGAGTCGATGGTAGGGATATTCCTAGAGGCCAGATGGATGAGTGAGTCGTCGGTGATGAATAGCGTTCTATCCAACAATTTGAGGTTGCTCAGTTGTTTGCAGAGTTTGTTTGTAGATGGAATATCCAGATTAGATTGATTAATAGCCATCAGCTGCGCCGATCTAATCTTATCAGATAGCGCTACTTTCATGCCCATCGACCACACTTTTTTATTCAATTTACGCGTCCAGTTGCGGGTGTTACGTGGGCCATGAGCCTGGCCACCGCCAACCAACAACGGCGATTGCTTCGTGCCCATTCTAGAATGACCTGTACCTTTCTGAGGACGTTGTTTTCTATGTGAGCCAGCGACTTCGTGCCTATTTTTCACGTGGGCTATACTCCCGTCTCTGTTGGACAGCAAGAAGGATCTAACGCAGGAGTGCAGGATATCCCTCCTTAACGGAACATTGAAGATATTCCCAGGCAAGGGGACTACTTGCTTCTCAACAAAGCCAGTCTTTGGGTGAAATAGATGTTTGAGGGGGATATGCAGGAGCGTGTCTGTAGGGTATTTGAATTGTAATTTTATTGATTTTGCTATCCACTCACCTCTAACCAAATTCATCTTGATCGTCCTTGTTTAAACCTTGAAATGAGCTCAAATTCAACTATTCATTATAAATTACATAAACAACTCGATGAATCTAGTCTAAGCGCAGTGGCCACAGTTATTCTATCCACCGTCGATCAATTACTCTGCAAATACAACTACCTGTGGCACAAGGACCCATTCGAGTTGACCGTCTCCGATAATGCCCTTAATGGTTCCATCCGAGTGGGCGATTCGATTGAGGATGAGTGGGTTACTCTCTGGATTCTTATCCAACTTTCCATCACTTATGATTTTGTTATTGAGTGGGTGGTTATATCGCCAAGGCTATTCAAACACCCGCTCACTCTCACCTAGAACACACGACGACGACGGTCAGTTCATCCTCATTGAGGCTGCTGAACAGCTACCTAGCTGGCTCACTCCAGAGAGGGCTGTGAACAGGCTATGGGTGTACAAGGGGAGGCTACACTTGATTGGATTGGAATCACACCCAGACACTCCATTAAGCACAAGCACAGCTATCCAACTTATCACTAACCCCTCCACACCCACTCTCGCCCCTTTACATGTCGAAAACGCCGCTTTCTCCCGCACGCATATCTATCCTGAAGCGTTAAGCAGCCATCAGCACACTTTCAACGCTTTCCTTCCATCGCCACTTGCACACCTTTGCGCACTCACCAGCACACACACTCCACACCGACAACTGGCTTCCACCCTCACTCAAATGGCCGTAGAAGCTTTCTGTTCGCGCGACGCAGCTGGTACACGCGCAGCTCAGAGGATGTCGCGTTTTAAACCCACGCAGGCACATGGATCAAATGGCTCTGACTCACTCCCCGTCTCCCTCACCCTCACTCGCACCGCCTACGCTCAACTCCAAGGCCAGCCCTTCCACCCCCCTAGAGTATTTAACAGCGATAGATGGCCCAACTCGGGTAAAGAACGCGATTGGCGTGATAAAGGTATGAAATTGGCCTGTGGGTTTGAGATTCTATATGATGAGAGTAAAGGGGATGTCCGGGGTGCACAAGGTACACTAAATACACAAAACTCTCAAAACTCTCAAAACCCTCAAGATACTCCTTCTCCGCAACTCACCAAATACCTCAACACACTCCTCCAAATAGGTTTCTTCAAGGGCGAGATAGAGGGTAGTGCGGCGTACGTGGAGAGATACACGCAGGCAGTGCATACGTGGCACTCTATCAGACAGGCTGGGGGGGAGTATGACAAACGTTTCTCCTTTGCGGGCGAGGTTGAGCGTTTGCTTGGGGAGAGTGAGGAGGATGACCGTGGACACGCTCACTCTCACACCAACACCAATATCCTCCCTGAAGACGACGATAGCTGGCTCAACATCAACGCTGACAGTTTCGACGATTACCTCGCTCAGCGTATGCAGGGAAGTCACGCGGAGCGTCACCATGACGCACACCTACACTCCTCCGCTGACACTCTAGCCCACTTTAGCGATAAGCTTCACGCTTTTGTCGATCGTGAGGGTGGTATGGACCAAGCTAAATTCGGTGAAGATGACTTATTTTCCGATGAGGAGGGGGAAAGCAGTGGTGAGAGCGATAGCGATAGCCAAGATGGAAACAAAAAGAAGGATAAAGATAAAGAAGCAGACGCAGACAAAGCTACAAACTCAATTGCAGAAAACACCCAGACCAAACAACACCGTCTAAACACCCTCGTCCCTTCACTGAATAAAGATGAATGGGGAGCATCGACGCAGAAGCCATCGCAACAGGAGAAACAGCGTGAAGAAGATGCCACAGTTGATATTTCCCCTGCAAACCAAACACACCTCCTCAACACACTCCATCAATACATCTCCGACCCCATCGAACAGAGACAGGTAGAGGAAGATGCCCGGCTGCGTCGCCCACATTTTGCACCTGAGAAATACGACGGTTGGTCAGATGAGGAGGAGGAGGACGGTGGAAATGAGGAGGCTAGAGATGCGGAGAGACTCAAGAGTGGAGTTAAGGAATTAGGGCAGGATGAGATGGAGGATGTCGAGAACCTTCCCCAGGTTGTCAATCTCCATGCTGAAGACGATATTGATATGCAAAATGAACAGACTGATTTCCTCGCCTTTTCTAGAGAGGCGCTTGGGATTGATGACAAAATGTGGAACAAGATCCTCACTGAGAGGAGAGCAAATGGTGCTTTTGTGCCGGATGATGAAAGGATGGAGAAGAGAAATGTGGATGATGATGATGATGATGTGGAGGAGTCACCATCACACCATCCACAACCACCAAAACCACAACCCAGGATGGAAGACGTACGCGACCAGGATGCACCACAAACTCACACTCCCACTCACAATGCCAAACCAAACGATAAACTTGACTCGTTCGAAGCCGTCATGCACGCAATGGATACTGAACTGGCAAGAGCGAAACCTAAAGCTGAGACAAGTCAAAACACAAGAGAAAGCGGTGTGTCTGAAGAACTCGATGAAGATGAACAGCTGCGTGCAATGGACCACGAGCTCAAATCTATCTTATCACGCGTTGATCCTAACAACGAGACACTGGATGACAATTTCGACGACCAAGATATTGACGACGAACAACTCCAACAGGGTGACTACTCGACTATGAGGAACTTCCTCGAATCTTTTAAAGCTCAGAGTGGCCTCAGTGGACCCGTAAGCAATCTTGCTGGCTCATTTGGTGAGAGGCTGCCGAGAGATTACGAGTGAGAGAATTATTTGTACACTATGTTATTGTTATTGTTATTGCTACAATTGCTACAATTGCTACAATTGCTTTAATTACTATAATTACAACTCCATTTACTCCAAAATAAACTACATTTCCACTGATCTTTCATCTTACCTCTCACAGATTGTTTGTTCCGATGTATCCCACAAACAGAGCGTGCAAGAGTGTAGCAGCCAATGCACTCAGGTCCACGAAACTACTGAGAGAATGTAATATGTTAAATTTCATGTTTAGCTTGTGCATTTCAGGCGAAACATCTGTTTTCTTTTCTTGGCTTGCTTCGTCTGCTTCCAATCGATGACGGGCGAACATGAAGCTGAGAGGGTAGTTAATTAGATAACTGGCTCAGATGTTTACGCGCCAACCCACTCAGTTGTAGCCGGAGCGAGTACCGCCAAGTTGACAAAGTGAGCCAAACCGACAGCAGCGAGGAGGATAGTGTTGAAAGCATCCGTGTGGATGGTGTGGATAGCTGAGTAAACACCCGCGTACTCCAATCCCCTAACGACCTCGCACAGACTGCCGAAATCGAGCGCGTGGGCGCGGTGTACGATCCACCTACCAAGCAAAGCACTAGCAAGTGTACTTGCAACGATAGTGTATGCAGGTACTAATTTGGCTTGCAGTCTACCGAAAGTGTTTTTGGGCAATGTCTTGTATGTCACCACGGCCCCTATGTAGCTCTGCCACAACTGTACACCAAGTAGAGCACCAAGCAGAATCAGATATACAGCCCCACCGTTTTTGGTAAGTAGCGTGGTCATCCCGGGCCACGTACCATCCATGTTAGCCAATCGCGTAGATTCTACTATCTTATCGAATAATGGCACGTGTACGTGTAAGTCATCTATTGTGTTTTCCATGTGTGCTGGTTCTGCTATGTGCTGATGGTTCCGGTCAGAGAGGCATGAGTCGGACGAAATGGGACAGCGTGGATGCAATTCCCCATCAAGAATATCAACGACGCAGAAATATTTTTTAAATTTAAATTCTTTATTCCACTTTGATTTTCACTTGCTGCTCCCTCTCTCTCCTCCGTACGACGACGCTGAAATATGCACAGACTCAGCAATTTGCTCAGGCAGCGGTCTCTCAGGCCCACTGCCATCCCTAGAAGCTTAAACAGCTCAAATAGATATTTATCTCAGTCCCCCATCCTCCGCAGAGACGATAAGCGCCATGATGAGAAGAAACGCAACGACCAAGACGACGAAGAAGACTCAACTGACTCCAAGAAATCATCCGACAAACGCAAAAAGGACAAAAACAACGACAAAGACCAGGGCTCAGGTTTCCCTGGTGGTTTTCCTGGCGGTGGCGGTGGTCCCCACACCGAGATACGTATCAACGGTCAGCAACTCCTTATGATGGGCGTTGGTACCTACTTCACCTACAAGCTTCTCGTTCCGGAAGCAGGCGAGAGAGAAGTTACTTGGCAGGACTTCAGAACTGGCTACCTCGATAGAGGTTTGGTTGACAGACTCACCGTCGTCAACCGTAACAGAGTTAGAGTCAGCCTTCGTGGTGACGCTTCCTCTTCCTCCGGTCTCTATTTCTCCATTGGCAGCGTTGATGCGTTTGAACGTCACCTCGATGAAGCTCAAAAGGAGCTTGGCGTTCCAAACAACGAAAAGATTCCTGTCGCTTACCACGAAGAGACATCTCCACTCAACATGATCTTGCACTTCGCTCCCACTCTCCTTTTTGCTGGTTTGCTTTACTGGATGAGCAGAAGAGCCGGCGGTGGCAGTGGCGGTGGCGGCGGTATTTTTGGAATTGGTAAAAGTAGAGCTAAACTTTTCAATCAGGAGAGTGAAATTGGTACACGATTCAAAGATGTCGCCGGTATGGATGAAGCCAAAGAGGAAATCATGGAATTCGTTAAGTTCCTCAAAGAACCAGAGAAGTTTGAGAAATTAGGCGCTAAGATTCCACGCGGTGCTATCCTTTCTGGTCCACCTGGTACAGGTAAGACCCTCCTCGCCAAGGCAACTGCCGGTGAAGCTGGTGTACCTTTCCTCTCTGTCTCAGGTTCAGAGTTTGTTGAGATGTTTGTCGGTGTTGGTCCTTCTCGTGTACGTGACCTCTTCGCAACAGCACGCAAGAACATACCGTGTATCATCTTCCTAGATGAAATCGACGCCATTGGTAAATCTAGAGGCAAATCTGGTGGTATGGGTGGCGGAAATGACGAGCGTGAAAGTACCTTGAATCAGCTTCTAGTTGAGATGGACGGTTTTGCCTCCGATCAGCACGTAGTTGTCCTGGCCGGTACAAACAGACCAGATGTTCTTGATCCTGCCCTCATGCGTCCAGGTCGTTTCGACAGAAATATCACCGTTGACAGACCAGACGTCGGTGGCCGCTCTCAAATATTCCTCGTCCACCTCCGTCCACTCAAGCTAGACACCACCCTTAAGAAGGTCGGACCTCCATCTGAAGACAGCGACGCCGGACCAAGCTCGAGCGTCGGCAGACCAACCACAGATTTCCCAACGCCTAATCCAGCGCTATTCCAGCAGACGTCGATGGCCTTCTCAGGAGCAAATAACGATGTAACGGGAGGACCTGTTGTGATGGCGGAGGCTGTTGAAGATGACCTCACTCCAGCTGAGCGTCGTGAAAGGGATGCAAGGAAAATGATCACGTCAGACAACCCCTACAGTAACCTTGCCCACAGACTCGCGCTTCTCACTCCAGGATTCTCAGGTGCGGATATAGCCAACGTGTGCAACGAAGCTGCACTATACGCTGCCAGGAAGGGAGCTGAGTCAATAAATCTGATGCACTTTGAGCAAGCGATAGAGCGAGTAATTGCTGGACTTGAGCGCAAGAGTCGAGTTTTAGACAAGGAGGAGAAAAAGACGGTAGCATACCACGAAGCTGGACACGCTATCTGTGGGTGGTTCCTCGAACATGCCGACCCGTTAGTAAAAGTATCCATCATTCCACGCGGTGTTGGTGCACTCGGTTATGCTCAATACCTCCCTAAAGAGCGCTTTTTGTTCACTACGGAACAACTCATTGACAGAATGTGCATGACTTTAGGTGGACGTGTTTCGGAAGAGATCTTCTTTGGTAGAATTACTACTGGTGCGCAGGACGACTTGCAGAGAATCACCAAAATGGCTTTCGAAGTGTGCGCTAATTATGGTATGAACTCTGAAATAGGTCCTGTTAGCTATGGTGGTCGCGAGGGCAGCAGTGAAGGATTCCAGAAGCCGTTTAGCGAGAAGACGGGCGAAATGATTGACTTGCAAGTTAGGAATATGATCACTGAGGCACATAGACGTACACACGTCCTCTTGGGTGAGAGGAAGGAACTAGTGGAGAGAGTAGCACAGAAGCTGTTGATAAAGGAGGTGCTTTCGAGACAAGACATGATTGATCTGCTTGGGCCACGTCCTTTCGAACATACAAAAGATGAATTGGATAAGTTCTTGGAGGGCGATATGTGAGTGTCGTTTGGATGCTTTGGTACGTTGTTAATACAATCACAGCAAAAAAGCACCATCTGATACACAGACTCAAACGGAATCGCAGTAATGTTAGTAATTTATCCCTGTACAAATCTCATGCAAAATTCTAAAGTTATCGCGGAAATTTGCACTGGCAATGTCGCATTGTTGCATTGTTGCATTGTTGCATTATCGAATTCCATACCATGCACTCATGACACACTCTAGACACCGTCTGGGAATCCATTTCTTGTTGACACTGTGCGTTCCTGAGGAAATTAAAATTGTGCATATAAAGCCGATTCGATCAACCATCATCAAATCACGTCATCAAGCACTGCGGAGAAATGCGCACGCAACTATTACACCAAGTCTGCTTCAACCGCACAGTGCCAGTTTCTGGGCTCTACGTTAACAATTCGCGTCTGGTGGCGCACAACACAAGTGACTTGATCGAGTGCGATGATGGTTGCAAGGCATACGACTATGGTAATAAGGCGTGGGTGGTTGATGCAAATAAGGATATCAATCTTCTTATCGACGAGTGTGTCGAACGTAGCGAGGAACCCAGCGAGAACCAACTAGGAGACACAAGGAGTGTATCCGTAAATCGCCAGCTAGAATCCGGCGAGGAGCTTCTACGTCCCAAGATCACTACTGTCTTTCTTCTCTTTGTCGTCATGCTTTTTATTGAGTTTTATCTCGGATAGAAGAAGGCTAGAATGGAAACAATACACAAATAACACACTAAGCTTGACATATACCCTTTACGCAAATACACAATCACATGAACAATGACGGGCACTCAAAATTTTGATGTTACCTTTAGTATCACTCGAAATTGTACAAGTACACACTGGCATTCTCATTCTCATTCAAATATCACTCCCGCTTTTTCTTTCACTCTCCATACAAAAACTCAACCTCATCGACCCCAATGCCATTGGCACCGCCTGCAAAAGGCAATGGCTTCGGACTACCTGGCGGCGGTGAGAGATCCTGTTCGCCGGGGTGTTCATTGAGGTGAGAGGATTCATTCTGCGGCGACTTGAGTGCTCGATTAGGCGACGGAGGGAGTTGAGAGAGGGTTTGAGCGCTGATATGTTCCCAGTCGTTCAAGCCCCTCTGTGAACCGCTTTCATCCTCTCCACCAGGCTCTCCACGCTCACCGTGTTTACCGTTCTCGTCTTGTTCTTCTCCACCACGCCTATATCCCAGATCACCAACTGACACAACGCTGTAAAGGCACGTTAGCATAGCTGCAGCACATAAGAACCAAATCAACTCTCCACTCACCTCTCGCTATCGCTCACATCCTCGTAAGTCTGATCCACCCCGAGGAAGGTGTTGAGCTTGTGCCATGCATCCGAGCCTTTTTCGAGATGGTGCAGGTTGAGCTCCTTCAGCACATGGTCGAGACCTTGCGCATCGAACGAGTCACCCTCAACTCCTCCCAATATATCCTCCATGATGTCGTCGTACTCGTGCATGTCGTAGATATCATCTGCCTTGGCGTCATCTGAGTGCGGGTGTGACGGCGATTCCTCGTGTGCTTTCTCGTGTGAGTGTGACTGCGATTGCGATTGCGAATGCGAGCGCCTCTCCTTCGCTGGTGCAGCATCTACGTCGACGTGCTGTGTCTGTCCACCGGGTGTGCTTGTGTGGATTGTGAGTTGAGGATAGTGATTGTAAGAAGTCATGTATACTTACTTGTAATACTTCTCGTTGTCTTGATGTGTGGTTAGACGTTTTTGAGCTCCTATCATTAGCTACACCCACAGAATTTCACAAATGCTCGCAAAGATTGCTCTTGGGGCTTGCACTAGTGTCAGCTTGACTCATCAATTTAAACACAACCCACCAGCGAATCCTCAATCTCCTGATCGACATCCGCACTAGCCAACCACTCGTCTCTCAATTCAGGTCTGCAATTGAGATAGATAGCGGTAATGACTTTCATATTAGCTGGCGGTGTGCACGTTAGTTTTGTTTGTACGCCACCGCAAAAAAAAAACAACTTCACGCACACTGTCTCCATTTACGTCCGTAGTATGGCACCTGTCCCTTAATAATTTTGAGCACATACAGCTGCAAGCGCGGCTCAGAGATGCGTAACAGCCGCTTCAGCATGGCCTGTTGGTCATATTGTCAGTAAAACCACACAGCCGTCTCATTATACCATCTCTTACACTACTCTTGTACTGCACCAGCAACAACAACCTGTGAGTCCGCTTCTTGCTGAGTTTCTGCACAATGCGCATAAAGTTGATAGTCGCAAACAGATTACGCCAACTATAGCTGCGTGTATCGGGTTTCTCGAAAGTTTCGAAATCTGGTATACCATCGTTGCTATTGATGGAGGGCACTTTGCGATGAGGTGGATGGATGCTGGTGTTAGTGTTGCTATTGATAGCCCCATTATCGTTGTTTTTGCCGTTCGCCGCACAATAGTTGAAGAAATTGAGATCCTCCACCTCATGTTGCGTGCGCATCATACTCAAGACATCCTGGAAGCCATACATTTTCAACATGAGGAGGATGCAATTACTGTCTACGAGGAGTGTAGACAGCCACTGGAACTTCATCACATGCGACACCTTGAACCATTTGAGGAGAAGGAGTACAATAGCACTCACAGCCTTGCTCGTTATCTCGCGATGGCGCGCAACATCCATCTCGTCGAGGGATAGGGAGGGGTGCTCGCCATCGTGGTGCAGCGTTGTGTTCTGCGAATTGAGCGTGGCTAAGAGCAGCTTGAGCAGTACTATTACGCAGTTGTGAAGGTAGGGGAGTATTTCGCGGTAGAGCATTTCGATACGCATCAGTTTGGCCATGTACACTCTGTTGTCGGCGTGGAGGTAGGGGTGTAGTTGGGAGGCTATGGATGACGCGTCAAATTCATCAACAGGTGCTCCTATATCCTCTCCCGTATTGCTCTCACTCCCTTTTTCCCCCTCCGCCTCAGCGATCTCAGCATAGCGGTTGGTATAGCCCAGACTGCGCACAAAGTCTTTGCGAATTTGATGCGTCTGCCAGAGTGATATGGGGACGTGCATATGCGCAGCATACAGTCGTCCTGCTTCGTCGATGGATGTCGGTACCGATGAGGTATTCTCTGAGAAGGGGAATATGAATGGCTTTGTCTGATCAGTTTGGAACTGTGTCTTTTTAAGTTTAGAGCCTGGCGCCGGTGACGGTGGAGGAGTGGGAAGGGGAGTCCCTGGCATTGCTTCTGGTGCTGCTGTGTTTATATTGGAAGAGTTCCCACCTGAAACTGTGGGACCGACGGCGAACGCACTAGGGAGATCTTGTTTCGGAGCACTCGTTTTCAGCGGAGCTGGTGCAGATGCTAGAGCGAGACCGTTGAGTGGTAGTGGCTGCGCATTGGGCTTGTAGGTGGGGTATTTGAGAGAAGTCTGTGTGAAAAACTGCTGCAGGTCGACTGGATTGCTCTTAACGATCGTGTTGTCGTCTTTGGTGGCAAGGCTGCAGCTAAAGAGGTCGTATGAGAGCTCTTTGATTCGGTCGATATCTTTCCAGCCGCCGAGGACGACGAGGAGTGTCTTCCAGAGCAGCAAAAGGAGCTATTGTGTGTTAGTGTGTAATTAAGTGACTGAAGAATATCACATCTACGCACCTTCTTCACGGGATAGCCCTTGGCCGTCTTATCGCGCAGGCCAGACAGAAGGCTGAATAGATAAGTGGGCAGAGAAGGATCGAGGTGCACTTGAGAGGAATTAGAAAAGGTGTACATGAGCACGCTCACCCACTCAGATCCTCAGCAAACGAGTTGTCGTCGCGCAGTATCTGCACCATGTAGTAAAGCATCTCCATGTAACCGCCAAGTTCGATATTGAGCTGCTCGACAAAATCAGGTTCAGCGAGGTGAGCGTATTCGGAGTGCACGACGGCATGGAACGAGACAGCGGCCTGCAGTGCCTGAGTAACGCTCTGAAGACCACCGCACAGTCTAATCAGGTGCACGTTATCAATAATGCACTCTAGCTGATGCCTGGAGTTACGGGCTTCGCTAAAGGTGCCTTGGAATAAATAAAGCAGCTTGCGCGATGCTCTCAAGCGCTCTGACAGCTTATCGGCGTTGATGGCGCTTAGAAGGTCCTTTATGAGTGATTGGCGGTGGTCAAGCGGCTTGTCACGCCAGCTGCCACACTCCCCAACCTGCCACTCGTGCTTGTTGTCGAGCACACTGCGCACGTCGACATACGAGTAGAATTCGTTTAGCTCATTCGGCAGCGTGTCGTCGTCTGTGTAGTCGAAATCGAGGAACGTGTCGAATGGCTCCAGCTGTGGATTGGACTGCCTGCCTTGCCGCTCGTCGAGATCGTCTTCGATTGAGATCATCGGTGGTGGTGGTATGGAAGATGGAGAAATGGAGAGATACAGAATTCATCAGGCAGGTAATTTAATCACAATCAATTGGACATGGCGCAATGTGTTCACCCGCATCTAAACCATTAAGCAGCGTCATTTGATCATCACTCAACTCGAAATCAAAGACGTCAGCGTTGAGCTTCTGGCGATCTGCGTTGTCTGACCTGTAATACGTCAATAAGCCTCTTGGAATTTAATTCACCCACTTTGGCAGCACAACGAATCCTCTCTGAAGTGACCATCTCACCAACACCTGAGCCCAAGATTTGCCAGTCTGCTCAGCGATCTTCACAAGATGCGCATCGTCAGCCTTCCTGCCGCGCACGAGAGGGCAGTAAGCCTCAACGACTATCCCCTTTTGCTTGCAGTAGGTGACGATATCGTTCATTTGATTCCATGGATGGAGCTCAATCTGGTTGACGCTGATTGGAAGGGATGCATACTCCTCTAGCTCTTTAAGATGCTTGACGCCGTAATTTGATACGCCAATCGCTTTGACGCGTCCCTCCTTGGCCAATCGCTCCAACGCCAACCACACAGCCTTGCGGTCTTGTGCGCCGTTGGGGTAGCGTGGGGAGTGGATGAGAAAGAGATCCACAGCGCCGACGTTGATCTTGTTTACGGACTCGAGGCATTTGGCGTAATTGGCATCAACATCGCCAGCTGAATCCATGATTTTCGACGTGATGAATATGTTTTTGCCTGATTCTCTAATGGCAGAACCGGCTTCAGACTCATTTGCATAGTACTGCGCTGTGTCCACGCCTCTGTAACCGAGTTGGATGGCTGACTGAACACTCCTGTGCGTAACGTCTGCTGGGGACTTGTACACGCCCAATTGGAGTACAGGGATATTGTTCCCGGCTGGGAGAGTGTAGGTGGAAGCTATATCCAATGATGATGACATGGTGGTGATCGTGGTAGCTGTCGTGACTTGCCACAACGATGAGCTGCAGTTGCAACGATTCCAACCACACACACGACCCACATCCTAGCAGCGGCGTAGACCACGAGAATCTCTTTGGCGTCGTCGACCGGCCTAATGTGACGTCCCTCAACACTGACGAGAGCGTGCCACCGCGTGACGTGATAAAGGAGTGGGATCAGCGCGATGACATGGACGTATCACTCCACAGCGATGCAGATGAACAGCTGGTACTGAGGGTGCCCTTCACAGCCTCCGTCAAGCTCAAGTCGGTCCTGGTGAAGGGTGGTCTTGGAGAGAAGGCGCCGCGGACGCTGAAAATCTACGCTAATCAATTTCTTGATTTCGGCGACCTCGATAATGAGCCAGCACCCACGCAGACCATCGAGTTAGTCGAGAGCTCCGAGTGTATCGAGTATCCAGTGAAGTGGGTAGTGATTTCAGTAGAATATCACGACTGACCCAGTAATTACTCCGTAGAATAGCCAAATTTAACTCATCTACCCATCTCACTCTCTTTTTCGCTGATAATTTTGGCGCCGACGTCACTCAAATTTTCTTTGTTGGCTTCAAAGGGAGCTGGACGGAGCTTAAGAGTGAGCCTGTCATAACGACTTATGAGGCATTTGGTAGGTGTATTTTGAGGGCTTTGAATATCACTCACCACCCATTAACCCAGCCAACCCCTCCGACCATAAGAAAATAGCTGGCACTCAAGGTGGCCTTAATAACCTGGGTAGCTAGCCTTGTGAATATGTATTTACATCATTTATTTATCTTTCCCGTCTTTTGCGGGTGTGTGCGGAGGTGAAGTGCATCGGATCCACTGCTACTTACGCTTAAATTCAGTGCTGAATAGAGTGCAAGGTGTCCCTGGGAAATAAAATTTCCGATATAATCGCGGAAAGATTTCACCAGCTGTGGCACTTGTAGTATTACCGGAAATGGAAGGAATTGAGGTTTGAAAAGGCTGCACATACTACAGAGATATGTGCGTATATTACCCGTGTACAATCACAGACTTAGCTTTTGGCACAGGAGTAGAGGCGTGATTCAGTCAAGTGAGGTGGCGGTATCTGGTGATGATAAGCACACTATATCAGCTGATAAGATGGAAACGAGAGATTTATAGAGTGGAGTTCCTGATGTCTTATGTCTCCGAAGTCCCGGACGAAGAAGGCAGAGTTATGGGATTGAAATGAGACTAAGAGCTTGATAGACTACATAAGCATTCCTGGGTCTGCAAATCACCAAATAAAACAGCAGATATCTCCTCGCGTAAACGCGGGTCATGTTATCAGTGATTGTGTCTCTTAGCGAGCGAGTGAATCGCTTGTGAGTAAATCGAGTGCGGGGTTATCTTACAACTATCAACATGTCCACAAACGTTTCAGACAAAAGCAATGATTACAAGGCAGAGGAGCCAGTGTCTTCCACCGTCGTGCGCGATGTCGAGGATAGCGGCGAGAAGGATGTCTTCGCAGTGAATGGATCCTCAGAGAATGTCACCAACTTTAGAACCACTGGTTGGATTAGAGCGAGTGTTGTAATGACCAAGGTCAGTCTATCGTATTAGTCTGTGTTTTTAGCACCCGCTAACATCACACAGACCCAAATCGGATTAGGTGTGCTGTCTATTCCAGCTGCCCTGCAGACGCTTGGTGCGGCTGTTGGCCTTGTTGTCCTCTTTGGCCTCGGTTTGATCACGGCGTGGTCGAATCATACGTCTGGTAAATTTAAACAAGCCCATCCATCGGTGCATTCGACGCCAGACACATCGCACGTATTATTTGGAAAAGGCGTCGTTGGTAACATCGCTTTCACAATTATCTCCATTTGCTACTTTCTCTTCATGACGCTTATTTCGGCCTCCTCGATGCTCTCACTCTCCATCGCCTTCAACACGCTTGGCGAGGGTATGCGTATTTGTACTGTGGGGTACGTCGGCATAGCGGCTGTTGCTGTCTTTATCGTTGCAACAATGCGCAAGCTCGACCACATATCTTGGGCAGGCTGGGTGGCCATGTTCTGCATTGTCGTGTCTGTAATGATAGTTGTTATTGCAACCGCTCAAGCTGGTCCCGCTAAAGGCAACGAGGCTGCTGTATTCGACAAGAAGCTGTCTGCAGGGCCTTCCGCCGGATTTGCAAGCTCTATGAACGCAGTAGTCAATATTCTCTTTGCTTACGCAGGCACTCCTTCTTACCCAGCCATTTACTCGGAAATGCGTGACCCTGAACGTGACTATTATAAGGCTGTTCATTCGCAGCAGGTTTTTAGTGTCGCATTCTACTTTATCACCAGTATCATCCTCTGGTACTACGGCGGACAATACATCACCTCTCCCGCCCTCGGTACGGCTGGTGAGATATTCCAGAAGATCTCTTACGGTATTTCCATCCCCGCTCTTCTCGTTTCTGGACTTCTTTACGCACATTTCGCCAGCAAGCAGGTCTTCGTGAGGATGATGAGAGGTACCAAGCATCTCGTCGAGCCCACTATGATCCACTGGGGAGTGTGGCTCGGCACGGTAGCTTGTGTGGTGGTGTTTTGCTTCGTCGTCGCAAACGCAATTCCCTTCTTTGACTCCCTTCTCGGACTCGTCGGTAGCCTGTTCGCTTCACTTTTCTGCATCGGTCTGCCCGCGATGATGTGGCTCGATATAAATCGCCACAATATCAAAACAAACACCTCGCTCTTCTTCAGATGTAAGTTAGCTTGGGCCATCTTCCTCATCACATTAGGCGCATTCCTCTGTGTATCTGGCGCGTACGGTACAATTGTCGGGATCAAGCAGTCGTTCGATGACGGTACCGTTGGCTCTCCGTTCTCTTGTGCGGATAATTCTGCCGCAACGTAGAAGCCACTCGTATACCATTCTCTCACTCCACTCGCGCACTCTTTGACTTCAAAATGTACAAAAATAGAAAACAGACAAAATGCACAACCTGTGCTGCCAAAACGCAAATAAACGGATACTTTGTAGCATTACGATGATTAATTCTTACACTTTTGAGGAATTGGGGTGCGTGAAAATTTTGGCAGGCAATGTGCAAATGTGCCAACGAATCGTATACGGTGTATACTCTAAAGTCCACGATAATCACACTGCGGCACACACAAAGATTAAAGATGCCTAGATACTGAGGTCATCAGGGCAATATTAATAAAACTTGTCAGCTGCAAAATAATGTTTGAGCGTCAGCGCTAACACCAACATCTACAATGACAATCAATAAACCAATCCTCACACTATCTGTACCGAGGTGAGCACCTTTGTAGCGCTGTAGCGTTGTGGCGCAGAAAGCTACGCTCCACAAATCCAAGGAACAATCAATCTCACAACTATCAATCAGATCGACATCAACAGCGCTCGAGAGGGCGTTTATACAGCGTACCAATTGCGTCTGTTTTCATGAGGTGAGTTAGGAGTAGGAGGTTATCTAGAGACATACTAATTTACGTTTCCAAAGCCATTCGGGGAGGTAGGTGGGATAAACTGAACAAACAAACTCTAAATACTTTCATAGCCATACTACTACGGTCCTGAGCGTTTGTCTACGCGCTACACGGACGCACAGCGAGAGCAATCAGGCCATGCACACACGACGTACCAGAATCGCATCGATGAGATCAAAGGGAAGGCTGCTGAGGACCCTACGCGACTGGTCTTCATCAAGGACATGGCTAGCTGTGAGTTGAATTTGTGGCTACTGTGGCTTTGGTGGCTACTCGTGTCATCTGACATCCTCGTAGACCTCGTCAAGCCAGAGATGATGGCATTTGCAGGCATCAACCCGACTGTCCTATCCGATGAGCAGCTTGGCGAATTCAGATACGCCTTCTTGGTCCGCTCGCCGCGCAAAGCGATTACGTCGTACTACCGTGCTATACTCGACAACGACTGCGGCGATTTTGGCGATTTTGACCCAGACGAGGCGGGTTTTGCGGAGCTGTTGGCGATGGTTGTGAGTGGGAGTGTGTGTGTATATATGTGGGGGGAGTGCTGACAAAGAATGCGCGGGTGCACCACAGAAATACATCAAGCATCTCTACAATGATTGTCAGATCGCGCTGATTGATAGCGACGACTTGGTCAACGCTCCTGAGGACACTCTCAGAGCGTTTTGTACCTCCCTCGGCATACCGTTCGAGGAGAACATGCTCCATTGGAAGGCACAGCGTATTGGAGAGTTCGATAAGTGGAAAGGTTTTCACGAGGACGCGCAGAATAGCACCGGTTTTAAACCCGTTAAGCGTGATTCTATTGAGTTGCCTAAAGAGGTCGAGGACGCTATCCAGCATAACGAACCGATATATAACGAGCTCCTCACTTATGCGCTTAAATGAATTGATTACTAAACATATTAAGGTACTACAAAGGAATCATGTTGTATCATTATATCGTTTTTTGTTTCATCTTTTAAATTTTTACTTGAATTTTGTCTTGCTATTAGTAGAGTGGTAGAGTAGAGAGGCCGTCAGTTGATCCATCCGATTCCGTTGACGGGGAATTGAGTAAGAGTGAGTAAGAGTGAAAGTGATCGCGTTGAGTGAAATTAGTCAGTGAGACACCGCTACACCTCCTACACCACAAAGCAGAGCACAAGGGTAGACGCAATAGCGATACTCCAGCTCACTTGACTCGAAACAGCGCCGCTATCCAAATCATCGAGGTCGTTCACCGTACTGGAAGGGCTGGCCGTTGAAGAGTAAGATTTAGTCGGCGTGAGGAACGTTTGCGACGAGGTTGAGGAGGCTGAGGAGGAAGCGTGCGAGTACGAATCCGTCTGTGAGGACGTGTAGGTAGTCGAAGCGGCTACTGTCTCAGGTTGAGTTGCTTGGGTGGCTTGGGTAGGTGCACTAGCACTGGCAGCACCAGCAGCACTTGCGACACTCGCATACTGCCCCAGATTTCCCTGAGCTTGCGGGACAGAGCTGGCGATAATACCGGCGACTTGCACACCTGGTTTCTGGTTGTGCTCATGACCGTGCTCATGCTCATGCTCATGCTGGTGACCCTCTTTGTCGTGCCCCTCTTTCTCGTGCGCATGATTTCCGCCTCCATTCGCGGCAGCACACACCTTATCGCGCAGCTGCTGTCCCTGGTCGAAGTCGCCCGCGGGGCATCTCTCCAAACAGCGCGAGTAGGCGTCGCCCAGCCCTGGTGTACGGCAGTAGCAGATGGCTTGAGAGGCGTAGTCTGGAGTGCGTGAATTGTGTGAGTTGTGTGTGAGTGATAATTTTCACCAATTACCCACCATTCCCATTGTTGCAGCCAGCTGTAGCGCCAACACTGACGATTGCGGTAAGGAAGCAGTTCTGCAAGCACTGGTCGCCGGATGCGAGCGCCTGTTGCGCCTGTTGATGGCCTTGCCCGTCGTCGTGGCGCCTCAGTGGCGATGCTTGGGCCAAGGCAATCAGTGCGGCGATGGCAGCGAATTTGATAGAGAGCATTGCGTGGTGGACGTTTCGATGTTATAATCTAAGAGACGATGCCCAGCCCGTCTTTTATACTCTTGCTCATGTCAGCTGCAATCCACCCTGTCGCACATTTCCCGTCTGCTGGAAATTTGAAATTGGATTGGGAATTGTGTCATGCCAATCGGTGATGAGATGAGAACGTGGGCTAGCATACCGATTGGCATAATTGAGTAGCTGGAGTAGCGGCAGCACATGGCAAATAGCACCACACTTACTCAACTTGAACACAAAGATAAATGAGAAAATAATAACGCAGCGTTGTAATATAAAAGATACATTAAATAAGCAAATCACGTGAATCACGTATATCTACTCTCTCACAGCAGCCAGGGAGGTATCGCCGTCTATATCGTGAGGTGAGTGAGTATTCGGGTGAGCAGGGGAGCTTGCGACGTTGCCAAAGCTGTTTCCCCCGCCACCGACATTAACATGGCTACTGCTGTGATTGTAAGCCACGTCTCTCGACGTCGATCTGTCCCTCGAGGTAGCGCGCTGGAGGAGATCGCGAGTCCTAGAGCGAGACCTAGATCTGGAGGGGGTGGAAGAGGTGGCAGAGCTAGTAGGGGGTTGATCACCGCCCGCTCTAATATTACCAGCGCCGCCGCGACTAAATGAGGAAATATAAAGTCAGCTTTATACACACCTCACAAAAGAAGCAGACCCACCCGGTTGGTAACATGCCGTCACGTTCAGCTTTCTCGTGCGCCTCGCGCTGGAGCTTGGCTTCGAGCTGCTGCTCAGCTTGCTGGTTGCGCAGGTCGGCAGGGTCTCGGGAGGGAGAGCGGACGTTGCCGACGCCGCCTCGGCCTGCGTGGACAGCCTTGGGTGGAGGCGGATGGGCGGAGCGAGTTGAACGCCCTCTGTCGTCGTCGTCGTTGTCGTATGCGGATCTGGTCCTGGAGCTAGCCCTGAGGTTGCCAGCGCCGCCGCGACCGGTGCTAACGATAGGATCTCTGCCGCGAGAATCTGATCTTTCTGAGAAGGGCATGAGTGTGTGTGTGAGGGAGAGAGTGGGAGTAGAATGAGTGGTTATCTACTATCTTATCATTGGTTGATAAGAAAGAAAAAGATAGGCAGAGAAAGATAAGATAGGTAGAGAAACGGGGCCACAGAGTTTAAAATTAAGAAATAGACTCACCTGGATTACCCTGCTTGCCCTTAGTGAGGAATGATCTGCCGCGCTGTTCGCCGTCGTCGTCGTGGTGGAGATGCGGCGTGATTGCATCTCTGAATTTCCCACCAAGACGAGCAGCGAACGATTCGTGAGTCGCAGTTGAGTCTAGAGAAGGTCTGCGCTGCGTCATAATAGTATCAATTCAAGAGGGTGACTGTATTATTCGTGTGGTCGCTACCGGCAAAGATATAAAATCATTCAAATTAAATATAAAACACGCTTTTCATTCATTTACGCATACACTCAACTCCCACTCCGACCCACCAAGTCAAACACCATGTCAAATTACATATTCTTAATTCCTTTGAATAATTCATTTGAATTGAAGATTATCCATTTAAATGATAAAATTAAAATTGGTAGACAGACAAATGCACGCACAATACCCAACCAAGGCAATGGTTACTTTGATTCCAAAGTTTTATCCCGCCAGCACGCCGAAATATGGTCAGAGGCTTCCGTTGTCTATATACGCGATTTAAAATCTTCAAATGGCACTTTCCTCAACAATGAGCGTCTAAGTCTGGAAGGTGTTGAGTCTTCTGCCGTGCAGCTGAATCCGGGAAATTTACTGGAATTTGGTATTGATATCATCGGCGACGACAACAAAACAATTATTCATCGAAAGGTTTCCTCTAAAATATTAATTGCTTCAAATGAGCATGAGTATCTGGAGTGTCAACAGCAAATATCCCAACAACCTCAATCTTCAGTTAGTATTCATAAATGCTTTGATAAACTCGAACAGGAGATTAAATCTTCGAAAGAGATCTCCTCTAACCTCCAAAACATTTCCACTGACTTCAACTCTATCAATTCCTCCCTTCGAGGGCAACTGCCGACTAATTACCAACCATCTGCCAGTCTCGCTAACAACCCAATCGATGTGTCTTCTATACAGCAGCAAATATCTCATTTCAGCCAGCAACTTCAGTCTCAGCAAAAGAATTACGAGCTCCTTCAGTCTGAGCACAGCACGCTTAGATCTAAATTCGAGAACTTTGATGGAAGGTTGAGAAGTGACAATGTGAGTGAGAAGGAAAAGGATCAGCAGCATCACAACGATGACAGCTTCGACTCCTCCGACGACAACAGCATCGCAACTCAGAGACCCAAGACTCCCGAACCTAGTGCATCGCCTGAACAGAGTGAGCAGAATAATTACAGTGAAATTTCGAACCAAGTAAACCACTCAAACCACTCGAATGACACCGAACTCCCTTCATACACCGAACTTGTCTCACAAAACTCCTCTCTAGCCACGCGGTTGAGCACACTATCTGATGAAATGTCGACAATGCACGACCTCCAACTAAACATGTCGTCGAGGGTGGATAAATACGATTCGCGTTTGTCTGCACTCGAGGAGAGTGCGCGTGGTACACTTAATTGGCGTTCTCGTTGGGAAAATGCATTAAACGCTCAGCGCTCCACCCACACAGAAGAACTCAGTAAAATACTCTCTGAATACGACAGAAAACAGACACATGTCCTCTCCAAATACCAACTTAAAGAGAAGAAGAGTGCTAGTGATAGTGGTGTGAGTAATTTGTTTCTTTTGACTCATTCAGCTAACCTCTGTTACAGGGCAAAACATACAAATTCGTTGGCTTGCTTAGCATCTTTATGCTCGGGTTAGCTGCATACACTGTGTTCAGCAGACAGCAGTAGGCGGAACACAAACCTATATAAACACACAAACACACAAAAACACACGCGCACAAGTTTATATACCATAAACCGAAAAATGAAATGTATATTACTTTTGGGTATAAACAGTCTTCTAAATAGATAGCGTGATGGTGTGATAACGTGGAATAATATAGAAAATATGCAGTGTGCTAACTTCTCCTTCAAATACTCTTCTTGCCTTGCTTCTCCTCCTTTTCTTTCGCGTCGTTTTCGAGCACTTGGTTGAGTGGGTCGAGTTCAGGACGTGGTTCACGATGGCTCTTGAATGCCCTATCTGAGAAAGTAAAGTATTGACCGTAGTTGACAGTAAAGTAGAGATGATGAAGAGTGTGGTGAGAAGGTCCATTAATAATCTTCTCCATAAACCCGCCGCAACGCATATCGCCATCGTGAATGAGTATGCTCCATACATTCACAAACCCAAACAAACCGAGATATAGGAGCTTATGTAGAGGGAAGAGGAATATGAAAAGATGGTACGGCACCGACTGCAAGTAACCATCAAGTGGATGAAACGCGTGGCTTGCGAATGGTGTAGGAATCAGCCACTTGTGATGAGGCTTGTGAAGCCACTTGTAAAACATCGGATGATGCTCTATACGGTGCACCCAATAGATGCAGAAATCGGTAAAAAGCAAAAACCAAAGAATAGAGAAACCGAAATAAAACCACGAGTGGTCATTGACGTTTTCGTATAGCTTCGACCAACCGCGCACATCGGCAATGAACCACGGCACCGTCATTAGTGTGAGCGGACCGAAAGCTGCCATACTACTGTCTATCTCCATCCGGAGTTGGTTTGGTAGGAAGCGAGGGTGGCGCATTACGCGCTTATCGTATATAAAGTGATAGGACAGACCTGCTGCGAGGAAATAGAGGAAATGTATACCGACGTATGTGAGCAAGGTAAGTGAGAGCGTTTGGCGAATGATTGAGTCGCGTCCGAATTGAGATAGCTGGTCATAGTGTAGTGCTCCATCTACCGCCGCTGATACTGTCCCATTTACACCGCTGATGCAATTGGGTGCATCGAGTGGCGTGTATGCACAAGTCGGTAGCGGCGTCTTTGGGAATACCTTGGCGTATGTGTAGTCGAGGAAGAAGTGGTCGCAGAGCTCTAATGCTACGTCCATTACTTATTTATTATTCCGTCCTGGGTGTTTATGTTTAACGATTTTAAAGGTATTTTCTAACCGAGAAGATCAGATCAGCCCACAATTTGGCACAACTTTAAAAATTTATTCAATTCGGAGCTGTGGATTGGAGTGCTTTGAGTACTGTATTAATGCGCAAATGCTGTTTTAATATCGTCTCCTGCTCTCGCTTGTCCCAAGTCTGTAACCGAATTTGTAAATTGATTCCGATATGGAAGGTGGCGTGTTCTCTGTTTTCTGTGTTCTGACTCTGTGCTCTGTGCTCTGCCTCTTCTAATCTCCCAGCTCGTGGAATCGCATATGTGACTCTACCGTGAATGACATCAGCTGAGCATGGCATAAAGGGCAAATTATCGCGTCTTCTTCCTGCTCGCTTCCTTCAACTGACTCATCATCACTGCTGCTCAAGTGCACTACTTCCGTCTTCTTCTTGCTCCTAATAATCTTGTCGATCGGCGCAGGTGGCGGACCATTAACGAAATCGGTGAAAGCGACATTAATCACGCGCAGTTTATTAGCGCCATGTGCCACACCTGCGTCGTACAGCTTCTTCGTCAAGCTATACAAACACTCTCTGCACAACCTCCTCGCACGCTCTTCTATGGTATACCTGTCGATATCAAACAGCGAGACACCGACAGCGCTGCTGAGCGACTCAGGTACATGAGCAGCGACTCGTGTATTGGGTATAGTGGATGTTCTGCGTGTGCTGACCCTCACGCGGGACGGATGCAGTTCGAACACACTCCTAGATCTACCATTGCTACCGCTACCACCATCGACAGTGGCGTACTCTTCGTCCAAGCGGCGCACCAGTCTCTCTGTCACGCTCTCCAGCATCGCCCATGCGTCTGCAGCACTATCGATCTTTCCCGAGGAATCCTCGATGCTGATCTGCTGTGGGCGTATATCGGACTGTTTCACAACGGTTTCGTCTATACCGCGCAAGTTGTGGTATAGACGCGCGCCTAATCTGCTGCCAAACTCCTCTTCTAAGTCTAGCAGCGAGAGACGCGTGCGGGCGCTGTGCACTGTCAGATCATCCTCATTCTCGCACCCCAAAAGACTCGCGAGCCTGTCGACGACCACACGACCGAAACCTGCACGCAGTCAGCTTGGTGCGGGTGTGGTCTGAGCGTACCACCCACCGTGTAGTTTTCGCAGCGGGAAGGGATCGAGGAATGCCTGCAACTCCGCGTCGCTCCTCACATTCAACAGCGTCTGATTATCTGGCTTATGGAGGTTGCCGACGAGCTTGCTGAGCATGACGGAGTTGCTGATACCCGCTGAGCAGGTGAGCTGGAAGTGTGTATAGATCTGCCTGCGTATGTCCGCTGTTATGCTCACGTATATCTCCTCGCTGTCTGTTAAGCGATTCTCAGCGCAGACAAGGTGAGTTTGTGTATGAGATTGCGATTGCGCTTGCTTATCGCATTGCTCGCGCGGCTGCGCAGCGACGCGCGTGATGTCTATGAAGTATTCATCCAGACCGAGCTTCTGGATGGGCGTATCTGTGCCGAGATAGTCCGATAAGAAGGCGAATACGTTTCTAGAGATGGCGCGGTAGAGCGTAAGGTCTTCGCCGTTGACCGTCTGTATTTCGGGACATATCTTGCGTGCCTCACTCAGGCTGCCGAGTTTCTTCACCTGGGTGGAGTGAGTGGTGAGGGGATCACTGCAAAGCTCTCAGCACACTCACGCCCCTCGCTCTGGCTTCGTAGCTAACTGAGATTACGGCGTAAGTAACTCACTCGGTGATAGCCAGTGCGCTCACCAGTACACAAGATGTGCTTCTGCTGCACGGCGAACGGAATGCCACGCAGGCTGGGATCTATTGATCTATGACAGCTCACGTAGAAGGCGTCAAAGTCGATGGAGATGATGGTCATATAAGTACAGGATACAGGATACAGGATACACGAGATAATCACATTTCCGTCTCTTGCTTGTCAATTATCTTGGACACGGCCATGAATCTGTACAGTGTGAGCGACGCGTGGTTACAACACACCACTCACTGAGAAGCATGCGAAATGGACAGCTTCTGCATCTGCTGGAGCTGTTCGGCGGCAATCTTGAACTGCTGATTCGACTGGCTGATATTCTCCTGGAGCTTCCCGAGCTGGTGGCTTAGTTGCTGGTAGTGGCGCGTCTTAACGTCCATGATCGTTTGAATGTGAGGATGTTTGATGTGCGGGGTGCTCCTGCACGCCATGCACAACACACGCTCGGACCTACATGACGCGGCATCTCGCGTCATCTCCCGCCATCTAGCAACCCCGCTTCATATCTCTCCGTGAAAGCTAATCTGGCGGAAATCACCTTAAGCAAGTGCGGGGAGTGTGGGTGAAGCCTTCCGAGTAGGAATATCTGGTGCATCTATAGCTATTTGTACTTTAATATTTGCAATTTATGATTTCAATCCATCTCTCTTCCTCTCTTCCAATGATATGGCCAGCCCGTTGACGCTCCAGGATATCCTCGACTTGAAGGGGGAAGATCCGCTGCTATTTCTGTTGAACGAGCGCAACACTCTCGCGTCGCAGAACAACCAGCTGTGGAATCTGATAGACAGGCAGAAGTCGACGATAAATAAGCTCAATGTTGAGTTGGATACGCTGCCACACGAGCAGCAGCAGCACTCTCAACCCACACACCACCTTGCACTGTCGAAAAAATCACACTCGCACGACGACGCGATCAATCTTCCCATCAAGCCTGCAATGCTCTCTGCTATGGAGAAAGCTCAGCTTTCGCAGCAGCACAAGTCCAAGTCTAGCCCATACATGCAACACGCCAGCCACTCATTTAACACGCTCCCTCAAGCACGCAGTCACTACCAGCATCTTTCTCCAAAACAGCCCGCCATCACGCCTTCTGTCAAGACTGCTGCTCCCCCAGTACCTGTCTTCAAGCTCACTCCAACTCTCGTTCCTGCTCTCCAACTTGCCGTGCTGTCTTCATCAGTGAAACCTAACAAAGACAACAAGAGCGTGTATAGCTTTACTATTACCGTCAAGTATGAGCCATCGAATGCTGAGTGGAAAGTCGACAAATCATACGATTCGATACACGCACTTGATATCAAAGTTAGGGAGATTATCAAAAAACCTTACTTCAAGCATACTAAGGGTAGACTGGTGTCCTTGCCTGATAAAAGCATTTTCAAGGACAGATCCCCTAGTAAAGTTTTGCAGCAGAAAACACAGTTAGAAAACTATTTTCACTCGATAATATCAATTCCACATACCTACACTATCATTCCCAAGAATAGCGCTACTCCACATATGGAACTAGCTGCCTTCCTCTCTTCAGACTTTGTCAGACCAAACCAAGCATCCCAAATCAACGGCACCAAAGATGGCTACCTCACCAAGAAGGGCAAGAACTTGGGTGGCTGGAAGACGAGGTATTTTACCATAGGGAGGGAGGGTATACTCGATTACTACGAGCAACGAGGCGGTAGCCAAATTGGTAGTATAAGAATACACGACGCATCTATCGGCAGGCAGCATCCATCTCGGGCATCGTCTGATTCCAGCTCAGCAAATGAACGAGACAGCGCATTCAAGCATGCTTTTCTTATTCTAGAAAGACACCAGGCCACGCAGAATGAAAAAGATAGACATATACTATGTGCTGAGAATGACTTGGAGAGGGATAACTGGATCAACACTCTACTATGGCATCAAAGGACACATAGCAATGTTGGTGGTGCCTCTTCGCCCGTTTTGCATGAGAGAACAAATATAGCAGAAGATAGCACTCCGAATTCTGCCAACAACGGGTTGAAACGTCGGGCGACGTCGTTGAAAACGCGTTCATTAGAAACACACAAATTGAAAGATGTGGAGCGTCCACGCACTTCCGACAGCAAACCCATATCGAAAGAGGAAATCCAGCCGTCGAACTCAGTCAGTCTCACCTCGCTGCCGCCTGAAGTCTCCTCCAAATTCTCCATACCGAAGGTACTCGCTGACGCCCGAAATACTGGGAAAGTCGACGCTCTTGGCATATCTCAACATGGCGAAAGTGCAAATTTACTCCCACAACGCCAAGGTAGCATACATTCCTTGAGTGGGCAGTATAAGGCTGTCGGCGCTAAGCTCAATGAATCGTGCGAAAGCATAGACAAGTCTGAGAAGCAGCATGAGCGTGATCATAAAGGGAAAAGTCGTGGGTTCTGGGGTGCCTTTAGTGGGAGTAGTAGTGGGAGTTCCAAAGGTGAGTTTCAAGGTTTGATAAGACTTTAGCTAACTCGCATATCAGACAAATCAGCACCAAAGCTGCCTGTTTTCGGTGTACCAGTTGATGATTCACTCCAACAAGCCCAGATCGCTGGCTTGCCTGCTGTGGTGTTTAGGTGCATTCGATACCTTCAACACGTTAAAGCTGAAGAGGAGGAGGGCATATATAGGCTGTCAGGTTCGAGTACCCAGGTGAAGGGGCTCAAAGAGCGCTACAATAGTGAAGGAGATATAGACTTGATTGAAAGTGACGACGTTTTCGATCCACATGCTATCACGGGTTTACTCAAGTTGTACTTTAGAGAGTTGCCAGTTAGTCTTCTGACGAGAGAACTACACTTTCAATTTTTACAAGTGGCAGACATACCAGACCCAAAAAAGAGGGTGAGAGAGCTAGGCAGATTGGTGTCGCTTCTCCCGATTGCCAATTACGCACTCCTTAGGGCATTGGTTTCGCATCTTACTGATGTTGTGTCGAGTGAGGAGATCAACAGAATGTCACTGAGAAACGTTAGTATCGTATTCAGTCCGACTTTGGGTATACCAGCTCCACTGTTTGGTTTGTTATTGACTGAGTTTAAGTACGTCTTCAACGTTGGAGATGGCGGCAAACCAGTGCCTTTGGAGGATCAGTCTACCGAAGAAGAGGATAATGATAATGATAATGACGACGACAATGACCATGTCGATAACGTGGATTCGATAGCAGAATCACTTGCAGAATCATTCGTTTCAACTGCTAAACCATCATTCGAAACTACACCGACAGAAATCATGGAAGATGAGACGGTGGATGTGGTCATGCCAGCACCTAAGGTCAACACTGAAAGAAAGAGGCCACCAGCACCGCTGAAAATACCACCACTGAATGCACCGATTAGTGCACCACTCAATCGAACATTTTCGCCGCCAATAACGACACCAACGACACCGGCTCGACCATCGAGACATAGAAGAAAGAACAGAAACTCAGCGCTGTATGAGGATGTAGATATTGATTCAATATTAGGGCTACGGCCGAAGAATATCCGTGAGGCTTTAGCAAGCGCAGGAGGATTTTGATAAAAACTGACAAGAGAAAACAGATGCACATGAAATGAATAATGACAGGAACAGCAGCAGCAAACAAGATAACAAAATGACGTTTGAGGACAGCGATGTCGATCCCGCAATGGTCCACCTGGATAAATAGGCGATAGGCGATAAGGATGAAAAGGAAACATGTATTTAACATAGAGGCTTTAAATTAACAAGATCTGTAATTAAGCATTGATACCCGTCTAATAACGACAATCACCTTGTTTACTCACAACGATGAAGCCGTCTGAGAGGCTGCCGACGTCGACGCCGACGAAGCCCGGCATTTTTCAGAAATGGGATGAATTCAGTATTGAGAAAATGTTTGCGTCAAAGAAGCGCAAGCCATTGCCACGGTCCGTGTATCTCAACAGCCCGCTGCCGCACGAGTCCACGCTGGGGAAAAAGACGTGGACAGAGAAGCTGCTACATCCGCGATCAACGCATCACGTCGGCCCTGGTTGGGTCTACACGACGAATCAAATAATATCCTCGAAATACACAATTCTCACTTTCGTGCCTCGAAACATCTTGGAGCAATTTAGGCGTGTGGCCAACCTGTTCTTCCTCGGAATCGCGATTCTCCAGTTCTTTCCCAAGTTCTCTACAATAAACGCCGGTGTCGTTATCCTCCCGCTTATCATCATCGTCTTCATTACTGCGTGTAAGGATGGCTATGAAGATATCAAGAGGCACCAATCAGATAGAAAGGTGAACCACTCAAAGGTTAAGGTTCTCAAAGGCAAGTACGGCGAGAGCCGCCATAGCGATTACCACTATCACAACTTCAATCACATAGAAGCAAAATCAAAGACGTTTACAGGTGGTCTTCCAAAGGGCGCTATGCTTGGTAAACTTAGGCTTAAGAAGAAATCTAAGAACAGAGACCATGTTCCTCCCCCAAACCTCCCTGATGCTGTTACCTCTCTCGACGACGAACTTAAGTTCGAGAGCGATCAGATGGGAAGGCACAGCGTAGGCAACCCTCCCGAGTTAAATGACACCGGCGAATTCAATGGTAGGCAGGTCGGTCTCGTTGATGACCTTGAAAACCCTCGCACGTACACTCCGCCACCGCCTCCGGCGCAGTTGCCCGCAGGCCCCATCCCTGAAAATGACGCAGAGGAGGTGGAGGAGGGTGAAGAAGACGATGGTCAAGATGATGCGGGAAATAGTTGGAGGACTATGCTATGGGAAGATGTTAAAGTTGGTGATTTTGTCAAGATTCACAACAACGAGCCATTTCCAGCAGGTGAGCGCAGGGTGCAAGAATCTATTTCCACTTTACTAATAAGAGTTCTAGACATTGTCGTATGCTCGACCTCGGAAGAAGAAGATGTCTGTTTCGTTGAGACCAAGAACTTGGATGGTGAAACCAACCTCAAATCTAGACACGCTATTCCTCAACTATCTCACCTCACCAGCCCAGCTGCGATTGCTAGAGAGTGCCACGGATACAGAATCGACAGTGAGCCAGCGGATGTGAACATGTTCAGGCTTAATGCAGCCGTCGTCAAGGAGGACCAACAACCAGTCAAATGCCCCGTCGATATGTCAACTATGCTGCTTAGAGGTACTGTTCTACGCAACACCAAATGGGTCATCGGTGTTGTTCTCTTTACCGGCTCAGACACCAAAATCATAGCAAACTCTGGTATTACTCCGTCAAAGCGTGCCAAGACTGAACGTCTCATGGATCCGCAGGTAGGATTTAACCTGGCGTTGCTTGCGATTATTAGCGCAATTTGCGCCATCGTCGCCTACACCATCGAAGTAGACGATCAGCGGAATGGAGCGTACTGGACGTACAACGATGACAGACCAGATGATAACCCATCTACCAATGGTGTTTTCACCTTCTTTAACGGTCTCATTACTTTCCAGAACATTGTGCCAATCTCGCTTTACATTTCGATGGAGTTTGTGCGGACGTGTCAGGCAGGCTGGATATATCTCGATAAAGAAATGAGATATAAAAAGAACGGTTATAGGACTGTAGCAAGATCGTGGAATCTGTCTGATGAGCTTGGTCAAATTCAGTACATTTTTTCTGACAAAACTGGTACTTTAACTCAAAATGCCATGATCTTTAGACAGTGCTCGATCGCCGGAAAAGTTTACAAGGCAGATGAAAATACAGTCGTTGAAAGCAAATTGTCTATAGGACACTCCCCAGACATTCCAGCATCGATAGTCGACAGCGTCACGCCATTGAATCAGACTAAGGCGGGATCAGAATTCAACTCCTCAGATGGTCACGAGCCACACGTAAATAAACACACCACCACTAGGGGGGAGAATCCCCAAGAAACTGAAGAAGTACCCAAGTTTTTCTCTTCTGTGCTTCAAGAGGATATCAGAGGTGGTGTGAATGAAGAAGCTGAAAAGAAAAGCCAAGATACAGACGCATTCCTCACTTGTTTATCTCTCTGCCATACAGCATTAGCTGCTGAAAAGGAAGACGGTACACTTGAATACAAAGCACAATCTCCTGATGAGTCTGCTTTGGTTCAGGGTGCTGCTGATATCGGCTACGTATTCAAGGGTAGAGACAGAAACATCCTCAAGCTGCAGACTCCATTCACGGGAGACGGCATGGATCACTATGAGCTTCTCAACGTCCTTGAATTCTCATCAGCGAGGAAGAGAATGAGTGTGGTAATCAGAAAGCTGTCTCCTAAAAGAGCTCAAATGAAGATAGACATGGCCAACAATGTTGCCAGGGGTGAACGCAACCCGAAGATCGCCCTAGATGACGACGATGAGGAGGAAAGTGAAATCATTCTTCTCACTAAAGGTGCCGATAACATAATTTTCGAGAGGTGTGAGGCGAACGTTCACAATCAGGGTATGAAAGGTAGTTGTAGTGCTTTCTATTGACACGTTCTAATACTACTCTTAGATGCCACTGACAAGGACCTCAGTCTGTTCGCCAGTGAAGGTCTTCGTACACTCTGTCTCGGCTACCGCGTTGTTCCTACAGAAGTCTATGAAGAGTTCAGTAAGGAATACAACGACGCAACAGTGTCATTGGAGGACCGTGAGAACCTCATCGAAGCTGTAGCCAGCAAGTTTGAGACAAACTTGACTTTGCTCGGTGCGACAGCGATCGAAGACAAGCTGCAAGATGGTGTTCCAGAAACTATCCGTGATTTAAAGAGAGCAGGTATTAAGGTCTGGGTAGCAACTGGTGACAAGCTGGAAACAGCGATAGCTATTGGCTATTCCACACAGTTGCTGACAGATGACAACAATCTAATAATAGTTAGAGGTGGAGAGTACGGCGACCGGAACTCTGCTTATTCTCAGATGCGCAGAGCAATGGAGCAGTTCTTCCCCGGCGAGAATATCCCATCACGTTTGAGGAACCAGCCGCCAGATAATCACTATGATGGCGGATCGAAGCGATCATCGACTCAATCACATGCAATGTCAGACATGGAGTCGCTAGTTGGCGCAGACAACGGCCAGCGAGACGGTGGATATGCACTGGTCATCGATGGCACGGCACTGACGCACGCCCTCTCTGAACCATGGAGCAAAGATTTGTTGCTCAATCTAGCGCTCAAATGCCAGTCAGTCGTATGCTGCAGAGTTTCACCGCTACAGAAAGCCCTCGTAGTTCGTCTCATCAAAGATAACCTCGATACTATGACACTTGCGATCGGCGACGGCGCTAACGATGTCTCAATGATCCAGGCGGCGCACGTAGGTATAGGTATAGCGGGCGAGGAGGGTCTTCAAGCAGTCAACTCGTCCGATTATGCTATCGCTCAATTCCGCTACCTGAAAAAACTTCTTCTCGTTCATGGTCATTGGTATTACTACCGAAACAGCAACGCCATCCTTAGCTTCTGGATTAAGAATATTAACGGCGCCGCGGTTCTCTTCTGGTATCAGTTCTATTGTGCCTTTTCGACGTCGTACGTTTACGCGTACATCTATCTTTTATTGTGGAACGTGCTGTGGACAATATGCCCTCCTATCGGTCTCGGACTATTTGATTCTGTGCTGAGCGACAGAGTTCTCATGGCTATTCCTGAGTTGTACAAGTATGGTAGAACAGCACAGTATTTCAATCATCGGCTTTTCTTCCTTTACGTATTTGAGGCCATCGTCCAATCAACAATAGTGTTTTTCTTCACATATTACGCTTATCAATCACCAACTGCTCGCAGCGATGGGTTTGACGTGTACATTTACGAAATGTCGACAACCATGATTGTTTCGATCGTCACAGGAACAAATCTTTTAATCAGTTTGAACGCTCGGTCGTGGAATTGGTGGATTGCATTCGGCATGTTTTTTGGTATTGTTTTGGTTTGGGCTTTTACTGTGAGTGGGCTTGAGACTCTACACTCAATCTAACGTCTTATAGGGAGTCTATAGCGCTTTGTCACCTCAGCTGGTATGGACGAACGTATGGGGTAACGATTATTTCGTCTTCCACTCCCCCTTGTTCTGGTTCTGCGTGATATTCACAGTCATTTTCTCGTTGATACCGAGATATCTTTTCAAAGCGTACAAGTTTCAATTTCACCCAGATGATATTCACGTAGGTAGCTATTCCATTGTTGGCGAAATCTCACAACTCCCATAGATTATGCAATACGTACAAAAGAAGGACGATAATCATGACTTTGAGAACGACCCATTGATGCAGTCTCATTTGCAGAATGCGTACTACGAAGATTCGGAGTACCCACCAAACAGACCCTCTTCAGCCAGATCGGGGCAGAGGATAGACATGAGGACGGGAGAGAGATCAAGCGGACGGAATGCGACATTCAACTTTGATCAAGAAGAGAATGGATATGCATTGCAAAGATTGCAATCCCACCTCAGCGAGACGTCCTCTCAATTCCACCGCAGACCTTCGACGCACGACGCCCAAGCTCGGAAACGTAAGTTGAAGCGCAAGAGCAAAAACTGGACATCCCGAACGGTCGACTCATTCAAAACTGCGATGCCAACAATGCGTAAAACCAAAAATTCTTAATCACCTTGCATACTGAAACGTGAAATCAACATGGACAATTGTTTAACTTTTCTACACACACACACACACTTACCCCGCCTATTCACGACTAATTAACGCATGAGATAATTATAATGCTGTTAACTTGTATAATAAACCATAAGTCTTTAGATAACAAGCCAGTTAAATTTTATTCAGAATTACTTTACAATTTCCTACTCGGCGGTGGTGCAGTGTTCTTCTCCATTAGCGTGGGTATGACAGAGCAACGGAGCGTCATCGGTAGGCGATGGCTCGGGTTCTGGTGTCGGTGTTGGTGTAGACTTAGACTGATCAGCTGAATCTGCGTACTCGTCGCACCCAACACCCGGGACAGCGAAGGTGTGAGCCCACGCATCTAAAGCGAAATACTGCAGCGTCTTCATATTCCAAGCAGCTTCACTTGCATTATTCTTTGCTAAATCGATCAGTGTCTCATATTCATCTGCTGCATGGCCAACAGATCCACCAGCAACTATCGGCAAGTGTGAAAAGCGATGTATAAGGTCAATGCCCCAGAATTTACCGGCTTGATCATCTGGAACGAGGTGACCTAAAGCACAAACTTGCTCTATTGGTTTGCGGGTCTCGTAGCTTAGATCGCAAATGACAGTTTCAAGAGTGCCATTGGTACCTCTGTGATGTCCTGTTGGTTTTTTTTAGTCTAGAACAGCCCTTTTTTTATAACAGACCTGCATAGTAGCCGTCGTACAGGGCGCAAAGTCCATCGGGATCGTCGCATCGAAGCGAAGCACCAGCTTTATCTCCATCGGAAAGACTGGCAAATATCCCAGCTGCAACGGGTTGATTCTCTGGATTTGAGGAGGAGCCGAAGTATTTGTCAATCAACTCATCTTCTGTTCCTGCTCTCTGGAGGTATGATTGAGCATTGTGTGAAAATCTTTCAAAATCATCGAGTGCTTTCTCGAGCTGAATGGTCTGAGTTGCGTTGCAGGATTCATGAATAGACATTCGAGCAATGTAGTCAGGATTGACCCATTCAGCGTGGTCGAATGGTGCTGCGCGTGTGAAAGCCGACGAAATTACCAGTGTAGCCAGTGTGGTAAAAGTTTTCATCGCTTTTTTCTCTCCGTTCAATGTGGAAGATCAACTAGATTTTTTTCTGCTTTATACAAATCAAAGCCTGCCAAGCTGCGTACTGCCACAGTGAGCTTGGTCTCGTGCTCGATTTTCCTATGGAAGCCGCCCTCACATGGTGCCTGACGAGCCATACCAAGAAATGACCTTCGCAGTTATCTCATACAGAGAGCAAAAAAAGAGCAGAAACTCACTTCTATACCTTCCAATTGCATTTTCAGAATATGCGCTATATATTCTCCCTATTGGCTGCAGCGGGAGCTGCTTCAGCAGCGATAGTAAATGGGAATGAGACTTCTGGTCCGAGAGGGCAAGGTAACTGCTCACTCTCAAACGGCACTTTTACCTGCTCGAGTGGGGCTGAGTGCACTTTCGACACGAGTATTTCTGCATTTCGCTGCGAAGGTGACTCAGGCTCGCCCACTGGTGGGATAACAGACGGGAGCGACAGCGACACAGGAGGCAAAGAGATGCAAGGCCCCCCTGGACGTTCGTGTCATCAGCATGAGATGCATTGGCACTGCGACGACGGCTCTTTCTGCGAATTTGACAACGGCGTGTGGCTTTGCGAGACGAATAGCTCTGAAGGAGGCACTTGTGTAGTACATGGTGGACATACGCACGGTGACTGCTCAGATCAGTGTGGATCAATCGATATAGGAGAGTACGATCAACCGCTGCACATCGGTGCAATATTTATCCTGCTAGTCAGCAGTGCATTGGGAGTGGGCCTTCCAATAGCTTTTTCTGGCTTCAAAATGCGTTCATTTTTCAGCTGGGGTTTGTTCGTGGTGAAACATTTCGGTACCGGGGTTATACTCTGCACTGCTCGTAAGTGGCCATTACTGAAATAGCATACACTAATCACAAAACAGTCATTCATCTTCTATTCCACGCGTTTGTGATGTTTAACAACGACTGTATAGGCGAGTTGGCGTATGGGCCTGCAGCAGCAGCTATCGCGCTGGCCGCTGTGTATGTCGTCTTCTTATTCGACTATATTGGAATGAGATTCTTTGCAAGAAAAACAAGACAACTAGCGGAAGCGACTAGGACTGAAAACAGGTCAAATGATGGCAAAGATGACATATCTGAGTAGGTTCAGCCTGATGCATTGCCAAAACTGACATTACTAGTGTTGACTCAGCTCAAATATCGCCAGAAATTGCAATGAGTCAGCTTAAATGGGAAGTCTCGCTGCTTGAAATAGGAATTGTGTTCCACAGTGTGATGATTGGCGTTTCTCTTGGGGCAACAGGAGGAGACCAGTTCGTACCATTTCTGATTGCAATTGTGTTTCACCAAGTGGGTTGTTTACTTAGCTTGAGAAACATTTTTAACAAGATGAAGTTGTTTGAGGGTTTAGCTCTAGGTTCGCGGGTGTGTTTTTTGATTTTCAAAACCTGGCACAAAATGAAGGTGTTTATAATGGCGGTATGCTTCAGTTTGATCACTCCAATTGGTATAGCTATTGGCATTGGAGTGCATGAAAGCTACTCTCCAAACTCTAAATCAGCTCTCCTCGCACTTGGCATTCTCAATGGACTATCTGCTGGTGTGCTGATCTATGCAGCACTTGTGGAGCTAATTGCAAATGACTGGTTCAAGAGTCCTGAGATGAGAAGCAGTGGTGTCTTTAAGACATGTCTGGGTATTACAATGTTGCTACTTGGGTCACTCTTGATGGCGGTGCTGTGAGTGTCTCAAGATGCGTCGTTCCATACTAATAACGTCGACAGCGGTAAATGGGCTTGATTTGTAACTATATTTTCAATTTAGAGGTTCCTTGATTTACTACTTTGCCTGGATTGACGGGCAGTAGTTTGCCGCATATTGAGATACAGACGAATTATGCATCTCAAATTCAATATCACTTTAGTGAAATTAAACTAAAAATGACTTGCAAGGTTGCAAAGATAGTCGTTCCTGAGACGATCGCCCTGTCATTGCACCGTTTCGGTCATCAGTAACCTATTTTTCAAGCATTTCGGATGATTCTCAATAGCTCACTTGCATAAATAGAAAAATGGGCATGCAGTTTTTCCTTACATTGCTATCCACGGCAGCCATTATATCGGCATCAGCAGCGGTAGCAATTCGCGGAGAATTAGGAAGTGGACCGATCGGGCAAGGTGAATGTTTCGTATCGGGGAGTATTTATAGTTGCTCAACAGGCTTGAGTTGCGTGTTTGATGACACAATCTCTTCATTTCAATGTAATCATATACCCAACATACTTGAATCCTCAAAAAATTCTGATCAGTGCAATAGCGTCAGTACGGAAGAATACAACATGCCACTACATATTGCCGCTGTTTTTATCTTGCTCGTCGCAAGTGCGCTTGGTATTAATCTTCCAATTGCTCTTCACGCATTCAAAGAACAAAAAGCTTTTAAATGGGCGCTATTCATAGTGCAGCACTTTGGTACTGGTGTTATACTGTGTACAGCAATTGTGCATTTAATTTTCAGCGCGATTCACAAATTCGACGATGATTGTTTGGATGGACTGGCGTATAAACAAACACCGGCAGCAATAGTTTTAGCTGGCGTTTACATAGTATTTCTGTTTGATTACCTGGGTGGTCGCTTTAATTCTCGAAAACAAGCGCACGATGAAGCACTTAGAAAAGAATCACAAAATGACGCCAACTGCAACTGTGACATGATATCTGTCAGTGACTCAGTTAAAAAGATCCAGTATGACGCCGAGTCTACCCGCACAAACTCAGAAGCTGCAATGAAACAACTCAAATGGGAAGTCTTGCTGTTAGAGGGCGGCATTCTGTTTCATTCAATAATTATAGGAGTGGCGCTGTCAGTTTCAACGGGGGAGAGCTTTAAACCTTACCTGATCGCCTTGGTATTTCATCAGATGTTTGAGGGTATGGGATTAGGGTCGCGTATATCCCAATTGAGTTTCGAGAGATGGCACAAGCTGAAGATTTTCATTATGAGTTTTGCCTTCAGTATTGACACGTCACTGGGAATAATAATAGGGATTGGCATTAAAGAGACATACTCTCCTAGGTCAAAGTCAGCACTGATAGCTATTGGAACGATTACAGCGTTGTCAGCAGGGATACTGTTGTACGGATCGCTAGTGGAATTGGTGGCGAATGATTGGTTCAGAAGTCCTGAAATGCAATACGCAGGGAGGTTTAAAACATTTATCGGTATTTCGATGTTGCTGCTTGGGTCGCTATTGATGGCAGTACTAGCATATTGGGCGTGAGGATAGAGGAGGAAATGTGTAACAACAGAAGATGTAAAGGACGAAATGTATAATTTGGTTTAAATTTTGTGTCATCGTTTCTCAGAGTGTGCAATCAAACGACTTGGAAGATGCATCCGACGAGGACCACAGCGAGTGGGTGAATAATTAAGGAGAGAAGCAGCCTAGTAATAATCAACCTCCAGTGAAAGTGGATAAGCTCAAGGTTAGAGCGAGGAAGAGTGAGTGCGGGTGGAGTGAGTTCCAGTGGATATCCTAACCGAATAGATATAAATCCACCACCATGCGGGACAGAGCTGAGTGGGCTGCTCAATTGCTTTGCTAGTAGCGGTGATTTCCTTGGAGTTGGGCAATGTGCACAGTACAGTACATCGCTTGCGAATTGCATGTCGACCAAGGTGTGTATATTCTAATGAGCCGTTGAACATACTGATGCTGCTGCTTATAGGGCCGCTCTGCACCTAAAAAGGCGAATAGCATAAATTATCACCTATCCAAGGCCAAGACCAAGTAAAGTTGTACAGTATAAAGCATAAATCTATTCTATGTTTCTATGTTCCTATCAATATGTATTTCTTTTTATTCTTTGATTCCTGTTTAGGTCTACTGGATAGCTTTCATTGCACACTCCCACCACCAATGCTCAACCAGCTTATATCCGCATTCAGATCCTCGCTTACATTCAACAAGTCGTCCCAGCAGCTGAGATTCAGAGGCCAGCTTGCGCCTAGGCGGACAAAAGTGCGTTGTACTCCAACAGAAGCCATAGTCTAACGCACGTCTCGAATAGTACCGCAAAAGCCACAAGGGTAGAGTGGGATGTCCAACTGGTGGCAGCACTGCTGGTACTACCCTTGCATTCGGTGAATTTGGCCTGAGGGTCAAGCAAGGCACCAGGCTCTCAGCCAAGACGCTCCAGAGCTGCGAGGAGTCTATCAAGCGCAAGATAAAGCCACTCAAAGGCAGCCAGTGCTTTATGCGAGTATTCCCCGATATTCCTGTCTGCGTAAAGGGCAACGAGACCAGAATGGGTAAGGGCAAGGGTACATTTGAATACTGGGCGTGTAGAGCCCAGCCAGGCAAAGTTATATTTGAAGTTGGCGGCGGTGGAATGCGTTCTGAAGTGGCTCAAGAGGGTGTGTATTGATATACCACTTAGCACATAAAACCTCCTGCTAATACCCTCCAGCCCTTCGTCTAGCACAGGCTAAGATTCCTGTCAAGACTGAATTCGTAAAGCTCAGCGATCCACCAAAATTGGGCAGCGCTTATCTCACCTACCCACGCTCTAACGCCGGTGCAGCTGGTCCTGGTTTCGACGGCAGCCCTGCGCCTTGAATTATTGTAGAAAATTCATTTTTACTCTTTAGAAATACAATGAAGCTGATTGGCTGCTTTCTCATTGGGCACTCGATCTCAACCTCTACACATCTCATCTCAAACGACGATGATTCTGCGTGGGCTCACCAGACTCAGGAGATCTGGCTGCTATACGCCGCGGCTATTGCCTAAATTCTCCACCACGCCTTCATCTCTCTCTTCGAGCGGCGTCGATGGCCACAGCACGTCGCCATTCAACTTTGTTAAGGACGCAGACAGGGCACAGGACGAGTGCGATGTATGCATCGTCGGCGCTGGTCCTGCTGGCCTCAGCGCTGCGATCAAGCTCAAGCAGCTCAACGAGAATCTCAGAGTTGTGATTTTGGAGAAAGGTGCAGAAGTTGGATCACATATTCTCTCTGGTGCCGTTATCGAGCCAAAAGCGCTAGACGAGCTACTCCCAAATTGGAAACAACTCGGCGCTCCACTCAACCAACCTGCTACAAACGACAGCATGAAATTTCTCACTAAAAACTACGCTCTGCCTATACCACACCCGCCGCAGATGTCTAACCACGGCAACTACATCATTAGTCTCTCCAGATTAACTGCCTGGCTCGCTGAGAAGGCCGAGGAGCTGGGCGTTGAGATTTACCCGGGCTTCGCGGCAGCTGGTTTGAACTGGGTGGATGGAAAAGTTGGCGGCGTTGTTACTAACGAGATCGGAGTCGGGAAGGGTGGTGAACCCACTGAACACTTTGAGCCTGGTATGGTCTTCAACGCCAAAGCTACTCTCTTGTCCGAAGGCGCGCATGGCTCTATCTCCCAGAAAGTAATTAACCACTTTAAGCTGAGAGAAGGTAAGGATGAACAAACTTACGGTATTGGTATTAAGGAGGTATGGCGTGTGGACCCATCGAAACACCAAGCAGGCAACATCACCCACACGGTTGGATGGCCAATCGACAACGAAACTTACGCCGGTAGCTGGTGCTACCATATGGAAGACAATCTCGTATCAATTGGTCTCGTGATTGGCCTCGATTACCACAATCCATACCTCTCACCATTTAGAGAGTTCCAGAGGATGAAACACCACCCTGTTTTCAAGGATTTGTTGGACGGTGGTGAGTGTATAGCCTATGGAGGTCGCTCACTTAATGAGGGTGGTTTGCAATCCATCCCCCAGCTCCACTTCCCAGGTGGTGCGCTGATTGGATGCTCAGCTGGATTCGTGAATGTGCCCAAGATCAAAGGTGTGCACAACGCGATGAAGAGTGGTATGCTTGCCGCGGAAACGGCGCACGAGAGTATCTCGAATGAGAAGGATCAAGAGGTGGAATTCCAACCTGCCTCTGTTGATATGGCAGGGTATGAGGACAAGGTAAAAAATAGTTGGATATGGAAGGAGTTACATGAAGTGAGAAACATCAGACCGTCATTCCATTCGGTGCTCGGAAACCTCGGTGGATTGATATACTCGGGCATCGACAGTCTCTTGTTGAAGGGACGGACGCCTTGGACATTCCATCACCCGGGACCTGATTACGCCCAGACAAGACCAAAGCACGACTACAAGCCGATCGAATACCCAAATCCAGACGGGAAAATTAGTTTCGATATACTCACATCGGTATCGCGCACGTCTACGAACCACGAAGAGGATGAGCCGTCGCATCTGAAGTTGACGTCATCACCCAAGTACCACACAGCGCAGAATGTGGGTGTTTATGGAGGATTGCTTGGCAGAGCGTGTCCAGCGGCGGTGTACGAGTATAGAGACACAGCTGAGGATGGCGGGAAAGAGGATGCTCTGGGGCATAAATTCGTCATCAACTCGCAAAACTGCATACACTGTAAACTTTGCTCGATCAAGACACCGACGCAAGACATCACATGGACGACGCCACAGGGAGGTGGTGGTCCCAAGTATTCTATTACTTAGGATTGTAGAAATGAACAAGAGTACATGCAAATATTATATTTTACTTTAAACTTGAAACATTTTATTTCTAAGGCATGTGCGCGTTTGTGGGGAAAGCACGCGTGCCTTCTTAGGATACATAGTTGGAATTCCGAATTCCGAGTAGGAAGCCAGCCAAGGCAGGAATCTCAAATTCCGAGAATTGAGAAACGTTGTATGGTTGTTCAGTGACGATGAAATTGAACGGGAAGCCATCGACGAATACGCTCAACACGTTGAACAACTGGCTGCCTAATTGGCTGCAGCCGTTGGTGGACGGTGGGGAGGACATCTTGGATGGGGAGCGTACTGGTGAGAATACTAGTGCCAATCAAACCAGCGCCAATCAAACCACGCACACGCCCAACGAACAAAGAAGACATGAGACTCACGACGAACACGACGCACACGATACACGAAACTCACAATCAACGACAATACGCAACCCCACACCACTCACCACAACCACCACTGTGAAATCAGAACATCCACCGGCTCCACCAAGATTCAACGAGCCGTATTTCAACATACACGAGTACAAATGGCCTAGTATACCAGCCTACATTGGCTACATGATGGTTATATATATCCACATACCAGTCTCTATCTTTTTCGACGCGAATGTTTTCTATGTCTTGATTTGTCTGATTCAGTTCAACAGCTACATCTGGGCACTTGCCGTGTACTCGGTAGCCGTTGCAGTTTACTGGTTCATAATCCTGATAGCTGATCTGTATGCGTACAACAGATACTGGGGAATGGGCAGACCGCCTGTGACCAGTGCATATGTTTCGAACAGGCTGTTCAATCTGAGCAGCACGAGATCAGTGCAGCATTTCAGATTTCTCTGGAATATACGCAAGGAGGCTTGGCGGCAGAGCAAGCGAGACTACACGCTCGAAAGTACCCACCACTACCTGAACAGTGAGTTGTGCGAGTCTTGACTAAGCCGCCACCCACCATCTAACCAATGTTTACGCAGACTACCCGATAATACTCACGTGCATACCCCGTGCGGCAGTCTCGCTCGCGATAATCCTCCAATTCTATCACCCCGCACTCCTCTCTATACCGGTCAACGCCTTTTTCCGCACAGACGCCCAGCTGACGCGTTACGCAGCTGGTGTGCTTATAGCGCATGTGGCGTGGGTGGGTGTGCGAATGGGGATAGTTCTCGCCGCGTTCGCGCTGCACCACCTCGCTCTGGCGTGCACAAGCGTAAGCGTACCGTCGATGGCGGCTGACAAGGAGGCGCTGGTGCACGCGCGCGCTACCACCCGCAGCGCGGCGTGGGCGGGGCGCATGGAGGAGCGCATCGAGTCTGTCTTTAGACATGCTGTCAGCCCTGCTGCTCAGGAAAAGAGATTCAGCTGGAGCGTGAGAGATAGACCAACTACTCTTAATCTGCCACACACCCTCAGTCGCGATAGAGTGAGGAGCTCGAGTCTGTCGGACTCTGTCGTTGTCACATCGAGATCTGCTCCCGTCGTTCGCATTACGGAAAATTCCCTCGTCGCTACGCCTGTCATGGATGTAGATAGATGCGCTAGCAGCGCCACACCGTCGACTAGCGGGAGTGGGAGTGGGAGTGCGGAGGGGGATGAAGAGACCAAGAAGAGAAAGACTAGACATTTCAATAGGGAAACGGGTGAGATCAGTCAGAGTAGCGAGAGCAGTGGGGCTAGTGATTCGAGTGATTCTAGCGAGTCTAGCGAATCTAGCGAGTCATCGGAGCATTCAAACCAGCCTTACCATCCACAGCATCCACAGCATCCACAGCATACACAAACGCACACTCACCCACACATAGCCACTCATACACCCATTCACACACCCACTCACACCCCTTCAATCACCTCAGCAGGCCCGCTGAGTATCACCAGCTGGCACACGCCCGAGCGCGCGCCGACAGAGTACAGCCAAAGCCGATCAGCAGCCTCGCCGCGGATAGTCGCAGCACGCGACTCGACGACAACCATGTCCAGTCTAGGTGCAGTAGTGGGCGGCGGTACTGGCGGGAGTGGGAGTGGGAGTGGGAGTGGGAGTGGGAGTGGGAGTGCAAGTAGAAGTGTCAGCGCCAGCGGCAATGGCAGTGCTAATGGCCTCCCGCGTGACGATAGCTACGGGACACTGCCGGTGCCTCCACTACCTACATCCATTTCGGACGAGTTTGCGACAAGACAAGAGGGGAGCGAAGGGAGTGGGAGTGGAAGTAGCAGCCACCAGCTCCAGGCACACCCACACCGAACACATCCTATACACTCTACAGACCCCACACACCCCATACACCCCGTACACTCCCGCCAATCCAGCATAGAGAGGGATCTCATAGCGAGCGAGAGCCGCGACGCACTCGGACCTATCCAGTCGACGAGTCGGATGTTGGATGATTTTTCGTTAACGCCTGAGCGAGGGCTGGGAGGGGTAGGGGGAGGAGCAGAAGCAAGCATTAGCAGCAGTAGCAACGTTCACAATACCAACAGTAATGATATGATTACCAGTAATATTAGCCATACCAGCACCAACAACAATAATAATAATGACAACAATAACAACAATACCGCCAACAACTCCTCTAATGGCTCGTCAGGATCATCTTCGGATCTATCCCAACACAGCACTAACAGTGGCAGCTCGAGCTCACTCTCTCGAATGACAAGCTACTTGAGTCGCAAACTGAAGAAGAAGCGTGGGTCATCGCAGACGGTGGTGGATCGTGCGCGCGTGGGTGAAGGATCGAGTGAGGCAGTGGCCGACGGGTATAATGTGAACCAGGATGGCGTGGAGACGGAGACTGTGGGTGCATTCTCTGGTACATTCACAGGTGCTTTTGCAAGTCCATTCGAAGGTGTCTCTTCCGCTTCCCCACCCCCGCCGTACACACCTACACCCACGGTGAGCCACAGCGAGAGTCGGTCGACTATCGAACATATTAGTCCTGCGCCTGAGCGGGGCGAGAGAGGCGGGAGTGGGAGACAGGCGACGCATATGCAAGCTGCGCGAAATACGCAAAATACACAAGATACTCACTACCCACACTACTCGCATTCATCGCAAAACAATGCACTTCCTTCACGCTCCTCACAAAGGTTCAGATTGCCCGCTGAGCATATAGGATTAGGATTAAGCGATGAGGTGGATGAGGTGGATGCGGATGACAACGGCAGCACTGAAGAGCGCGCTGAAGAGAATACAGTACAGGACATGGATTGGGAGACACTCAGAGTGGAGTCCAAGAGACGTCTGCAGGATGAGCAGAGGAGGAGAGGAGATGTGATGTGATTGAAAGACAAGTTAAACACGGAAAAAGACAGGAATATTCCATATCTCTAATAACGCTAGTTATATATTGACTTAAATTTATTGATACGCCTAATTTATGTTTATTATCATTATTTACGTATTTATGCACGTACACGTACCAGAACTGTTGCTAATAAAATATAGCACAAAATCGGCGCATGAAAGTGGATCATGTGGAGATAATCTACGATACGCGGAGAGATCACCGAGGAAGTATACCGGATAAGGAAATATTTGTGTTTGAGGGTGAGTGCAATGACGACTGGTGACGTATAAAACTTTCACATATGAAACATGCAACTCGATTAGGAAGTAATGAATGTAAAGCGGGGGGAGGTGTGCGTCATTAATAATTCCTAACATAGTCCAGCATATGCCATCTTGCGAGACGACATCATTGAGATCAAGAAATTGACATGATATTCGAGGCTGAAGATTTGGAGTACGATATCAGCAAAGATAGCTCCTTCAGATGTAACAGCTACGCATATAGTGCGCCGAGTGGACATGGGTTAGGGTTGGAGATTGGGAGTATAGAAAGTGTGAGTTGAACTTGCTGACATTTTTCACTCAATTCTCACAAATTGCGAAGGAGACAAACCAAACAAATGAAACAAATCACGCAGAGAGCGGCAGTCACAGCAGCCACAATAAACACACCAAACACACCACGTCGCCCGCTAAGAAAAGCACATTGAAAACACCCCCACCAGTCAGCTTCAATACACCATCCCCACTGACGCGCAAGAGAAGCGTGAGCTTCGGCAGCGACCATGTGCAGAGTTTCGACAAAGCAGCACCACCAGATCGAGTGATCAGTAATAGTAACGTCGGGAGCAAGATGGCATACACAAGCACGACGGTAGTCACACTTCCAACGCATGCGACACCAGTAAGTGCGAGAGAATTGTGCACACGACTGAATACTATTTATATATAAAGTCGCTATATACCAGATTTATTTTGTAATAACCAACTCACTTATAACAAAAAGTCATTATATATAACATTATTCAAACAAAAACATTACGGTTAACTGCTGTTTTAAAGTCTAGAAGTAAGCTCCTTAGCAGGCTTGTTCTCGAAGGCAATCTCATAAACAGTCTTGAAGAGAGGGTAATTGTCAACCTTGCCTTTGTGGCTGAGGAATTCGTGAATTTCCTTTGCAGTGCCTGTACCTTGCAATCTTTGACCACCGAGAATTTCCTGCTCGAGTTGCTCGAAAGATTTACCAGTTTCAGCGTGAGCAGCGGCGACCTTACGGTTTCTACCACCGAGACAGGTGGTAATGAGATCGGCAACACCTGCAGACTCTTCAACGAAAGTAGCATCTTTGCATGAAGGGAAGAAGTCTTGACAGAATCTCTTCATTTCAAGCAAACCAACTCTCATGATTGCAGCTTTTGTGTTGTCACCCCAGTTCATACCGTCGTTGAAACCACAAGCGATGGCGACAATGTTCTTCATTGCTCCACAGAGAGAAACACCTTCAACATCTTCAACGATGGAAACTCTAAAGTAAGGTCTGTCAAAGAGTTTTTGGAAAATTTCACCATCTTTTCTGTCAGCGTAACCAATGGAAGTTTCACTGAATTTTTCGAGAGCAATTTCGTTGGCGATGTTTGCGCCGGAGAGAGCAGAGCATCTAATTCCCAATTCACGCTCAATAACCTTTGCAAAGATGTTGATGTTATCACCAACGACTTCAACACCTTTGATGAGAGAAACAGCGCGTGCTTTTGGGTTGATGTGGCCTTTAAGGGTGTTTAAAGTCTTTGGAAGGAATTGGTGGGGGATGACAATGATCAGGAGTGTTGCGTCTTCAACCGTGTCAATGAGATCTGGGTTTGCGATAACGTTTTCAGGGAATTTAGCGCCAGGAAGATATTTGACATTCTCGTGCTTCTCGTTGATGATATCTGTGAGGTTTCTACCATCGACTTGTTCTTCGAAAACCCACATAGGGACATCTCTTTCGAATAAGTCAGGCTTCTCTAAACAGCTTTGACCAGCCATTCTAGCGGCAACTGATCCCCTGTGATTTGTATGAGAGAATGCTTAATTGATTGTACGTGTGAACTAACCAGTTGCCTATGAGTGGATTAGTGTCTGTCTACGTAAGAAACTTCAACTCACCCGATCCAATAACTGCAACAGATTCTTTAACCATTTTAATTGACTAATTTGATGATGACCGTAGTAGTTAAAGCGGCAACATGCCATTATATCCATCTGATTATGACGTAATCGGGATACTTGTAATTTTAAAATTAAAAATCAATTTGGTATAAACACGACTCATTTATTCTACTTGAGGAATTTTGGTGCAGGCAACTCATCTGGTGCAGGTGAATTATGAAATGCTGCACCTGCGTATGGATTTGTATTTGTATTTGTATTTGGATTATCCGTATGTGGTCTTCTATTATATGGCTTATTTGGCGTGTTTGTGCTTCTTGTCAATTGTATTTGCTGCCAATTCAACCCTGAAATCCCATCACTGGCTGATTTCGTGCGCTGTTTCCCTTTTGTTTTCTTTCTAGGTGTTGTGGATGAGGATGGGGCTGTAGGTGGTGCTGCTGATACACCTGATACCCCCGCTCCAGCTCCAGGTAACGTCTGCAACACCTCCTGCCAGTTATACGGTTCATTCCTCCTTTGCTGCTGGTTATTCACTGGCATATCCCAGTTTATCTGACTTGATTTCGCAGGTACACTCTGAGGCTGCCTTCTATTCCCACGCCTATTTGGAGTTTTTGTTGGAGTCTTTGTAGGAGTCTTTGTCGGTGTCTGCGTCGTCTGCGTCCTTGTCCCTGCAACCCCCTCTCCATCCCTCTCCGCCTTCAATCCTCCAACCTGCACACTCCCCTCCTCCTCATCTTCGATCTCTGAAATTAATTTCTGTCTATTCGATTTTCTGTGCTGGCTCATCACTGTATCAATTCAACCTTGATCCATTACAACCATTATCTAAACGATGGATGAATATAATAATTTAGATTTAAATAATTATCTAAACAACCCTAATAACAATCCTAATCCTATTGACAAACATCGCAAGAGATCTTCAAAAGGTGCGTTGTCTTTTCATTGAGAATGCTGATCTTGCTAATCTCATCTCATCTCCATCTCCCATCTCTTATCTCCCATCTCTTATCTCCCATCTCTTATCTCTCAATTACTCCATTTCTCTCATCTTCCCATTATTCAACACCCATTTCCCACCTCTCTACACCCACGCAGCCTGCTTACACTGCCGCAAAATTAAATCAAAATGCTCACGACCGAACAACGCTGCAGATGGCCCTTGTGAAAATTGCCTAAATGCCAGAGTTGGTACGTCATCGCTGATTAAGCACTCGATTTTTTTATTCACAGCGATGATGATACAGAGTGCATCTTCCAAGGTGCAACTAAAAAGAGAGGCCCTCCTAAAGGCTATATAGACAGCTTATCTGATAAGCTTGGCAGGTTAGAGGTGGTCTTGGCTAATCTCATTGAATTACCCGGTTCAACGCACGTTATCAATTCAATCACACAAAATGACCCAATTACAAAGGATATTGTACAGGGAGTTCTGGGTGCTGGTTTGACTGGTTCTGGGGGTTTCGGGGGCTCTGCTCATTCTGCTTCTTCTGGCCCTTCTGCTCCCTCGGGTCCTTCTCCCACTCTCCCCGCTGACTCTAGCTACATACAATCCACCCACACTCAAAGAAGACGTTTAGACGACTACCCTTCTTTCCCCAACCACTCCACGCAACTTCCCTCTATCACCCACATCGATGACTCCATCGCTGACTCCATCGGTCAGCTTTCCATCGATGAAAACGAAAATATTCGCTACCATGGTAAAGCTTCCGGCCTTCACCTCATCACAAACAATAGGCGCCACCAACAAGGCATTTGGAATTTCCCTGCTCCCGGCATCTGGCCAGCCAGCCATGAACTTAAAAAGCTCAGTCAAACCGAGGTGGTCGAGTTGAGTGGTGCCAAGCTATGTCTCCCTGACATGCAAGTCCAGGAAAAGCTAATCGAACTCTACTTCTCTTACGTCCATCCTGTTCTCCCCATCATCCACAAATCCTGGTTTTTGCAAAATTTCAATCTGTCTCAGCAATCGTCTCCTCACAACCCAGACGTCCCCGACGAATCCTTCCCCACTCTCCTCCTTCTCTGTGTATTCGGTGTGGCTTCTCGTTACAGCGCTGTCAACAACCCCGACTACCCTGCTCTCTGGGCAGCCGGTACCTTATACATAGAGCGAGCGAGAGAAATCACCCACCTCGATCACCCAAACTCGCGTCTCTCCAGCGTACAAGCATTCCTACTTCTCACTTACAGGAGTGTTGGTTTGGGTGATATGAAGAGTGCATGGATGTTCCTCGGACACGCTGTGCGCATGGCTGAAGACTTAGGCTTGCACAGAGACGTCAGTCATTTCCACCCTAACGGACGCATTCGCTTGAGTGACGTTGAAGTAGAAGCACGGAAGCGGACATGGCACGGCTGTGTTATTCTCGACACGTACATCTCCTCCTACATCGGCAGACCGACGGCTATACGTGGGAGAGATTACGACACGCGCGAGTGCAAAGAAGATGAGATAGAGGAGACCGAAGCCTGGATGCCGATCGAAGCGCATGTGACGTGCAGTCGAGATGCGTGCGATCTAAATGACCAGGACCATCCGTTTAATTGGACAGTTCCACAGACGAGCTATGCTTTGTCATGTTTCAATCACTTCAGCCGACTATCAGCGCTCGAGAACAGCATACTCGAGCACTGCTACTCGATCAAGCACGGTAGCGGAGACAGTATAGGGATGCTCTCAGAGCTGCACCAGCGCGTCGATCAGTGGTCCATCGATCTCCCACGCCATCTCAAATACACTGCATCCTCGCAGCACCTTCCTCCTCCGCACGTCCTCACGCTACACACTGCTTTCCATTGCACTCTCATCCTACTCCACCGCCCTTACGTCACCACTCCATCGCCTTACCCTTCGCACCAGATTATGAGCATGGCGGCTAACTCCATTACCTCTATTGTCAACTCGCTTAACACGCGACACGACTTTCTCAACAAAGCTCCCAGTCTTCTTATATACCACATCTTCACTGCGGGTATTACTCACTGCTTCAACCTCCAGTATCCAGATATCGCTCCAGTTGCGCGGCGCAACTTGCGAAGAACGATGGAAGCGCTCAAGGCTATGGTGATCACATGGCCAGCTGCTGGCCGGGCGTACGACATGCTAATGGATGTGTACGACATACAGCGGGCGGAGGATGAAGAGGGTGAGCGTGAGGGTGAGCATGGAGAATCATCACACGAACACGCACATGCACCCGGCCCACGCGGCATCAAGCGGATGCTGATGGAGAGTGCCGAGGCACAGGGCGTGCCTATCGGCGTCGGCTGGAATGACGTCTTCCCGTGCCCTACCGAACCTATACAGCCGCAGGTGCCGAATAGACATCCTGGCGTGAATGTATTGAGTAGTGAACTGTCGGATATTACGGCTGATGGGATCTTTCCTTCGCCTTATTTTATGGGTCTGGAAGAGACTCAAGGGGAGACGTCGGGGGTGGTGTCGGGGTCAGGGTCTCAGCCAGTAATGCAGCCACACTCACACTCTCATTCACACCCTAATACACACACACACGCACAATCACGTCCTTCTCCACCCGTTATGCACCTCCCCAATGTACAGCATTTGCAGCATGTCCAGCACCTTTCTCATACTCCCCACACTCCACACACTCCTCACCTCCCAGTCACCCACCCAACACACTTGGGCCAGCTCCACTATTCTCACGCTCCAGCCCCAATGCGCAGTCAAGGCGCTCAGCTCTATGGCGACTCAGCGTGGCAGCTGTGAAGATGTAAAAGTAAAATCATGTATATTTATCAATCACCTTGCATCGGTTGTGAAAAACAGATAATAGAGAAATATCGGAACAGAGTGCACGTGAGGGAATGACAATTGACGTCAGCGGAATTATACGAGTCGAGTCACTCTTTCACGGACGACGACGACGATTAATTCAAGAAATGTCAGCCAGCAGTGCATTCTACAATATCACGCCCAAGATGTGGAACAAGCTGCTCCACTTCTCAAGTTTCCCACAGTCGGGTATATCACTACAGCAGATGGTTATGTTCGGATCTAATCCGTCACAGGGGACGTTGTTGCGAGCTGGCAATTTCCTTTCGGAAGAGCTGCCAATAAGATTAGCGCACCGCTGCGTTGAGCTGAACACGCTACCGAACGAACTCTCGGAGATGCCCAGTATAAGGAAGGTGCTGGGTTGGTATGCGCACTCGTTCGACGAGCTCGTACACTTCCCTCAGCCGAATATTCCGCCAGATGTGCGCGCGCAATTGTTCGCTCCGACCAACAGACGCGCCGACCGACTTCCCGAAGCGAGTCCGAATCTAGCGCAGCTGGAAGATGAGAACACGCCGGGTCCAGTGAGTGGGAGTGGGAGCGGGAATGGTATTGGTAACGGCAACGGGAATACCAACGGCAATAACGCCGCACAAACTACACACAAATACCGTCGCATCCCCATCGAATCCCGCTACCATGCTCACACACCCGATCTCGAATGGCCACCTTCTGTCGCGCACTACAACGAAAGCTTCACGCGGTTGCTCGAGGGTATAAAACGGCGACACGATAGCGTCGTACCGACTATAGCGCAAGGAGTGCTAGAGTACAAACAACATCAGCGCAGTGCGGGTGGTGTCGACACTGATATTCAGTCATTCCTAGATCGCTTTTACATGTCGCGCATTGGTATACGTTTCCTCATTGGCCAGCATGTCGCTCTCAACGCTCTCACTCCTCACCACCCTGATTACGTAGGCATCATATGCAAGAGGACGAATGTGCGCGATGTTTGCGATGAAGCGATCGACAATGCTCGCTTTATTGCTGAGGATCATTACGCTCTCTTCAAACCGCCACAGGTTCAGCTCATCTGCCCTCCCAATCTTGAAATTTCGTACGTTCCTGGACACCTCAACCACATCGTCTTTGAGATTATCAAAAACTCCCTTCGAGCTGTGATCGAGCGCTTCGGAGTGGATGCCGAAGATCAGATGCCACCTATTAAGGTGATTGTCGCAGCGGGGAATGAGGATATTACTATCAAGATCTCGGACGAGGGTGGTGGTATACCGCGCAGCGCTATCCCGCTCATCTGGACGTATATGTACACTACCATGGAGGGATCGGCCCTTGATCCCGAATTCGAGCAATCGGGCAGCGACTATAAAGCTCCGATGGCCGGTCTTGGGTATGGCTTACCGTTATCGAGACTTTACGCACGCTATTGTGAGTTGTTGAGTGCATCATACTGTTTTCATCTCACCCTCCTTCAGTCGGTGGCGATCTGCGCCTTATCTCCATGGAAGGATATGGGACTGATGTGTATATTCATCGTGAGTAGATTGCATGCTGTTTCGATAACTAAACTAATACTCACACTTCCCACAGTCAACCGCTTATCCTCTAGTGCAGAACCTCTGCAGTAGTTGGAAATGTACTATATCTATGTATTGTTTGTTATCCAAGAATGCGCGCGTGTGTGTGTGTGCGCTTGCGCGCAAGAATTAAGACACAAAATGGCTGCTCCCTCTCACTCCCCCTCCCCTTCCTCCTCATCGTCGACCAGCCCAACAACAAAGCGGTCAGCTTCTTCAGACGCTTCCTTTGCCTCTTTGTACACCCTCACATCACCCTCTACGGATGCAGTATCATTGTCTTCCGTGTCTCCGCCCGCCACAGCCTCAGGACTGCCGAACGTGGATGAGATTCTACTATAAGAGCCCTTGATTATTTTTCTCAATGTGTGCTGATCAGGCAGTGACAAGCTGCTTTTATAATTGACGCCGTTGGGCAGAGCCGGGATGATGTGATGGATAGACGAGGGGTCGATGGTGTATTCGATGGTGCTTTCTATGTCTTTTTCTATGTCATTATCGTTACTGTCCTTCTTCTCGTCATCGTTAGCCTTCTCCCTCTCCTTCCTTACCTCCACCTCCGGTCTTACTCTATACACATACGAGTGGCGTATCAATTCAGTCGCATCATCCGCATACCGCGCTAGTATATCCGTCGACGCTGCCCTGAATTCAATCTGTCGCGATGAGAATATACTACGCAAAGCCGATACGTCAAATGTCTCGATCTCGCCACGCGACATTTGGCAAATGGGGGGAGGGTTGCTGGGGTGTGAGATGGTGTGTGAAATATGCTGCTCCTTTGATGTCCCGTTTGATTCCTCTTGTGTGACCACGTCGCAAACCTTTCCCAGTGCGGCATGCACGGAGGGAGGTTTCTTTTGTGTCTGCATCTGCTTCTCGCTCAAGTCACCCCCCTCGCTCCAACTCAGTGTATAGTCGAGCTGCGCAAACTTGTCTCGGGCGCTGTCGGCGACATACACCACCAGACTGCCCTTGGCGGGTGTGTGCACATCTGCGAAAGCGAAAGCGACATCATAGGGGGAGCGTGTGGAGTGAGCCGAGTGCGTGGAGTGCATAGTGTGCATTGTGTGCCAACGCTGCCGATCCCCCTCGTCTGACCCACTGGGTCTTATTTTGACAATGCTGTTGAGGGTGGTAGAGAGGTGAGAGTGGGAGTGTGAGTGACTGCTCACCGCCCCCATGCTGATAGGCTCACCTGAGACATGCGCCTCAGTGACTCTCCCACCCGAGTTAGGGTTGAGAGGATATACATGTGTGGTACCCGTGTGCGTAGTGACACCTACCCACCTCTCGTTTCTGCTCCAAGATACATTCTGCACGCGCGCAGTCGTGTATCCCCGCCTCAGTGCATACCTGTGCCACACACAGTCGTAATCGCTGTCGTTTTCGCGCATATGCACGCCGATGAGCGGGCGTGGACGCAATTCGTAGATGTGGAACACGTGCGCATTGGTATCTGCTACCAAAACATTCCTGCTGCTAGGACTGAGCGAGATGTGTGATAGGGGGGAAAGCGACGAGTCGAATAGACCGACTGTGCGCTGAGTGGGTATGTCGAGCACTCGCACTACGTGTGTATGCTTGCTGTGGCGGTATAAGTCTTGAAACTGAACCTGAGCCTGAGAATGAGACTGAGGTGATGCACTCACACTCTCGCTCGGAACAGGCGCTGATCTGCTGTAGTAGGTGTTGCGCAGAGAGTCGAAAGTGTTGTGCCCACGTTTGTAGCCGGCTTCAATGTAGCTGGCGAGATGGGAGGCAATTTCGGCAGTGGAGTAGCTCGGCCTGTCTGCGTAATTGAGATTGTTAGCGGCGATAATACCCGAAGTGGAAGTGGGGTGGGGGTGGATATAGGCCAAGTATCTTTGGCAGAGGCTGTGGATGTGGGGGGCGGGTGACTCGAGCGTATGGAGCAGGTGCAAGTCGCGGCTCAAGATATGGATGTTTGTCGTGGTGGCTGCTGCAATGTAGCTATCGTAGGTATCCGTTGAAATGCAGGTGATGGGCGCGTCAAGCGTGGATTGATTGAGTGGGTGGAGCGTGGGTATGGCTACTTCCTGCAGCGTCGCTGGATCGGTGGCTGTGCTGATATCGCGTGAGCTGTCTATCATCACAACCACACTGAACCCACGATATAAAGAGAGAGCGGGACGAGTTGGCTGCGGCTGCGGCTAATGGCGTGCTGCTCTGGCATAGAAGCACTTTCTGGGGGTGGTGCGCGCCGTGCTCGTCGTGCTCGTCATGGACGCCGTGGAGGCGATAAGACCAATCGTCGTCATCGTCGTGCTGGCAGGGGAGATGAAACTGGAGGAGGATGTGTCTGCGTGGAATTAGAAAATAAAACAAAATATAAAAACCCGCACGTGAACTGATTGCTGCTGTCATTTGATATTTGTGATTTCATAGAAGATGGAGGAGGGCAAACAAGGCGCTTTAATTCGAAATTGTTGTGAATATTTGCATCCGATTAGTTAAGACGGTTATTCACACAGCTTAATAATTCTGTTTCTCTTGGCTGGCACTCGCCGTCTTTACGCACGACGGTGAAATGAAAATTGGAATACTGGGAGCAACAGCGGCAATAACACTGTCAACCACATCCAGCGCCTTCCCGAGTGCTCCCGAAGATCTCATCTCCCGCGGCATCATACACGCTGCACAGCAGAACACAATACACTCGAGAGACGAAGGAGATCTCTCATATGCACCTTACAACACTTCCTGCCCATCGGGAGTCACAGATTTCATCAGGACGGGACAGGCACTCTCCACCGACGAGACTGATTACATTAATTCACGCATGGAGAAGATCATCGACCCACTCACTGACTGGTTAAACGGCGCTGGTCTCTCATACGATATCAGCCAACTCACCTCAAATACCTCCAACGCTCCTAGACTCGGTTTGGCTGTGTCTGGAGGCGGCTATAGAGCCATGTTGGGCGTGAGTGCTCCTCCACGTGCCTCACGTGCCTTGCGTTCCTGAAGCTGACATAATATCCAGGGCGCCGGTTTTATCAGTGCACTCGACAACCGCAATTCCTCTCTTGATTTCGAGACTGCAGGTCTCCTCCAGTCTGCTGCTTATATGTCCGGCTTGTCGGGTGGTTCCTGGGCAGTCGGTGGTTTTGCCGCGCAGAACATGAAATCTGTCTGGGAGTGGATGCAAACTGCAAGACTCGACGAAAACATCTTCTACCCAGGCTTTCTCGACGCATTCAGCTACTTTTCCGACATCTTCAATGACGTCGACGCAAAGGAAAATGCTGGATTTGAGGTTCAATTGGCTGACTATTGGTCAAGGGCTTTGAGGTCGGTTTGGTGGTTTCTAAGTTTTCTTAATGTCTAAATTTCACCCAGCTACCATCTTCTCGCTGAACCAGAGAGCAAGTTCCCTGGCTATGGCAGGAACACTACCTTCTCTGGAGCTATTAGAGATGCAAGCACCTTCCAATCGACTTCCCCGAGTGTACAAGCACTTGAGCGCCAGCCTGATCAGATTATTGTTGGTCAGAATGCGAGTATATGGGAGATGACACCCCACTCCTTCGGGACATACGGCCCACTCGGAGGTGGTGCGCGTGATTCCAGTCCAAACGGCTTTATTGATATCGCTCTTGTCGGGACAAAGCTCCTCGACGGCCAACTAAATGGTACCGACCAGTGTGTCAATGGATTGGACAACTTTGGATTTGTTATTGGCACCTCAGCGACACTATTCAACCAGGGTGTTATACAAGCCCAGAGTTCCCTTTCCGGCTGGTCTGTTTTCCAAGATATAGCTGAAAATGTTCTCAGTGACTTCTCAGAATCGAAGAATGATGTTGCATCATGGCGGAACCCATTCTATGGCTGGATGAATGACACCAACAAGATTTCCAACGTATCCAATGTAGTCTTGGTAGATGGAGGAGAAGCTCTCGAGAACATACCACTCAATGCGCACATTAAACCAGAGCGTCAAGTCGATTTAGTTCTTGGCTTTGACGCTTCAGCTGACACCAGCTCGGGTTGGCCAAACGGCACTAGCATGTTTGCTACTTACAACCGTACTATCAACGACGACGACCAGATCTCATTTGCGAATGTACCAACACCAGAACAGTTCGTAGCGCAGGGCCTGAACACGCGTCCAACATTCTTTGGGTGTAACTCTTCCGATGTGACAAACTACAACGAATCCAGACACACACCAATCGTTGGTTACATTCCATCGTATCCGTACGTCTTTGAAAGTAATCAGAGCACATTCAAGCTGGAATATTCAGATGAGGAGTACATTGGCATGATAAATAATGGTGAGGCATCTACATCTCTCAATGGCTTAGTTAGCGATGGCGAGTGGAAGCGTTGTCTTGCATGTGCTCTCGTCGACAGAGCTAGAGAAAGGAACGGCGTAGATAGAAGCGCAGAGTGTCAGACTTGCTTCGATGACTGGTGCTGGAGTGGCGATCAAGTCGACACATCAGATGTCTCAGAATATGAGCCAGATATTAACAGCGTTCCTCAATTCGTTCAGGACAGATCAGATGGTGATGCTTTGATTCAAGCAACCAATGACTCTGCAAGCGCGCAAAATTTATTTTCCACCACAGTCCTCCTCGCTATGGCAGTGATTGTTGGTGCTGCGCTCCTTTAGTTCGTTGGACTGACTCTTATGGAAATTCTCATCTTATGAAACTATGGTTGTATAATCCTAGTACGAATACGTAGTATATCTATTTTACTCTTGTTATCTGAGCGATCTTGATATGTCTTATTTATTCTGTCACACATCGGACCGCTTGGCGCCAACAAAATCTGGTCCTGCTGCTATTTTTAGCCACCAAATGTACCTCTATTCACACTGCAGATAGAATGTGACTGTGCTCCATGCTGTGAGAGTGAGATTTCGCATGATTTACGTGTCAAATCCCTCAAGCGTGTTTTAAGATCTGCAGATCGCTGTGCCTTGAGAGCTGATTAGGTAAGCAAGGGGTTTTACACGGCAATATTTAGGTTAGAAAGTAATGCCAAGTAGATTTTCTTAGCTTCCAAATAACACCATGTGTACCTCCTCGCAACTCCGCTACCCCAATTTTTCACGGGACCATAAAATTCACCGAGATGACTTAGCGTCCTCATCTATATCCACAAAGACCGCAATGAAGTCTGCGATATTTGGCGCACTCACGCTGGCAGTGATCTCGAACGCTTTCCCTAGTCCGCCTTCCGATCTGGCCGCACGAGCCTTCAACCCAGCTCTCCACTCCAGGGATGAGGGTGATCTCTCATACGCACCTTACAACACTTCGTGCCCAGCGGGAGTCACAGACTTCATCAGGACGGGACAGGCACTCTCCGCCAATGAGACTGACTATATCAACGCACGTATGCAGAAGATCATCGATCCACTCACAGATTGGCTCGACAGCGCAAACCTCTCGTACGACATGGATAAACTTACAAGTAATTCCACAAATGCACCCAAACTCGGTATAGCTGTGTCTGGAGGAGGTTATCGTGCCATGTTGGGTGTAAGTGTGTTCTTTCACATATGCACCTTGCGTATTTCGCGTACCTCAGACTGACTTTATTTCCAGGGCGTTGGGTTTATAAATGCACTCGATAACCGCAATTCCTCGGTCGACTTTGAGACTGCTGGTCTCCTCCAGTCTGCCGCTTACATGTCTGGCCTCTCAGGCGGTTCCTGGGCAGTCGGCGGTTTTGCTGCGCAGGACATGAAGCCAACTTGGGAATGGATGGAGACTGCGAGACTTGACGAAAATATCTTTTATCCAGGATTTTTAGACAGTTTCAGTTATTTTTATGATATGTTTGAGGATATCGAGGATAAAAAACACGCTGGATTTGAAGTCGCTATATCGGACTATTGGGCGAGGGCTTTGAGGTCGGTTTGGTAGTTTCTAAGCTTTCTTAATGTCTAAATTTCACCCAGCTACCATCTTCTCGCTGAACCAGAGAGCAAGTTCCCTGGCTATGGCAGAAACACTACATTCTCTGGAGCCATTAGAGATGCAAGCACCTTCCAATCGAACGACATGCCCTACCCGATTGTACAAGCACTTGAGCGCCAGCCTGATCAGATTATTGTTGGTCAGAATGCGAGTATATGGGAGATGACACCCCACTCCTTCGGGACATACGGCCCACTCGGAGGTGGTGCGCGTGATTCCAGTCCAAACGGCTTTATTGATATCGCTCTTGTCGGGACAAAGCTCCTCGACGGCCAACTAAATGGTACCGACCAGTGTGTCAATGGATTGGACAACTTTGGATTTGTTATTGGCACCTCAGCGACACTATTCAACCAGGGCGTTATCAAAGCACAAGGCTCATTGTCTGGCTGGGACATCTTCCAAGACATGGCCGAAAGTGTTCTCAGTGACTTTTCAGAGACTAGAGACGATGTTGCACAATGGAGAAACCCATTCTATGGATGGAAAAACGACACCAACAAAATCAGCGATGCAGAAAATGTCGTTCTGATTGATGGTGGAGGTGGGTATTATTTCTCAAATGTTGTAATTACTAAGGCTGCGAACAGAAGCTCACGAGAACCTGCCACTGAATGCACACATCAAACCTGAACGACAAGTGGACTTGGCTATAGGCTTTGATGCAACGTCCAACACAAACAATGGATGGCCAAACGGCACTAGTCTATACGTCACTTACAATCGTACCATGCACGATGATGATCAAATCTCATTCGCGAATGTACCAACACCAGAACAGTTCGTAGCGCAGGGCCTGAACACGCGTCCAACATTCTTTGGGTGTAACTCTTCCGATGTGACAAACTACAACGAATCCAGACACACTCCAATCATTGCCTATATTCCAAATTACCCATATGTCGGAGCTGTCAATACGAGTTCTTTCAAATTGGAATATGATTGGGAAGAGGCTTCTACGCTTATGAAGAACGCTGAGGCATCTACGTCTCTCAACGGCTTAGTCAAGGATGGCGAATGGAAGCGCTGTCTCGCATGCGGTCTTGTTGATAGAGCTAGAGAAAGAAACGGCATAGACAGAAGTGAAGAGTGTCAGACTTGCTTCAACGACTGGTGTTGGAATGGTGAACAGGTCGACACGTCGGATGTGTCTAAGTATGAACCGGAAATCCCAAGCGTTCCTCAATTTGTGCAGGAAAGGTCAAATGAAGATCCTCTGATTCAACCAAATGAATCAGGAAAATCACAAACATTCTCTGGAAGCGCGCAAACTGTATTCTCATTTACGTTACTGCTCATATCTGTATCTCTTGCTGGTACTGCACTACTCTAGAGCACCGCTTGATTTAACGGTTTATTTCGTAATTTGTATAACTTCGTTTGCATCACATGCATTTAGATACATTCTGAGTCACAATATAATGTCAATAATTTTTCAGTTACAAACTTTTCAAGTGCTCCAGCAGCGTGCCTCTATAGTGGTTTTTCGCCACTTCGGCACACAACATATCTTGCACATCTACAGTCAACCTCATGAGGACATCTAAGGCGTCAGATTTACCTATTGATATTCTGCTGTCGATATTTAACCACCTTGATAAACGCACCACCGACACCCTCACCGATAAATATCGGAAATTGAACTACCAGCTATCAGCCGTCAACAAACATTGGAGTGAAGCGCTCACACATTCACATAGTGAGTTTTGGCTGCAGTGCAGATTCAATTACTTATCAACATCTTACGCAAGTCTACTCATCGGCCGTACTCAAACTCCAGAATGACGTGGATGCCCAGAGACTGAAGTCATGGATGGCTTCACCGCGCCTCAAGTCTAAGAAGACTGGACAGATATTCTTGATAATCGAGAATAAGGACATTTACAACAAACTATGCGAGGATAGCTACGGCTTGGTTGATTTGAATGTTTCAAGATTTAGCGTTGTATATCACATCAACACGAGAGAGGTCACACTGCCACGCAATCTTAACGCCAAATACTTATTCATTAACGGAGGCGATCAGGAGGCTATTTTACGCCCAGCCTGCTTTTCAAAAGAACTTCGCAGCAGTCTGAAACACATAATGCTAAATAATGTCTCTTTCGAGTTTTTCACTGGGCTTGATATGCTCAACTTCTGCTTCGAAAAGGTACAGAGCTTTGTTTACGACTTGAGTATTGAGTGGGTACGCGGACCATCAACGCTGGCGTTCATACTCCGCCTCATGCCAAATTTAAAGCTTCTCAAAGTAGATGCTCGTGAGCAGCGGATAACAAGATCTCCAAGAGAGTATCGTGAAGTAAACCTACCAGATTCAATGGACAGACTTGAAAGCCTAACGCTCAATCGCATTTACGCAGACATCAGCAATTGTCGATTAGCGAAACTTCGGAACTTGTGTTATTGGGGATTTGCCGATATTTCTCAATGGCACGGATTAGGAGATCAATTAAGAAACGTTCAGCTGCCTAGGTCAGTTTTCTCAGCTGATCATGATATTTTTGCGCCTGAGTTTCTCAGCAAGCTCAAGAATGTGCGCAAATTCAGCATAGAAGGATATTACTCGCCTGTTTTCTCAGATATGTTCAACAAAGGCCATTTCGACTTTGCTATGCCACTACTGGAGGAGCTAAACATCTGTAGCAGACGCCACAACATTAAGTTGGTAGCTTTGAACAGATTTATTAACTTACATTCAAAATTGCACACAGTCATTGCTTTGAAATGTAACGAATTACTCCCAAGTAAAATTTCAGCAAATCTAGAGAACTTTGTCGCACAAGATGACGATATACTAAGTATTTACGACGACATAGAGTATACCGAGATATTTGAAGCTACCGAGCTTCTCGATTTGGATATGAATGACGAGTTTGATGAGTACGAAAGGTACAATGAGTGGTATAGGGGGTGTGATGGTTTGGGTTTGTTTTAACATTGTGGGATGATTCGGTTGCAAATCAATAGCACCTCTCATTACTCAATCAGCGTATATACCTGTTAGGTCTTCTCAGAAGATTTTGATGTAAAACACGAAATTTCAAATTTACGTTTGTAATACACGTGTAGGTTACTAAAACGGAATACCATCAGAATTTACTACTTTCCACCACAAATGTGTGAACATTTTACCTATCCATATATGTACATTGAAAGAATCTAATTTTCAACATTAGTTTACCTCTTTTATGAGGAATACCAATTCAATCTATTAAATTGCGCTCTTTTTTTCAAAAGTAGCCAACCAGTTTCTAATCAGTTCACCTGCGATAGCATGCTTGTTTGGAACGAAGGGAACATTATCTGGTGGCTTATCACCAAGACTGATAGGCGAGCGCTTTACCATCTCCTCAACGTCTTCGCGTGTGAACCATCTAGCGTCTGTTTCATTGTTAATGATTTGTTTTACTACAACTTGCTCCAACACACCTTCCAATTCTCCGTCTAAGTCCGTTCTAGATATCTCATAGTTGCTGTTGACATCGGCGATTGCATAAAATCCAGTCATGAGTGAACTTGGATATGGCCATGGCTGGGAGGCGAAGTACTTCACGTCGAGAACACGCACGCAAGCCTCTTCATGCACCTCCCTGGCGACTGCCTCTTCAAATGTCTCACCAACCTCAACAAAACCAGCTAAGCAACTATACATACCACCGGCGTAGCGCTTGTTACGTCCGAGCAAAATAGCTGATCTGTCTGGAGACAAAACAGCCATAATGACAACAGGGTCTGTGCGTGGGTAGTGGTAGTTTTGAACGCCTTTCCAGCTATGTGATGGTTGATCCTGGTTATCAAACACAGAACTGCAACAGAGCTTCCAACCTGCCCAGCAGCTATAATTGAGTTTCCCAGAACCAGAATCGTACTTGTGTCGTAAATTCCAATCCACAATAGATCTCGCTTGGGCGATAATCTTTGAGTCGTGTAGATTGAGATAGCCAATCAAAGAGCGAGAATCGCGGAATTTTACGTCATGAGATTCGAAATGCTCCTTGGGGTAAGAAGAAGCGTCGAAACAAAAGTAAACAGTTCCTGAAGGCGTATATTGTGGATCATTTGCCTTCTGATCGATGCTTTCCTTCACGCCTAGCAACGCCACCACAGTTTTCGACTGCCTATAGCCTTCCAAAAAGCGCTGATTGATCTGGGACATGCCTTCACCGTAGTTATTGCTTCCAATATAAGGCTCTGCTTCGCTGTAAGGTATCGAAGCCAAGGTGTTATCCCCATTTCTAATCAATGGATTAAGATTATGCAGTGGAATAAACTTGGACTGCTTGAATACGCTGTTAAGGAAGCCATTGTTCCCTCTGAGCCAGCTTATCTTGTTCAATCCTCCTTCCATCTCTACGATGACGTTAACTCAATTGGAAGCAATCGAATTATTCGGTAGCGTCAGCGAGGAAGAAAAATTGCAATATTTGAGCATTTTTGGTGGCGTAGATATTATCAAAGATGCTTTCGATAAGCGCCTGCCGCTCTGCCTCGATATCAGCGTAAATAGCAGCATAACGGCGACGTACAGCGAAAGCAACAACTACGCACTGAGAATAAGGCGCAGAAGGAAGATGATCGAGGGTCAGTGGCATTACCAGTTCAAAGCGGAGATTATTGGCTCTATTCCTGTCACAGCCAAGTTCAGAGGTTGGTGGGGTTAGCGGGCGTAGCGTTTATAATTAACAGCGCGCAGAAATCGCAGATTTTACATCACATCTACCGCAGAAGGACTATTTGGATAACATCAACGAGAGAGTATTTTCCGACAATCTCAATGAAAGCATCCATGCACTTAGAAACATTCAATTGCCGAAAAATGGCGATCAAATTGAGTTTCTGGAGAGTCGTGTAAAAGGCAATCGTCTGAGGAAGGCGCGCGGCGAGAATATCGAGGGCTTAAACAGTCAACCGATAGGTCTCATTCAACCCCCTAAATTCTACAGAGCACAGACATTCAACAACTACCTATACCAGAGCAGATACAACCCTGAAAAGACTACAGGTGTTAACAAGGCCACTGGACAGACTTACGAGCGTCTCATCAGCAAAAATCGCGCAAAGGTTGACAGTGGTGATACAATCACTTGGGATCAATATCCAGCTCCTTCAGCACCTGTTAAGGAGGCGTCCGAGTTTATAGATACATACCCTAGGAAAGATGTGCTGCAGAGGCTTGAAAACCTTTTCAAAGAGAGGCCAGCGTGGTCGAGAGCATCGTTACTGAACCAATTTTCACCTCAGGATTCGCGATTTTTATTGAACCACAAGATATCAATGGCAGCTTACTCATACACATTCCAGTCGGGACCATTTGCAGATGTTATGTGTCGAATTAACTGGGATCCCAGATTAGATAGCGCAAATCGCATTTATCAACGTATCCAGACTCGTCTGGTAGGGGTGAGGGACCGCAAGCACAGGCAAACATTTACAAGCCGAGCAAGTACAGGAAACTCCGGTAAAGCTAATTCAGTTCCGCAATCAACTCCGGGGACAACAGCACCCGAAACGTCTCAGATGAAAGAACCAAGCGCAGAAAGCCACAAGTTTGATGGAAAGAATGTAACAGATGCTGCAAACTTCCAGCTATGTGATGTGACTGATGAAGATTGCTACAAGCTGATTCATGATGAACAAGGCCATATCGAGAATTTTGATTCAAACACCGGATTTTACACAGAAGAACAGCTAAATCTGATAAGAAGGGTAATTAAACGTAAGATGACAGTGCTTAAAGAAGAGAATCGTCAACTGACTCAAGAGGAACTTGACCAACTGCTTATTCCGGGAGGCGTTCACGACGATTCTGACGAGGAGCAGACGACGCAAACACCAGCGGCATCAAAGAGCACGCGTGAGAAAGCGCATAACCTTAGGCAGAGCATATTATCCACCAGTGTAAATTCCAAGTAATTTAATTTTGTACTCCATGGATAACTGAGATCACTCTCAATATTCGACAATCATCAATGGAGCAAATCAAGACGCCAGCGGCACCGACGACGCACCTGACGTCTAGTAAGAGTAACGCAGAGGATTCTGCGACGCCCAAGCCACGGTCTGCAAATTCGAGGCAGGAGCCAAATCCATTCGAGACGACGATCAAAGAGAGGCGGGAGAAAGAAATCAGCCAACATAATACAGGTAGGTTTGATGATTAAATAAAAATACTCCCTTACACTATATCCAGCTCCCCATTTATCTAGTTCAACCACGGCGACTTCAGCCACCACATCCGGCGCCAGTACACCGTTGACAAATACAAAGCCACCGTTCAAATCTCAATCCTCAAAGGATGTTCTTGGCAGTAAGGGATTGCTCACAGTCAAGGTTATGGAGGCGAGGAGACTCGCTGTGGTTGATAGCACAAAAGCACATTCATACGTAGTCGTCTCATTTGAAAACAATGAATTTGTTAGTAGAGAGCCAATCGGTGCAACAGAAGGCGTTGCCAGAGGTTTCCCCAAGAAGTTGGAATCCACTTTGAAAAGAACGCCATCATCCGGTGCTCGTACTCCTACAACTCCAGACCCTACCAACAAATCAAGCCCACCAGTCACCGGCGTTTTAGGTCAAAACGGAGATTCTCCGGTATGGAAGCATCAAGTCACTTTCGACGTTTCAAGAGAGGATTCCCCTCTTGAAATTGCTGTTTACGATAGAGATCGCTCAGCACCAAACGTTGCAGCCACTTTAAGCCCTTCAAATCAAACTGCGGATGAAAGTCTGGCTAACCTCACCATTGACCCCCAACCAGGTGAAGACGACAGCGTTGTACACTACTTGGGTTATGAGGGAGAGAAATACGTTGGTAGTAAGGAAATCCGTCCACACCTCGCTCCAGGTGCTGAAATCGATCACTGGTATGAGCTCTCCAGATTTGGCGATGATGGTAAAGAAATTACAACCGGTGAAATTCGTTTGCAGATATTATATGAACGCTTCGCCAATAAACATTCTCTCATTCCGAAAGACTTTGAATTTCTGAGATTGATCGGCAGAGGTACCTTTGGTAGAGTTTTCCAGGTTCGCAAGAAAGATACTAAGCGTATTTACGCCATGAAGGTTCTCTCTAAGAAGGAAATCATTGCAAAGAAAGAAGTTGCTCACACTATTGGAGAGCGTAAGATTCTGCAAGTATCGCTGGAGTGTCCATTCTTAGTTGGTTTGAAGTTCAGCTTCCAGACTGAAAAAGAGCTCTATTTTGTCACGGATTACAAATCTGGTGGTGAGCTTTTCTGGCATTTACAAAGAGAAGGCAGATTTAGCGAAGAAAGGGCAAGATTCTACATAGCCGAGCTCGTACTTGCACTCGAACACCTCCACAAATATGACATTGTTTACCGTGATCTTAAACCTGAAAATATCTTACTGGATGCAACTGGTCACGTTGCTTTATGTGACTTTGGATTATCAAAACCTGATTTACCAGCAGACCAACTCACTTCAACTTTCTGTGGAACAACAGAGTACCTTGCACCTGAGGTACTACTCAATGACGATGGATACTCCATGCTGGTTGACTTTTGGTCACTAGGAGTGTTGTTGTTTGAGGTATGTGAAAATATTGTGTTTGTTTGCTTACTAACGATTTTTAGATGTGTTGTGGTTGGTCACCATTTTATGCCGAAGATACACAACAAATGTACAAAAACATATGCTTCGGGAAGATTAGATTCCCAAAGGGAGTTATTGGAGATGAAGGAAAGCAATTTGTCAAAGGTCTTTTAAACAGAAACCCAGAACACAGGATGGGCAGCAAGAGAGACGCTGCAGAGCTTAAGGAAGATCCATTTTTCAAATCAATTGACTGGAATGCACTTGCCAACAGACAGGTCACCCCACCGTTCAAGCCGCTGGTTGAAAGTGATGAGAGTGTCGCCAACTTTGACACTGAGTTTACAGGTGCTGACATTAGAGAGCACGGTGTGCCTTGGGATGACGATGTTGCTGCTCCAGACAGAGTTGATGTGGATGGAAATGAGGAAGTCTTCAAGCCAGCACTTGGTTCTGGACATGGAACACCATCTGGTCAGCACGTGAATCGCGAGAGCCGTGAAAGCAACAAAGAGCCACGCAAATCATTCGATAAACAAACAGAAAGGCCGCATGTATCTGACGACAGGCCAAAAATTGACGAAAACCCGATACCTAACGAGAACAACCGCACTCACGATACTTTTAGAGGATTCACGTATACTGGCGAGAGAGAAGGCGAATGGGCGTCTCTTGAGCAACGGAGAAAAGCCAAAAAGGAGAACGTGTCTGAAGAGTTTGCACTTTCAGATGACGAGGAGATTGATGATAGCTAGAAGAGAATAGAAGGTTCGTAAAGGAAGTGTTTTAATAGAAGTGTTGCACACTTGGGATTCAATTTGTATTTTCTTATCAATCAAGTAGAAAATTGACGACAGCAATAATAAATGTACTACATTACAGAGTTGTTGAGGGAATGTTCTAGTATGAATCTACTTTGTTTCAACTTTAAGCGCTTCTCTCAGGGCTTTGTCGAGAGCGGGCGATAACTTCATGAAGCCATTGTCGCGTGTTGCTAATCTGTAAGTAGGCGTGCGCTCGTAAGTAGACGCATTGATCTATGAGGGTGTTGCATGAGAGTGTTGCGTACGTCTAGCTAGCATATACTCACCTTACCGCCACCTTCCACCAAAACCATGCCAAGATAGTCATCAGGGTCACCGGCTCTACCTAAAGTCTGAGGAGCGCGTTCATCTAGGTTTGCGCTATAAACAGATTGCTGGCAAGAGAGCATGCCACGCACCCATCACAGGTATCCAACCTTCACCTCTAAAAAAAGCGTCTTGACTGGAAATCGATGAGATTTGTTATTTGATAACGCACTCAATCAACTCACATAACGTGCTGATCTTTTGTAAAGTTATTCTGCACAACAGATTGTAGCAAATCGATGAATTCATCGTTTTGCTCGAGTGATTTGTAGAGTTCCGTTGAGACTGGGCTAGCAGTATTGACGTATCCACACACTAGCTTTTTTGGCGCGTTCTCTGGGAGCTTATCAAGCAAACTAACAGCCCAGCGTTCTGGTTGCTGCTGGTGATAGAAGACACCAGACATCTTCGAGTCCTACGAGCGTGAGATGAATACTGACAGCCCATTCGACCCACTTTGACCGTCTTGAGTCTGGCTACCGTTGTTGTTATCCCTCTCGTGAATCTGTTCATGGTGGTTAATCTCCAACAGCCAAGATGGATACAGCACCGACAGCGCCGATAGCGCCAGCTGTGCGTGGCATATAGCGTATTTTCCATTAATCTCATATCTCCATCAGCTCGACGCAATCTTCGACCCAGCGCCATCTCCAGCAATCAGGGAAGATGTGTCATACCAAGGCACTGACGAGGAATGGCAGTGCGTCATTGAAATGCTTAAACGTGACGATAGAGATATAGAAGATGTTTATGATTCTCTTAAGCGCACCGTCGATGACGAATGTGAGCTGCGTCGTAATCTTAAGATAACGCTGATCATCCAGTCCTGAGCACGGCAGCACAGACGATGGAATTGGATAGCTCTATCAAGCATTCCGTACAAGATACGGAAACACTCGCGAACTTCCTCTCCACATTCCAGCAATCTATGTTATCAACGAGTTCACAGATCAGCTCTTTACAGACGAAATCCATCGAAATAGACAATCAGTTGCACAAACAGAGAGCACAGGCAGCTGAAATCGATGGGCTACTCAAAGAGCTAATCATTCCTCCGCAACTCATCAACCTCATCATGAACCAGGAGCTAACAGATGTTGATGCTTGGATTAGCGGGTGTAAGAGCATCGAGGGCTTTCTGCGCTCAGTTGAGAAGCATCAGCATGTCAAAGCTAGAGTACAGTTGCAGAGTGTCTTACAGGCGCTCAAAACGAAGGTTTGTGGGGTGTTGACAGGTATGGGATGAGCTCAAAACATTTACAGGCTGCAGACAAGATACGTGGTAAACTATTTAGTCTGTTTGTGCCCTTCCAAGCCTCCGCGACGTCCAACATCGCGTTTCATCAGACAGCAGTGCTGTTTAAGTACGCGCCTTTGTACGCATTTCTCAAAAGACAAGAGCCACGGGCTGCTCATGAGGTTGAACGTGTCTATGCAAATGCCGCGAGAGGCTACTACGAGACGTGCTTGGTGAGATATACGAGAGAGGCGTTCAAGATCGAACCCAGATTCCAAGAGCTCGCAATCGGCAACTCGGCAAATGCATGGGAAAGCAACGAAGAGCCATATGAACTCGATAGTGTCAAGCAGCGACTCACTTACTCTACTTTGGATGGACCGTCAGTCTTTTTGGCATACCAGGCTGACGATCAGAACTTTGTGGGTTGAAAACAACGTGAGAGTGATTCTAACATAAGATTCTTATAGAAATTACCCCCTGAAGCAATCTTCAGAAGCTTATTGCTTGTCTTCATAGACAATGCGTGCTCAGAATTTGCATTCTGTGCTCGCTTCTTCGACGACTCGCTGCACTCATTATACCACGACAAAAGCATCAAACCTGGCGTCTTTCTCTCGGAGAAGGAGGTTGCCATTGCAAGCGAGCTAGGATCTCTTAAATCCACACAACACATCTGGAATCAAGTGTTTGAGACGGCATTTAATCAGATAAAAGGTGACTTACTCAAGATACCCACGGCGACCACCTTACCAAGCGCTATTTTTAGTATGATCAGAATAAACGACGAGGCACACCAGGTGTGCTTGAATAGGGGTTGTCTACCGGCAAGCAATCTCTGTGCAGGCTTGAGGATTTCGCTTTGGCCGCTGCTTCAGAAGGAGATGGATGCCAGAGTACTAGCCTTACAGACACTTGCTGAGGAAACCCAGGCGCCCTCCGCCAGTCTTCTCGGTACGGCTGGCAACTTTGTCAGCTCGTCGATGGGTTTTAGTGGAAAAAGAGTTAGCCCGGAACTGGCTGAGAAGGTCAGCAGGAGATACGCGACTCTGTACAGTTCATTAAAGGAGCTTTCTACATCTGATGATCAGATGATGATGCAATCAAACATCAAGAGATTGCGCTCGTTGGTGCAGAGTGTTATCGAGAAAGCAGCAGGCAGGAGCGAGAATGGAGATTGGCTAGCGAGCGCGTACTCGGCACTAGCTGTGAGTTTACGTAACTGAGTGTAATTTAATTTACTAACAGTTACGCAGTTGCAGACGCGCTCATTCGAGGATGAGAGGTCGTATTGGCTTGAAATGGCTTCTAAGCATAAGAAATAGATGTATAAATTTATATAGAAATTAAATTATAATTATAATAAAAAATATAACTACTACTACTGCCCGCGTCCGCCTTATCACGTGAGTGCAATCAGTGCACAGACCGCACAAAACACCCCTTCCGCTGAGAGCCACCCCAAAATAGCAAATGGTTGCTCCTTAGGAATCTACCACCACTGTCTTCTGGAATACCCGTTTTACAACCTAATAAAATGCAATTCTCAGTCCAGTCACTCGCTTTGGCAGCAATTGTCGCATCAGTCAGTGCCTCGTGCACACGCAACTACACCGTCAAGGGTGGTGAATATTGCGACCAGATTTCAGCTGATCAAGGCATCTCCACATACCAATTAGCCGCAACCAACTTTGACAAGATCAACGAAGAATGCACAAACCTCCAGAAGGGCGAGGAGCTTTGTCTCGGCTGGCCTGGCTCAGACTGCACAGAGACTTACGTTGTCAAGGAAAATGACACGTGCAATTCTATCGCGTACAACAACCAAGTAGGTCTACTTTACTTTTTGTAGTGTTTTACTAACTTGATTTAGATTAACACCACGGTTCTCTGGCTCAACAACCCCCAAATCGATGAACATTGCGGTAACGTATACGTCGACGAGGTTCTCTGCGTTCACAATGGCGTCAAAGTCCCTGATTACACCATGCCAGATTACGCACCTGTGCAATCCATTAACGACGTTGCCGACTGGGCCAGCCCTCCAGTAGCTAACATTATGCCGGTATCAAAGCCAGAGTGGGATGATTGCAGCGCTTAAGTGGACTCATACGCCCCGACTGACTGATTGATGTTTTACTCTCTTCAACAATACTCACTGGACTTTTATATCTTTCGTTACACGCTCTTTACACACTGGATTTGTGGTTTTTTCATATCATCCATGTCATTCGTTCTACTGAGAGTTCTATGCTTTGTTATGACATCATTCTCTTCTAATTTAATAATATGAGGCGGTATGTATCAAAATTAAGGACTAGCATCGGCGTACGGTGTTGGTTTCCGAACCCGATACGAATTTTCTAAGCAGACTTTGGTCTCTCAAAGTGTTAATGTTAAGGTTTTGTTAAGGTTTGGGCTT